TATAAACACCCACAGCGAGTGAGTCTGTCCTAGTAATATATGTATCTACATCTATCTACATTGGCATAACAATCATCCATTTCAAACACCTCCCCGCTCAGCTGTGCCCTTATTTTGTCCTGACCAACTTGAAAACACAATGCTTTAGCAACATTTTGCTTGCTGCATTTTTCGCACACTTGGCTTGATCGTGGCAACTATATTGCACTGCATTTTACTCTCTTTTCAACACTCCATTCTGATCACTCCCCTGTCCCAAGTTCATTTTACCACCCTACTCTACAACAATTCTAGCTATGGTGCCTCCATTGACCACTCAAAAACTCCAGCCTTGCTAATTGCGCACTTTTTCTCTGCTCGCCCTGAATAGCCAAATCCATGGAAGGTGAAATTTTCATCGCACGGGTCATATCACAGGCGGAAACAAGTCTCGGATTTCGTTGCCACTAGTAACTACATCATGTCTGAACGTACTACTGTACTGTAAATTTCAAGCAACTCACGCTAATTGAATTATATTAACCACAAGCTATATTGACTGCCTCAAATTTTGGCAACGTTTTATAGAGATGTCTGGTTGATATGTGCAAAAGGATCAAATCAGGAAAAGGGACTATGAACGTGAATGTAAGCTGTCTTAACTCCATGCATTACTTCATGTGTTCGGTTTTAAAATCGATGATATATTCGATACAGGGCCGCTCGAAATCAGTTTCACCTTGGTTTTTTCCTTTTCCATTTTGTCCATTATAGTACTAGACCATATTTGCACAGTGAGTAGGTCTTAGCTACCTTCTTATTTGTCACCTTTAATAGTCTAGACCTGATAGAGACACAGAGTGGGCCTTGCGCGGACCAGGCGAAGGGATTTAAGTTCTGATTCGCCGACTTCTCATGGCTGGTTTAACCCTGACATGTGGTCCAAAGTGGCTCACCAGATAGCTGCGCCTTGGAGGGTGACAAAAGCTATACACTGGCAGATGGGAAAGCAAGAATTGGCGCATCTGACTGGTAATTCGTCATCTCTGGCAGTAGATTCCAGCAGGAATAGAGGGACCAATAAGGTGCGATAAGCTGATTGTCTGCCCGAGCTATGAATGCCAATCGAAAGTGACACTGTATAGTTGCCTTCTTTTGAAGAAATGTTCTCAGGTGTACCCAGCGTATAAATGCTTTGACTGTGATTTTATGGTGAATATACATTCATTTGAGCCCTATATCGGCTTTGTATAGTTCTCGTTCACCACGTTCCCTACAATGAATACCCATAGTGATTACATTCAATACACCAAATTGAACTCAATTCTTATTGAGTAGAAGTAAACTGCTGGAAATTTCTTTACGAAATAATCACTCCGTCTAAATCTGCGATTAGTGCCCAACAAGCTAGAACCCCGATTTTCATTCAATTGAGAAAATGACTCGTCGGCCACAGATAAGATTGCTCAAAAAAAATAAACGAGTCCCAAGAGTCTCAGCACGTGTATTTCGGTACGCCCGGGCCCGACGTGGCAAGACTCGTGGACCGCGCAGACTGGCCAATTTACTATAGCGGAGAATTCCCTTCTACCGGATAGTTCGGGGCTACTGTTTGATGCATCGAACTCAAAACCTCTCCGAATTTGATACATGCAGAACGATGCCCGGCAGTATGGGTTGAACTTGGAGGTCAGGTAGCCAGATGCCATCCTTAATATTAATCCGCAGACAAGCTTTCTATTAATCGTGTTTCTTATCTTAAATGAAAAGCAGCATATGCTGTGATTTAAGACGTTGGATGAAGAAGTCATGTAAATTATTCTATAGTACATGGATTCACTAGATCCCTTGGGTGCTGGGAACTGCAGATTCCATGATGGAACTATGGTGCGATAGGTCACGGTAGCACGGCATAGTACTATTTAAAACGTCGGTTAACACTCAGTTAGTGTTTCATTGAGTGACTCTTGGATAGTGGGATTGGCGAGCTGCCTTTCCAGTATCGGGGGATCATCCGGGGAAGCACGGCACTAACAAGTATGGAAGGCGGTCGAAATAACGACCCGGACATCCCGGCGGCTCAGGCGTCACCCGTGAACGTTGGCTGGTGGGAAAGGGTCAACGGGGCGCTAAAGTTAACCCGATTGGATGTCTTTAGATGCGTCTTGGCGTTCCTTGTATGGCTTGCATTGAGCGCTCAAAATGGTGGGGGGAGTTAGGAGGGATGCATAACGGTTGTCCGTGCTCCACCGGCTCGTTCCTCCCGCATATTAGCCACATCTCTAAACAAACCTCGTATCCGAATATCTCCCACATCGGATTTGCCAGCATCATTTGCCCTCTGAAAAGATAAGTACCGGGAATTATCATCCGAAGGGAACGCGAGCGCGGTAGGTTTGCATATGTGCGGCAAAAGTCCAGTCTCAACAAGAGTGCTGGACGTAACGCTGGAGCAGATCTGGGTCGCATTTACGCCATCCCTCGCCATCCCTCGCCATCCCTCGCCATCCCTCGGTCTAGATGAAACACTTACACTCAACCAAGGGCGTTTTATGGTTAAACCATGGAACGTATTCTCGTCTGTACTTATTCAGGGCTGTGGCTTTGACAGCGGGGATCGGTTACGTTGAACTATCGCAGATTGAGTAGGAGGGGCAAAATTACTAGCGTATATTTAGAGTTCCGGGTCGATCTTAGCAATCTATGGCCCGAGCGCGATGATCCTCTCGGCCATGTCCGATTGGCTTTCGCCAAATTCTGTTGAGCGAGGAGTCCACCTCGAGGTGTCTCTAATGAGAGTATTGACGAACGGAAGGCGAGAAATGCCCGAAATGTGGTCCACTCCAGCTACTCGAATTGCGCAAGAACGACGGATTGGTATATTCCAGCGGTGGATAGTGTCAAAGCTCAGCGTAACCTCAACCAAAAACCGCGACGACAATAATACGGCATTTCTCTGTAATAAATGTTCTACGACACAGGGGCAATTGTCGTATCCTGACAGTCATCGGCTTTCGGATCGCAGGGTCACTAGGAGCGGAGAGCGGCAGGGTTACGTGGGGAATAAAATGACGTGGAGCTTGTACCATTGTTCCCAGCGCCAAGCCTCTCGCTTCGGTCTCATAGTGCAAACTCTATGCTCGATCGTTTAAAAATCTCGTATGGGTGTAGTGAATCAGTTCTTCCTTTTCGATTCCAGAATCGGGAAGTGGCTCACGACGAACTATTCAACTGCCATGGCACCTCATTTAATAAGGCCGGGTTAACTTCCCAACGTGGTTACACAAACGACCTTGATACATTATTCTTGTACGAGTTACGGGTAACTAGTACAGTAAATATAGGATAACGCTGGTCGGCGGGGGCGTTCATTCTCATCTTGGATTTTGAGTCTCTGTCATCATGCCTCCACCCAATCTATCATCACAGGGCCCATCTTTTCACTGCGCCGGTCGCTTCGGGCGTCCTGGCCTCCTCTCCACTGTACTACCTCTATTCACGGATAAGGCGGCAACCTGGTCTTCTAATGCGCTTATGGCCTTTTTGAGGTTTTGAATCTCGTCGTAACCATGTGCCATAGTCTCCATGCTCTGCTGCATGTTTCCATTCCAAGCATTCTGTTCCAAAAACTGCTCTTCTACCCCTCTGAAGAAATTCATTAGCATAAAATAGATTAGCGATCGGACGACTTGCCCCTAGGAGGAATGCCTCACCTCACTCGACTATCTAGGCTAGCGTAACGGTTAGTATTCATTGCTTCTAACGGCAAGAGTGAGCGAATCAACATACTCGGTGAAAACTTTGCTTATTAGTCTAGGATCTCTCAGACCGTCCCCCGGGATCGCCCCGTTCCCGTTACAGGCCTCGCCTAGCGTTTCCATCGTCAGGTCTTCCTCATCTGTTTGCTCTCGATAATCTTCGTCCATTGTATCTTGGTGTTCCTCAGCGCCTGGCTGTTCGTCGATGTATTCAAATGCGCAATCCTCCTCTGGGGAAGCGACAGCCGACTTGGGTATATCATAGATATCGGAAGCCCGTCTAGGCTTGGCAGGGAACATCTGAAGCCATTCAGTGTAGAGACCTGAAGAGGTTTCGCCGCTTTCGGCGCCATACGTAATAGCCATGTTGATTAGGTTCGTTAAAGTAAAAGAAGTTCAGTAAAAGGTGGTGGTTGAGATCTGTGTAGTATGGATGGGCCTTGCGAAAATATATATAGTAAGGGTCCAAGTTCAGGCTAGCCCGCATAATATAGCGCGATCCCGTCCGGCTAGCCTTTCAGTATATCCTGTGCCCTTTGTGGATATACCGTAAGAAACTAGTACATGAAAAATTACTATTGTAGATTGTCTACTTGCGGATCTTGCTAGAACATGCTATCAACCTGGACGGCGTGGTATTCTATATGGGCTGTCCGACTAGTGCGCCCGAGCTGGCGACTGACTATATTGATAGGAAAGCCTCGCATTGGTCATTTAATGAGGGAAATTGGTGGAAAATGAAAGACCTAAATATACCAAATTTACCTAGTTTCGGGATAATTCAGATAGGCCCGTTTTCGTAGGGTTTGACCAGGTAGGAGAGTTTGTAAATTAAACGGATCGAAAGTACTAATCGCTCCGTAACCGATAATCGATCATTATATCGACCCTCTAAATTCGCCGTAGATAATTAAATCGGGAATTGGTTAAGCGGGTAAATAGAGTTGAATTGTCCAATTCACGACTTTAGTCGTATCACAATGCTATATGGTGCAAATAATCGGTACCAAATGATCTCCACCTCACGATTCAATTGAGCTAGCAATAAAAGGGACCATCTTTATGTTCCTGACTAACTAAATTCGTTATAGTATTGAATAGCGTCGTAAATGTGGTTGGTATAGTCCAGAAGGATTTCAACAGGTAAATGCTCGGTACTTTCCTAGTCCGCTCAACATTTCAATATCTTAATCGTTTGTTCTATCCATCCGTCCTACAACCAACCCTTCTTGTTTTCATACTTGATTTTATACCCCTCCCAAAATGTCGGAAGGCATATACACTCTTTGGACGGTGGAAGAAGAGGACAATTTGCAAGAATGGATGGCTCGTCATCAGCATTTGCCCTGGAAGAAAAGGCGCGAGGAATACTTCAGGCAGACGGGGAAATGGAGGTCTATCAGCTCGCTGCGTAGCAAGCTCGAACAATTGGACCAGGGTATTCGCCGACAACGCCCTCTCTATGAAGAGGTGGTCCAAACTGGCTCTGTATGGAATTTCCCCCTGAGCGAAGCCTTTTGGAGGAGCTCCCTCCTTTTCCCCCGCCATTGATCTTGAAGACTCCCGATCCATTAGTCCGTCAAATACTGGAACAATGGCGGCAGACTGAGATATATCAAAACAATATTTTGGCACCGAGCATGTTTCCACGGGAGGTGTTCACCCCTCTATCCACTCCTATTTCGAAGTATCCATGCATTCCGAGTAAGGACTCCGAAGATAGTTCCCCTAGGGCGGCACTCCATTCTGATATATTCTTAGATACGAACGAAGTGATATTCCCCCATCACCGGGCCGCCGGAACACCGTGTGGATTACGACACCCTTTCACACAAGACGGGAATATCAAAGAAAGCCACGGTATCCACGGACTGAGTTAAAAGTATAGTAACTATGGGTGCTACAGCGAATTTTGTTGGATATCTATATCAAGGGCCACAGGCCGTGGGGTTTCTCTGACGACGGTATGTCCTAGACTTCAAATACATATTCTGAACTCCTTGCTGTATGTATACGGATATGCGGCGTTGGTCGGTGCTTGATGTGGCAAATCTATGTCGAGGATGAGTAGCACTGGTCTAGGTCGTTCAGAGATAAGTAAAAGCATCGTCCAGAGATCTACTCTAGTCTCCACTACCCGGGGGAATGATCTCCCTACTCCAGGGGCGACCTCTCTAGATGTGGGTCCCTCATCTTTTGATTATAGTGTGAGCATTTGGCCTACCGGCGTTCAATGACTTCGCTTGCACGTGGGAATGGAGGGCGGTGTAACGCATAGTGAGCATGATAGTCGGAATGAGATCGGGTTTCACACTCGATACCTTGTACTTGACGTTGGTTACGATTCCGACAATAACCGGTGGTATTAAATGACAACGATGGGGGTTGTATTAAATTATCTGCCGAAAGTCTACGACTCAGAAAAGCCCAGCCATTTCCGGAGTATAAAATCAAGCACAAATTTCCAGTGTTGAACCAGAGTCTAGAATGCCTCGAAGATTGCCCGTTGATTAGTTTCCATGGTCGGTTTTCTCCTACTATCGTTGACTTAGCGAGTAGTCGGTCATTACTGCCATAGATTGCCGGGGCCACAATTTCTCGATTAATGGAAGGTTTCATTGATCCAAAGATTAGTGTTGCTTGTTCCAGGCTGTCAACAAGAAAATGCTAAGGACCACTAGACGGTCTTGTAGTTGGTTGAATTCTAGTGAGTGGGTATTAAGGGAAAGCCTGGGTTTTCCCTGGGCGGACTGGGCCGTCTGGGCCCCACGGATTGCGTACTCCAGGACCAGTCAAAAATGGGTCGGGATAGTCATCCATCGTAAGCGTCGTACCAATAAATTACAGCGGCCATCAGTGCGGACCCAGGGCTCTTTTGAGGCGAACCACGGTTCGCACTGCTCTCAATGTGATACGTCGTACAGGTCCGAGTGCAGAGATCGCGTTGCCGACCTAAAGATCACTGTGTTTTCGCGTATAGAGTGCTGCGGTCGCGCGCTATGAGATGACGACCGTGTCACAGATCTTGAATACAAAGTCGATCATCCCACAATCCCCTACAACGGACCACACCAAGTGTCGTCACTACGGTTCATAGATAAAAGAATCCACTCTAAAGTCGCTAACGGTTGTAAGAGCAATGAATTCTGTTGCGGTAGCCAATCCCGGGAAGTCCGATGGCGATCATGGCTTGTCCCACGGTTTGCGCTGTGGAGTCGCTTGCTAATCTCTCGGAGAATCATTGTGGTACTGTAGCCAAGAGAGCTCTACGTACCCAATGTTCATTCTGTGTTAGGCCTGTAGGTCCAAAAGCAGCCTACCGACTTTATCCGTTTCCCAAACTGGCGATATGGATAGTACATTTGCAATTTGATCCCTTGCCCGATCAGGCACACATCTCTCAAACAAGTGGAAAAGATTCGAGGAGGGGGCACATAGCTATTTGGATGGCACTTATGACTCTTCTGACACATGGGAAGCAGCCACCCATCACCAGTCCGCAAGGTTTATTGTAATTCTTTAACCCACTTCCTATTTTATCTTCACGAAAGACAAGATAAGGTTCCTATTGAAGAGGGAAGCGCTCGACGGCAGTCTGACCGATCAGACGGGTCAAGATGAGAGAATCTCTACCACCAAGCCTAGAAATCGTGCTGAGAGACCGAGTAGTGAAAGATAGGTATCCGCGGAGGAGAATCAAAAGAGTGTGTATTCATCCGTGTGTTCTTCTTGTTCCTTCCCATCTTCCTCGAAGTAATGAGCGTTGAGAGGCCCGAATACCTCAGGAAACAGAATCTCAGACTAGTACAATCACCTTCTCTATATCGTCACCTGTTCTCCCACTACACTATCAATTTAGACGTCAAGTTACAGGGTTTGATATTTCATTAACTGAATAATTAACCCTCTCTCACCTACGTCCATGATCAGCGACATAGAATTGATCCGTATCAACTACGGCACCGTCTGTATCCCACTATTCTATATTATCACACAGTGCCGTAGAAAGCTCACTCGCCCCGCTCCTCTATTCTCCACCGAATGTGCGGTTCATCCCATAGCATTGGATAACTGTCGAACGATACTCCAACTAGAGGCAAGATTGCTTATACTATAAGGCCAAAAAATTACCTAGAATAATGTTTTCCTATAGTACAATCCACGGAACAACTTTGGTTAGGAGAGAATGGAGAAGACAATTGATCGGAGTTCTCCAAAGCCTAATAGCCACTTTCGTTAACTCTCTTAACTATTCGTATTTGAGAAGCCTTGTCCAAAATGTCCAAATGGTACTGTAACAACCATGCATTATGCTCAGTCACGGTAGTTTTAAGCAATCCATTATCCGCGCAATAAATAGACAATGCTCGAGGTCAACAAACTGCCCCTTATTTCACTCATACCAAAAGATTGCCAGGACTCTAGATTGTAACAGAGCTTGTGTTAAATTGGGTTGCAACATCCACGGACTTCCTCTTCCCGTTTTCCCCAGTTTATTTGTCATTTCTTCTGGAAATTTCCGACAATGTATTGCGTTCCATGCAGCTCTCAACAGGGGCATAATTTCTGCCTCATAGACCGGGGAGGTCAGCTAAACATGGTCAACCTACATCCACCGGCGGGGTCACTTGGGGCCTCTGGTGCTCGAAAGACCCGTTCTGTTCGCTCCTCCAACAAAGTATGGTCGATGGAAGAAGACAACAAATTACAAAAACTTCGACTGCAAGGGTGGGGCTGGACGGCAATGAGCCAAGAGCTGCCTGGAAGGAGCTCAATTGCGTGTCGCCTGCGTTTTCAGAGAATTTTGAGCCAGCCGTCTAATCGGGACCAGAACCGGGAAGAACGCTTGGCCCAGGCCGATAAAGGGTGAGTAATCAAGACCATATCAAATTGCTCAAAATATTCACGTTTGTGTCGGTGTAGATTGAGGCCAATCAAATGGTCAAAAAAGCAGATGGCTATATCGTGGAGAAGGTCGGGGAATACAAACGTTGGCCTATTGAAAAATGTACGTGGCTCTGATCCTGTTGCCTCGGCCGAAGAATGGTTCAATGTGGGAAGAATGCCAGCTTTGAGGCCCAATACACTTCCAGAGTTGCGGTCGTCCACGGAAAATGTCAATACTGAGCTACCTTCATTCAAAGTCCTGTTCTCAGATATCCCCGATATCTGGAGTAATACTAAGTCTATTGGAACTAATCCTTGGGCAACAATCATTGTCTGAGTTTTTACGATTTGCGCAGTGAAATACTGTATATTGATGTTTTAGACAATGGTGGTTGAATGAGCCAAGCATCTCGCAAGTCAAATCTCAAAATGTCGAAATTAACAGATCACTGTGCCGTTAAATTTGGGACGGACACGATTTTCCAAGATATCGCGTAATATTAATCTGTAATTGGCCTTCGTTTGCCCAATGATCCCTTTCATTAATACAACATCGATACACGTCGAAAGGGTCCCTAATCGGCTAACTCAAGGAGTGGAGTCGGCCTGAAGAGGAATTTAAAAACGGGCGCGGTGCCTACGGAAACTTCTGGCTGGAGAATAAATACGAAGTTCGGGAGCATAGCAAGGGCGATGGCCACAGATTCTGACGGTCAAGATGGCACGTGTCTTGCAGGCAATGAAAATGAAACGTATTTGTCGGCAATACACTCGTGGGAAACAAGAATCCGTTCCGAACACTTCCTACCTATACAGGAAAAGGTGCTTTCTGCCCTTGCACTCTCGCAATCACAGCAAATAGCCTTCGAAGGCGTGACAAGTTTCGCACGGATGTTTGGCGTCCAGCTTTTGAGTGATGCGCTTTCTGTCAAAGTGACTGATTTACTTTCCAAACCTCAACCCGAGATTGTGGAAGCGGATATCTCATATGACGAAGATGAGATTCTTTGGACTGATGTCATCGGGGAGCTTCAGTTTGACCCGCAACGACAACAAAATGGCAACTACCTCTGTCGGGTCCAAAAGCGTAACGCACTGATTGAGATATCCGCATGGGATCACGACCTAATTTCCATGCGCCGAAAGCTTGTTCATACTCAGGCATATTTGAGTGACATGTTAGCAGAAAGGGACACCTTGGGTTTGATGATAGGTTCTCTGTCATCATGTAACGAAATCGCCTTACGATGTCAGGACGCCACGCTCTCGCTTCATTGACAAATTGCTGACACGTTTAGTCATCGAAACAAACAAAGCAATCCTCACAAACCTGACAAATAAGGTGCTGGCTCTTGAAGAAGGGTTGTGCAATATATCGTGCCCTTCTCAACCATCTCAGTTACCTTCTGGCTCCTACCACACGAGTAGAAGTGGTCCAAGTTCTCCACAATTCGAATCAAATAATGGGTGTGAAGAAATGATGAGGGGCACGGAAAACGATGCTGGTGAGAATCCCTTAGGCTTGGGATTACAACGAGTTCGCTGACAACGCGATTTAGCCGCATCTCAATCCCGTAGATGGGAGTCACGTGATTTAAAACGCCTACCACGGTGGTTCAAAGAACATGAAAACTTGCCAGATGACGCGATTGAAAAACATTTCGAACTTGACTTTGGTCATTTTCGAAGTTGTGGTGCTATCCGTGCCGCTGTCTGGCGCGTAGCACAAAAGAACGGCAGTGGGCGCAGGCAGAAGAAAAGAGTGAGGCGGAGAAAAGTGGGCTCACCGTCTGCTACGATTCCAATCACGCCAGTTTTCAAAAATACTGAAGGGCTTCATCAGTTACCAACGCCAGGCATGCCGGCGAAAGAAGTTTCCATCCCGACTTTGAACCAGACCAGGCGGGGGTTAACGAGCAACAATCTCACCCGTGTGGCTTGCTCACCACCGGACCCACTTCAGCCACAGAGCACTGCGTCTCAACTCTTAAAGGATCAGCCAGATCCAGCCATCACTTTGACTAGATTGTATGGGGCATGCCTAGATCGCCAAAATAGTTTGTCCCGGGGAAGGGGGGGTTCTGAGAAGACAGTGACAGATGACGAGTTTCTCAGCCAACAGTCTGGAATCAATCACAGCGTTGTGGATGGTGGGAGTTGTGCTTTACACACAGGGCATGTTAAAGTTGTCCCAAACACAGAGGCCTTTCCGTCTAACGAACGCCCCGTATTTGCTTCAGATGTTGATATTACCCCATCAGGATCATCTTCCTCAGAGCATGAACCTACAATGCTATTGACCGAGTCCCCTCATGCACGTCCTAGTTTCCTTGGGCATTTGTTAAATTAGCTTCGGGTCAATAATCTATTCAGTTTAGCCCTTCGGGATTTCATTTTATTTAATGGTAATATTTAGGCACAGCAATATTAAGAGTCGGCTTCCATTTTTGCAAAGAGACGTGTAATCTAGAAGGTGGGGTCAACGCGCGCTATTGCAATTGAACATGCATAATTTTCGCTGGAGCGCCACAAAATGTCTAAAAGCAGTATAAATGCGTCGGAAATTAGACTGGCGCGAGGTGCTGAGATAACTTCTCTGTGAAAAAGATGGAAGCCAATGTCGAATTCAGCCGTACTGTAATAAAAAGAGAACAATATCAACCCCCTATAACTTTCATCATATTGGAGACAACCCGCATAGCGCAGCCTACCGATCTAGTTTAGGCAGAGACGTACTTTTTTCATTGAATACAGTGTTATGTATCGTATTTCCTTCTATCAAGTGTGCCTGTTTCTCTTTTTTGCATCGCTATGTGCGTAGTCTCCTTTGATCGATCGATTGATTCATAGGCTTTCGCGGCCGCCCAAGCATTACAGCTATGCAGCGAGCTTCAGGCCTTAGTTTCATGGAAACATCGAATTATCCGTGAGACAAATGAAGCCAAAATTTGTCAGGGCTCCTTGATTCTCACACATTGCCAATTGAATGGATGTCGATACTGGGATAGATCAGGCACAATATTCTATTCGATATCATTTCTCATCCTTTGGCCGAACAAACAAGGCATCCGCGTGAATAGCGTCAACCCACTCATGTGCGCCAAATTTTCCGGGAATTTGAATAGACCCTTTTAGGTACATCTTGCGACCCTCAACTCTCTCCGGCCATGCTCGGAGAAGGATCGGCACTGTTGGCGGAACAGAATTCACGAAAGATAAATTCAAGTAAGCAGTGAATGCCGGCTTGCAGCTATCCGCAAGAATACGATCCATCAGAAAAGCGATGTACCCACCAAATAGTTTGTTATCGTAGTAGCACATTTGCTGAGAGGACCCAAGACGCAACACCGATTCCACCTCCCATCCTAGGTCATGAGATTTGAAGATCGGATTATAACCTTGAAATAACGATTGCATCGTTTCTTCCGGTGAACCCACAGGTGAACTCTCTGCCAAGGCCTTTCAACAAGTCAGCCTTATATCCATATGACGGCATCTTATTTCGGTAATCTCACCCTTGTACCTCTCGGCTGTTCGACAGAACCGTGACGTATCTGCCATTGGTGATGGTATCTATGGTAGGGACGGAAAATTGCCGTGGGTAAAAATTGTTGTTTCATGATTGCTCGAACGTCGTGATAACGGGGTACGGGATGTTCTACCAAGAGTTTCACATTTGACCCTCAAATATATATTCGGATTCGGACCTACAGTAGAGAACATCTTTCCTACCCCTAGCCAGAGTCAACAAGTGAATCACTGGCGCTCACGGAAGACCGAAATAAAAATTCTCCACTCTTTGCCTGGTAAACTAAAATGAGCTCTCAAATAAAGACCAACAACGGCTAGTGACAGTAAATATGGAATTAAACACTATTGGAGTTCAATGATGAGCTACTCGCCTTCTACAATATCCTTTTTCTCATTGAATGTTTAATTTGAGTAACGTATGGCGGTTATTCGCAGAAATGTGTTCAAACTGATCTGAGGGGCTCTTTAAACCCAGATGGTTCGAGATAACTCTTTCATTTTAAATCTCTACTCTATCTAATTCCTTGAGGGCCCCATTGGCGAAGATATATCCCTTTTCATTGATCCATTGATCTACCTTGCTGAAATAGTTTCGCGGATGTTTTCAGGATTGGTAATAATCTATGTTTTTTTCACCGGGAACCAAAGAAGACGAATGTTGACACATGGCTCCAATGCAGCTCTCTTTTTATATCGCCATGCGTTGGGACTGCACCATCGATCATTGAGATTTACCAGCACTCATGAATTGGGATTATAACTGTACTACGCATTCTTGAACACTTCTACTGAGGTAGGTTCCCGAATCTGATTCATGGGCCCGTGTCGACTTGCGTTCAAGGTCCTTGTTATTTTATTGAATGTATTATAGCTAACCAAGACCTTGCCAGAGAACGTTCTCAAGTCATTGTGTTTTCTATGGTATTCCTTAAGAATGTACTTGCTGCATCTCTGGGGATCAGCTATTTTCATCTTTCTGACATTCAGTAAAGTATGCAGCCAACGTCAAGGCATTTTATTATCTCAAAGCACCATCGGAGAAAGACCCATGAATGCAAGTCAATTGTACATGACCCGCGAATTTCTCAGTGCAACTTTCTCAGCGAAATGGACGAAAGCCATAGGCAACGTGGGCAGCCCATATGGAAGTAACATTATCGAAGTGTCCGGTGAAGTCGCCAGCCAATACAAATATGTGGCGCAATTTGAAGGTTCGATGCAAGGTAAAAGCTGGACTGTGGTGATCTGGAACAATATGGGGCCTGATGGATCACTTGGCGGGTGGTATGGGAAGGCTTGCAGAACCTTTTCCCTGGCTCCTGGTCAGCTTCGATATCTCGCCTTCGACGAGGATTCTCTAGGGGGATGGGCTATGGCCCCCGGCGCTTCTATTCCCATTGACTCCAATGGCGCGTATGCTTCAACCTGGGGTAAATTTGCTTTCGGCTCAAGCATCAACCTTGGATGGTCCAGTTTTGCTGTGTCCGCCATAGCTGCTCAGAATGCGGGCCTCGAGGTTCAAGGCATGAAGATATGTGACGTCATCACTGACGTCTGCTCGTTTATAACCAGGAATGCGGACTTTGTTCATAATGCCTACACGAACACATCTGCCGATGGTAGAGGTATCGGTGCAAAGGTTGCCCCTGGCCCAGTCAGGCTCTCAGTTACGGTTGATTACGATACAGAGAATTGGCAACCTCAAGATTTGCAGGCCTAATACGATCACAGTATTAAATATTATATGCATCATGATGTTTAATTTTGCGACTAATTATCTATAACTGGTGCCTACAATAACGTCGTTGCCACTGGATTGGTAGTATTGCATCGTTCTCTTCACGGGAGGTCTGGAAGCTAGACCTTTGACAGTTCCACAGGAAAAACCAGCTTCTATACAGTCGAGCCAGACCGCACATAAACGTATCTCAACAAAAGGAGGGAGCCTGCCGCACATGCCGAACAACAGCTGAGCCGTAGAGCTGAGTCAGCTACGAACCAAGAGAGATAAAAATATCTTCCAGGATCAGGGGCAGTATGACAACTCCATCAAAGATGACCCATAGGCTTACCGTCATTTATTGATTCGATAAAATATCCTAAAAAAACGAAAGATCTTTACAAATCATTCAAACCTCTACTATATTTCCGTTAAGTAAATAAATAGGTGTGCTTCATGGCGCAAGCTGTGAGAAAAAATGGGCTGGGTAAATATGCAGTGACTCCAACTGAAGGGAGTAGCACCGTGAAGGAATGGGACATTGATGATATCAACCGGCTGTAATGCTTGCTCGTTTGTTGGTGCGTTCCACACGCAAACCTAACTGCCAACAGGCGACTGAAAAGGGTATCCGATGTAACTCATACCACTATACCTATCTGCCTTGAGTACCGAACTGTGGATATATACATGGATACACTCAGTAGTGTCTATGCTCAAAATCGACTAGGGTAAATGTTGAAACGCATGAATTCCCCTCCTAAACAAAGACAATCACTGCGTGAACCTCTGTATTAGATGAGAGTTCGCCATATCTGGCCCTTCAACTCTCGAAGTCTCAGATCTAGCCTGTATTCATCAATTAAATCAGGCGATAATATCATCTGGTTTTTCCTTCTTGTCCTTCAAAGCGTACAGAACCGCCAAAACAATCAGAAGGAAACCCAACACAAAGAATAGCATAGTAACTTGTTTCTCCAATGGCAGTTGGGACTGGATACTTGGATATACCGATGTAGGGACGATGGAGGGTCGCACATTGTGTGCCAGGTTTCCGCATAGATCGGGCAAATCAATGGCATTCATTTTACCCATGTCCTGTTGGGTTTCTGAACCTGCATTGCGTGTTCCATATTGCTCCCTAGCCCACTGCTCGTAGTCCGCTTCATGTAGCTCTCCGTGATCGCGATTCTCTCTGCCATGTCTTGAAGGCATTGATGACTGTAGCTTGGGCTGGCTCGGACGATCGAATCAATTTTACCTGAATGATATGCGTGTTATACCAACTTCTTACTGTACGGAGTGAATGGTGTGGGGGCTTCTTAAGCTTACTCCTGTGAAATTGCTCAAATATATGCCTGGTTAAGAACCATTGATGATATCCAGGGCAACAGTAGCTGACCGTGCGGACAATAACGAGTGGTTAATCGTGAAGTACAATACAATAAATGTGGAATTCTCTCTCTAATATAATTTGATATCTATGTACGCTACCTTCGGGTGAACCAAGCTAGAATCGATTTACTGGATAAATTCAACTGGGCCGCTTTCCGCTAGACTTTCGTCAATCCGATCGGATCCCAGATTGTGCCTGCAATCAATCACGTCACGTAATCACTCAACTTAAAGATATTCCACGCAATTTGCTGCAAATCAATTTACTTGGCGCTCGAATGTGTTCTTAGTATCTGATCAGCAAAATGTCGTCTGCGCTGAGCTTTGCTGTTGATGATTTCAGATTTACAAATCATTTTGAGTGGATAAATTTGATATTAATGTTTAAATAATGAACGGCCAGTACAAATAGGAGTATTAAATGTACAAGCCGTCCTTTCTATTGTGTTTAGCATGCCTAGTATCATGTGATTTCCTCACCCCCGAGTTATAAGGAGTACACAACAGGGCCTGATGAAACACTAACAAGAACCTTCCTGATCTTTAAAATGCTACGTATAACCAAACACCTACCTATTTCTTATTCAAATGAGCATGGTGTGTGGCTGCTCAAGCACTTCTCAGAGGCTGGCCGACCATCAATGTCCTCTTTTTCTCGTGGAAAAAGAGTTTCTATGAAACCACACAAAAAGTACATCGTCGTGTTAGAGAGTCTGATAATTCCTCCTACCTGATCATCACGATGGTAGTGAGAACTTGAATGAAAGACTACAAGAGCAAAAAAGCGTGGCAAAACCAAACCTGAATCATACTGACATAGCATGAAGATCGACTGAGGTCAGCATCACTTTTCCGGTCACTGACAATGTTCCTGGCGTCCTGAAAGCTAATTATTTATGCGATGAGAGGAATCCGATATCTCGGTTTTGCAACGGACAATAGAGGCTGTACAAGCGCAGATTGATCAACTGTGTGTCCATGTAGCCGCATCGACTCTTCGATGCCGGATAACTATGTAAATGTGATAAATGCTAAATGAAAAAAAGAATAATCAATCTTTAAATTCGCTTGACAGTACCTTAAACACTGAGTAACCGCTTTCTGCCGTGAAAAAGACCTATGAGGGCGTAATTCGCGTCTCCTGCGCACGCACTAAATTTTACTGTATACCGGCTCTGAGACGCAGTGTAGCCATGTCTACAGTACAGTCTGCCGACCATTAGAACCTAACAATAGTTGATATGAGTCTGAGCACATCCTCGTTTTGTTAAAATGCTTCGATGTGGCCCACGGATACGTTTGGCTTTGGTTGAGATGCGAATGGTCTCCTACGTACTGGGATGACAATATCTACGTGAGGTAAATCAGTGAAATGATAGTAACCTGTGTATATATCTAACTGCTTGGGTTATCGAAGCCAATACCCCCTGTTTATGACACAGTAAAGAGGGTCAGTTTCCTTAACAAGGCGTTTAATTGACCCTGTTGGCTTCGTCAGAGCTACCGGGAAGGGGCTCTCCTGATGGTGAGGTGTCTTTGATGTGCTCAGCGGTAGCAGAGTAGGGATATGAAGCATAGGGTCGAAACTTATCAGGTTTATTGCTAGGTGGTCAGGAGGTAGACCTGGCGAAGCAACGGAGTAAATGAGGGTGCGGTCGTCCAAGAAGGCCCGCACCTTGCCAGAACACGAGGAAGGGCAGAGGAGACGATAGAGTTCAGCGGGGGCATCTTCCGGAGGCCACATATGCATGCCACGGGAAGCGAAGCGTGCATCTGATCCTTCGATAAGACGAGAATCCGCGTCAGATTGAGTTGATGGAAAGAGGAGGCCCCGTTCTCCGGCGATACCACAGCCATCAGTTGGGCATATGCGCTTTCGCGAAATTGTTCGGAGACGGAGGCGATCTCGACTGCGACCCCAATCTGCTCGATTCCTAGAATCATTCACAATATCGAAAAAGGTTGAGGCGCCGAAATGGTAACAGTGGTATTTAGTGTACGCAGCAATAAATTCTTGTCGTTGACCTGGGTCCTCATTTTCATACTCTGGATGGTAGTAGCGTTGCAGTCGATTCTTAGGCCTATTCTCCGGACCACCGATAGCTTCGTTGAAGTTTTCCCTCCATGATGGGTACTTCAGCCGTAATTCAGCGGGTGTATAAAGGCTCGCGAAATAATGTGTTCGATAGTTCTCGCTGCTCCCATTTGGCCATTCACGACGACATTCAGTGATCGTAGGACGCCCGGTAGATTCATCAAATTGAATAGAAAGCCACATCCACATCTCGTTTATTGGACCTTCACGGTGCTCACGGCGCCATATGAGACCACTCCACTTCTGGTCCTTCTGTCGGGGTGAATAACAGGACCAATGGTAGAAAGAATGATTCTCATCGCCATCAGTAGTCGGCAGCGTTGAGACGGCGTACAGGTGGTCCTGGTACATGTCAAAACAAAGGGTCCGGCCAATCTCCCAGTCCACAGCACAATCTAAATCGACTGCAATAAACTCATTGGTAGCCATATCCACACCATAGCATACCCAACGCCCTTGCGAGCCATGCGTAGCTGTGAAGGTGCCATACCATAGATACGAACGAGTGTGCCGCACAAAGATCGGGGTTGACGAGGGAATGGGCCGTTGCAGGAGTAGTCGTTTGCGTCTAGTCTGTTGGAGGGCTGTATCTATAGCAATCAACCAACTATTCTGCCCTCCAGATCCCTCTATACGAAACACCAGGATCTCATCTTTGAAATAGAGGAGTGTAACCTGGTTGATAGGATCAAGTCCGGTCGCTACTAGGCCACTGTCTAACCGAGGAATAATCTCGTGTAAATCCAAGAGGCGCTCTCGCCGGCCGCCATGATGCACGTCGAGCAGGCGGATTTCATGCTCAACCTGATAACATAGGATTCCTTGTTGGAAGAGGAAATCAGTCGCAAATGCTAGCATTGCCACTGCATACGGAGTAGCAGTAGCTACGGCTTCGTTAATTTTGAAACGATGGAGGATAGCGCTACGGTAACCAGATTGGTCAATCAAGGCAGCGCGTCCCTCCTTACTATAAGCGAGTTCCTTCTAAAATAGCAGGCAGTCAGTATATTGTACTCAACAACCACTATTAAATTGCCTTCTCTACTGAGACTAGGGTGTGCCCAGTGGCTGCGGCTCTTACTTCGACAATCTTTCGCGTGATCAGGTCATTGTCCAATAGAAGATAAAGAGTGCTGTTGGTGTGGCTTAAATGGACGTAGTCAACGCCATCCAAAAAGGTAACTATCATATAAAAAACATCAAATGGAATCGTGGTAAGGGATGGAGCACCTAACATGGCTGGCAAGTGAAGGTGAATGCCCTTTCACCTGTTGGAGAGACCTGGGGAGACAGAAAAGTGGGACGCTACCTTTATGTATTGTGTGACATGGCTGAAGACAATTGGTCTTAAATATGGCGCTAGATAAGTGTGGCGACCCAATTATGTCAAAGCGCCGTCCATAACCTAGGCGGACGACAAATTTCAGGGGCGATAGTAATGTATTGAGGCTCATCGTAAAATAGTTAGTCACCAGTTACGTCACCGTCTTTCTGGGCGATTGGTACGGTACATACGCTATTCTAGTGCTTGACATTTGTCTCTCAAGTCTTCCTAGCGAGAGCCTAAAATTGACCCGACAAGTGCTCTGGAGATAAAATATTCCAAAGCACGGAGTGAGAATTACTGTCCATTCAAGATATACCAGGGAATACGCCCCGCCAGCCTTTGAATGAGCCATGTCTCTAGTTTAAATCTCAGGATTGCGCCGGATAATCGAGCCATGCTCCACCGGTTCTTTTATTCTTCAGGCACCCGAGGCGGAGAAAAGAAAATCTGCATATCAAGGCCGCAGAGAGCCTGAATAAGCAAGTAACCCCCCTTGGGGGACTTGTCCCAGGAAACGTGAGTTATGTGGTCGCGGTCGTAGCGTATCACATTTATTGTGTATGGAGTTCGTGCAAGAGATAAGGAGGTTTAGGATTAGGGCGGTAAAATATTATAATCTCCTGCCAGTATAACGCATTTGACCTTAGTTGTTAGGTTGAAATGAACTTCAGACAATCAGTAGTCCAGACTTTCCAAATATACATCATATGGCCAGGCTATAAATCGGAGCTATATGTCTAATAGCGACAAGGCGCTAACATGTATTCTCCTTAGCGGTGGAGAGGGGATTGAAGGATGTCACAGGAAAGACTATACCTGGAAAAAGTGGTCACAGAGAGAATGACACCGATCGTATGGAACCTATGTGCAAGTTCTCAGCAGGGAAGATAATTCAGGACAATAACCCGAAAACAGCAGAGCAAGGAAATGAGGCTGGGGACTCCACCAACTCGAGTTAGGGAAAACTATCTGCATGACTGGCAATATACCATACTTGGCCTGTCTAGATTCTTGGCAGCCCTCTGGAGTTTTGCTTATCTTGTAGAGCGGGCGAAGCAAACTTGAAACCCCTGTCTTGTATCCCAGTACAACTAATGCTCTTCTTGTCGACGTTCATTTCAAAGTCACTCAAAATACCATGTTGCCCCACTATTTGCGCTGCGCCTGACTGGTCTTGGGACTTGTTTTGAGAATTATGACTAGCATCAATTTCACTGGAAGCATATTTCCAACAAATCTGGCAGTTTCATCTACCAAAACACACACCCCATGTGAAAGAACTCTGACCGTATTATGTCCCCTAAATGAACCAGAAAGGGGTTTTGTGGCGATGGATGAGGAAGTTTATTGGGACAGGTTTGTAGGCCGAATCGGGTGTAGGGGGCTATTCTCAACGCTAGAGTCAAGGGGAATATTCTGAGATAGGGTTGACTATATTAGCCCAATGTAAGATTGACAACGGAGATATGCTGATATTGAAATGCCACTAAGGGTTTGGTACCGATTGTCCTAAGTAAAGGACCAATTTATTCCTCCTTCGTCCAGAAGGCTGGATCACCCCTCGTCGGTGTGTGGTCTCGGGAGGGTCGTGGTTGAACTTGCAGTCTGGAGCCGAGACTAGCGCCATTGTGCAGGACGTTAGATATAAGGGGAAACGTTGAACTTGGCGACTTGGAATGGCAAGGAGTAGGCCTTCGCTGTTGGAAATAATATCGCTGATGTACCTACTTTGGGAAGGTCAAAATCTTCAGTTACCAAGGAGCAAGCTCACCTTGGTTGCTTCTAATGGAACGAGTTGGAGGCTGTTGGGTTTGGAACAGTATAAAATCGACATTGACAGAAGTGACAATAGGGATACTGGAGCCGGATCAGGATGGATTAAGATGTCAAAGTCAGGTGATGGTCTGAGTGAGAGAGTGAGCGGCTTCACCAGGATTTGTCTCTGTAAGGACAGACCAAGCTCAAACAGTAAGAGCGAACCAAAAGCGATTTCTTTCGGTGCAATATCCACCAACATTTCTGTGAGTGTGGTGGTTGTAGAAATGCCCATTGGCACACCCAGTGTCGGGCAATGAAAAAGACAAGAAGTCACAATGGGAAATTGTGGGAGGAAAAGTTCGGCCGGGAAGTGATACTGGTCCTGTCCTCCCTTCCCTCTCAATTTCACTTTTTCCGCTCTCAGTTCGTTCCATCGATCAACTTGCACCGATTTCTCCCAGTGAAGAGGCGAAATCAAATAACTTCCATCTTGATATATGAATCTTTTTCCGTCTCACATGCTTCATGATTGCAACGCATGTCAAGCGCAGCTTCCGCAGGTACCCTTCCTGGTGTCAACAGTTGAGGGATCAACCTTGAACTGACCAAAGGGAGTTTATTCCTCTACTCTGTTTACTCTATCTGGTAGTCCTAATTCTTGAATACCTTAAGCTAACAATGTCACGGATTATTCAGTTCCTTTTCGCGAACGAGTCCAACCAAGCCATTAAACCCCCTTATGGAGAAGGAAAGCGAGAAACCTACACCGAGGGCACGACCGCACCTAGTCCCAAGAATCGATCAAGATTGCTGGTCTGGATACCATCTGAACTTTTATTCTATGAAGCAGGAGATGAGGGGTCGACATTCAGCTTAAGCTTCCGTGCTTCCAGCTCGGTTCTCTGGGACGCAAGGTTATGCAGGTGTTTGTCCTACTCTGAATTCTGACGACAAAGGATACCTCCCTCTGCTTGGATGTTGTCGTTTTGAGTATTGTGTACGCATGACAATCCTCCGCTGAGACCCCTCCCCCGATTTAGTCGAACTCGGATCCGAATCGTGGCTCGAACCGCGAGGTACAAACACACACTCCTTAGAAAGCACGGTAGGTGGTAACAGGGAACAAATAGCCTGCAGGTTGGGATGCACAACATGTTGGGACATGCCGTAGTGATTCAAACCCCAACAGGTGAGAACACAATCCAAACAAAAGTTTAACTCAGACAAGCTATGGCGGCATTTAAAGGAAAATGGTTGTAGTCCTACTTTTGGGTTTCCGCTCATTGCTTGGTCTGGTCTGTTCCTGCAATAAACTCAGCGCTCGTTGGTCCTGGTAGGCGAAACTTTGGTGTTGTATTGACATTCCAGTAAATGCCGGTTGACCGGGAGTGGTGATCGATATCGGTATAATGGATGTTGGTGCCAGCTTTGATAACAGTCTGGTATCTATAGGCGATGGCTGCGTTGGTATACTGGTCCATAAAGATGGCGGCGCCGGGGATTGCATCGAGGCGAGATACGGCGGTGCGGACATGCAGTAAATCCCACTTACGTCCAGCAGCGGAGAGGGATGGTGGATAGATGGAGATTCATACGACATGGATAATTGTTGCACCGGTAAAAGGGATGCGTGGTTGTAACATCCGATTTCATCGACTGGGAGTAAAGGCTCACGGTGGGATTCCTGCATGATCAGGAGCGATGAATATTGTTTCTTTCGGCACACGACGCAGGCACATCGTGTGGAAGATCAAAATGAAGCAAGAAGGATAACTAATGTGAATAATAATAAGGAGTCCGGAGGGGGCAAGTCATTTGAAGGGCCTACTGGTCTCCTCCCAGGAGGAAGCAGAACCTCGGATACTAGTGGCACCTGAAGCGCCAGGAGATATCAGTGGACTGAAAGTCCTATTAGCGAGAAATACTAAATTGCCGGGGCTTTGTCCGTGCCCCAAACCTAACTGAAACAGGAAGACCCGCATAATCTTTGGATGGGACTTCAATTTTGTAGGCCATCATGCCTGTCGCGGCCCTTGAGAAGGAAGATTGCAGATAAGAAACGTTTCGAGTCATAATTTGTTACTTGGGTGCAATACATGGCTTGACCAAAGTCATGTTCAAGAAGGTCGTTGACTATTGCTTCCAAATGTTTGTCTCCCTATGTTGCCGTCGGGAAGGAGAGTGGTACACTGGACGGAAGGGTGTGCGTAACATGCATGGTTAACTCCCCTTTGGTCCCCATTGGGGCTCCACTACCTAATAGTTTGACACTAGTAAAATCGATCCAGATAATGTACTTGAATCTATACTCGTTGAGGATAGACACGGGTTACCCGTCACCTGCTTCGTGAAAGCATATGTTCCGTACATCGGATTTGTACGGAACTGCCGGCCGGTCAACTGCTCTTGTAAGTTATTCCAGCTGCTAATTATGTAACAAAATTACGCGCCATTATTTTTTGAAGGAACGAAAATACTTATGAGAGGGAAGTTACGTTCGTCACGCAGGATGGCTGTACTTCCTCGAACCTCCCTTTTCGCCGTGGCATCGCTTCCAGTGTGAACAGTCAGTCACGGCTGTCTCTATAAAGCGAACCCGACCTTTCAATAGCGAGATAAACTAGCAAGTACCTGTTGAAGATTTTTCGTCTTCTCTCACCAAGTCTGATTAGGAAAAAGTGGAGAAAAGTGTATCACAGCAGGGGCAATCATGGCTCAGTCATTTAGTAGCTCGAGTGACGAAATCATGTATGGGGCCAAACATGACTGGGCCCACACCAGGATCCAACCGATACCCCCAGCTAGGGCGCTCTGAAGTTATTTCTCCCTTTCCGCGCTGGAGATTGGCATTTCCCATGCATCTACCCTCATCCAACTTGTGGTGGCTGTTTGCTTTTGAACCTTCAATAACTGCTTCAGACTGCATCTGCATACGAATTTCTCCAAGCTCACGACTTTGCTATCCCAAGGAGAGCCTTGGAAATAGTTTTCTCAAGATTGAATGATGACCGGTGGCTCCGCAACGGAGCGAAGTAGCCTGTTCAGTAAATTTCACTTATTCTGTAATGATCACGCGTCACCCTACATTAACGACAGGTATCCTCACCTATGCCCGAGCACAGTGAACAACCATTTGCAACTCTTCCAATGGACGATATTCCATATCAAACATATTATCAGGATATTGAGGGATTACGTCTAAATGCGTAAGTCTCTCGGTGGTATAAAACGCTCCGAAAACAGCGCTAAGACCATTGACCATAATATTAGACGAGAGGAGTTCCCGGAATACGTGCAGGTTCCTACGCATTTATGACAACCTGATTAACCATCAAGTGGATGGAAGGAAACATGGTTACAGCCTCTATGAAGACGGAATTGGGCACCAACGATGAAATTTCTCAAGGGACGTGCGCTATTCTCCACGCACTGTAATGGCGTTTAGAAACGTCTCTTGGCAGCTCCTAACCTGTAAAGAAGTAAAACATTTCGGGCGGTGACGAAAAATGATCCATTCTTGGACATCCGGCCTAAGCAACCTGCCGTGGTCTATTTGGGTCATGTGCAATGTGGTATCCAGGGTGCAGGTGATTGGCCTGCCGTCTACTCCAGACCAAGGGCTTTTATTACAAAACGTTACGTAGAATTTGTATTATGAAGTATCATACTAAATTGACTTGACCATTTAAGGGGTTCTTCCCCCGTTCCTCACTCACTATTTCTTACTATTCTTCTCACCTGTTGAGTGATTTCTATCCCACCTTCGAAAATAAGCCAAACTTCTTTCTATTCGGTCGGCCTTTCAGCATGACCAGAAAATATCTGAAACATAATACGACCTCGTCTACCCATCCCCAGGCATTCGGCGAAGCAAATGTATCGCAGCCAGAACTCAGGGTATGTCGTTGTTGCTAGCAATAAGACATCCAAATGCCCTCTCTTAATCGCATCTTGAGGCTAATTTTATGAATGTGGAAATAGCAGTCGGATTTTCCCTCTAGAAACGGTGGACCGGGGAATGTTGCAGCCCAGGCCAATACAGATTGTGTTTTCACAGGCCCCGTACTCACCCAGATTGAGGATGGTTCAGAAGTTCTGAATGGCAATGTTTACGACGTGCAAAAACCGCAGCCACAAGGCTGGAATGTTATGCAAGGTGGCTTCGTAAAGGGAAACAGTAAACTTGTCAATGGTAATATGCCCAAAGAAGCCTTCCTTGCATACTTCTGCGCCAAAAAAAAGACCCCATGATATCTGAGAGGTCGCTGTTGCATCTTTTGATTGATTATCAGTTTCCTGTGGCGTCCTATTGTCTTCTTGGTATAAAAGAAGCTTTCATTGATCTTCGTTGGTGATCCGTCTTCATCTATTATTGTAAGGCATGCTCGATGGTTCTTGATTTAAGCCTCTCAAAAATTTAATTAGCGGTCTGAGCAGAAGGCAGTACGTAACAGGCAAGTAGGTTTGCTCTTCGTGGATCTATACCCATTCAAGATAGAAGCGGACCACCGATGGACTGCGTTGTGTACAGTTTGTCCACGAAACCCGACAATTCCCGTAGTCCGTGCTTTGCTTTGCGTTGAGCCATGGTCATGGCCGACGAGCCCGCTTCCTTATGACATACTCCAACTTTAGCCGCGTAACAAGACTCCGGGTCAATACCGACAATCCACATGCTTTAAGACCGGTCGTCTCTATCATCTGCTTTGATAACTGATCTTTGTGAATCCTGAAGTCGAACATAAGGTGGGTGGGAAATGCCTAGGTCGACGGGGCCCGTCCTGTAGTTAGCCAAAACTGTCCCGATAGAGGGATACTTTTTCAACTGCCCCTAATACCCCCACGTTACAATAGTTGCCAGTGATCAGTATGGGATGCTTGCTGTTGAATAGACGGGATTCGTACGTCAAATATCAATGCACACCACCGATGGATGCCAAGAAATGGAAAAGCCATAGTTTCTAATTCTGGAAGTCACAAAGTGAATCAGCCATATAAACCGACCCAACTGCGCTAGATTTCTAAATACGATACATGTGGTTCCCGATCCTGGAGAAAGGAGAGTTATCATTGGCCTGGACCGTGCAGACCGATCCGTCTAGGGCAATTTTTGTTACGGTTCTATTTCCTAGAATGGAGGGCCGTGATCGCCGGTACTTTTTCGGTACTAGTCACATTACTTAGGGTTTCCAAACACCTGTAACGACTCTAGGTAGCGCAGCCCAGCTTGACTAACGGGAATATCAAAGCCAATAAAGTGAAGGCGTTTGGCGTCCGAGGACGCGGCGTCAGTGATTGGTGAGGGGATGACAATGCGTTACCATAGCTACTGCAGGTACTATGGTTCTCTTAGAGTCATGTATAGGTTCCTGAGCATCTCTTAGAAACGGGTTGACCTCCAGGGAGCACGGAAATACTGAAAAGAGTTTTCACTTGTATGGGGGTGGGGACGATCACGAAGAACGCGACTCTTTAAGAGTTTCCCGCGCTATTTTTCAGCCTAGAGTGGCTTCCTTGACCCAGGCGCTTGTGGAAATGCTAACGGGGCTAATTGCGGTAGTCTGCTTCCTGGCCCAGACCTGGTGTCATCACACCTAAAACTACTCAACGTGATCTCGTACTGTGACATCGGGTATAATCTCTTTGAACGACGCTGGTGAAACTGAGTTGCCGACCCGAGGTTGTCTACGAATGTCTTTCTTCCCCAAAGACCCATTTCCACGCTTTTAAGCCATGTCAGCAGCACACTATCGAATCTCTGGTGCGCTTTCACAAAGAGGTCTTTCTAATCGATACTGCGGAAAACACGAATGGCCCATGGGCGGAGGGACAGCTTCAAACATGAAAGAATCAAAGTCTCCCGCCATCCGATAATGCCCGAAATAGGCCGCGCGGTGGTGACAGTAGGACGTGTGAGAGTAGAAAAATATCTGATCAGTGGGGCCTCACAAGACTCACCGTTGGAAACGCAAGAGCTTCCCACGTATTGCATCTGCCAGCGTCATCCATGAATCATCTGATCGTTGGTAACCAACTGCACAAACCTGAGGACATGGGCAGATAGCCGCAGTCTATTAAACACGTTTTGTCATGAAGAAAAGCAAAAAATTAGATATTGAGCATGAATGAGGCATTTGGGCATATTTCATTCTTCCTTTGGCTCTGCCACCAAGACAGGATGCTGATAGAATTAGTAGAGCACACGAAGGACGGAATACCGGTCAGCAGATATTGGTCTTCTTGTCGGATGTCCACAATCTGGACAGAATAAACCAATTGGAAGACAAAACAAAGAACAATTGGTAAAAAACGGCTTGGAATCAAATTGAACTATCTTGGACATTATGTAATGATGACAAAGGGTTCATTGCCCTTGCGTGACACTTCTGTCCCTGCAAAGTCTTTCCATCCACTTTCCAATCTCGACACATGCTCCCGGAGTGTGGAGCAAATGGTACTGAACTGCAAAGATCAGCATACAATTCAACAACCTGAGGGCCTGGGCCCGAAGGATAACGTGTCGTTCGGGGTCTGAAGCCCCAAAGCATGTAATGAGAACAGAGTTTAGTTCCTGGAGAGAAACAAAGACCTTGGAAGTATCCTTTACTTTGACAGGAATATAACTTGCGTCGGTATCTCCAATTTCTGCCTCCCAACAATTGAGAGTTTCAACATCGAGGTCATACTCGCGTAAACTCTCAATTAGCGTGCGGAAGATAGCTATTGACTGGAGAGCTTGTGTCTTCAAGGATCGTTGGAGAGTTTCAACCGACATTTCAGCATCCTCTGGAGTTGAAGGTTCGGTTGCTGCACTATACTCGGTTAGCTATCTATGATAAGTTTGATCTGAGATTGCAGTTATCCAAACCTTGATTTTTCTTCCACTGACTCCTTATTTGTGTCATTCACTTTGGATATTGTTCCACTTGTCTGCATGGAAATTTCCTGTACTGGTCTCTTGCCCGACCTTTCCGTGGGATTTCTTTTCCTTTTCTTGGTTCGTTCCGGTGAACCTGCGGGCGACGGCCGCGGCATGATGGGGCGGTAAGTCGTGGGTTGCCGTGCAGGCTGAGGGACGATCGAATCCCAGCACCGCTCCCCTTGGATGCCCTGGTGAAATGTATTTGATGGGCCAGAGTGAGAGACCGGATAAGAGAGTGGTGGGTATGTGCCAAAATAGTGCGTTGCTGGTGGTTCCACGGGCGTAAAACCTGCAAATGCAGGGTCCCAATGGAACATGTTGCCGAATAGGGTGAGTTGATTCAGTGTGCTATATATACAAATAACTTGTGGATGTAAGGTACCGCTTCGCGATTTATAGCAACACTGATTTCAAAAAATGAGAACGTATTGGAAGAGCTGAATGGTGACAATAGTATGAAAATATCGGCGCCCAATCTTGTAGGTGGATAACAACAATCCCCTGGAACTCGACGCGGGATAGCTAGAACAAGGAAATAAAGGGTTGAGTATAAAATCAATCTAACCTTTTCACATAAGATGCGCCAGGAGCCAGAATAGCCTAAGCCACGTAAGTCATGAAAGGCCGAATGAATTCAGTGATAGGGTCTTAGCCGTAGTAGCCCACGGCAGTGCATATTAGTTGTCAAAGTTCAGGGAGAATGTTATGTCAATTTCTCTGGGTTACCCACTCAATTTAAACAACCTGGTCCTAAAAAGGTAGATTGTAACTTGGCTAACCCGTAGTGGTGTTCGGAAAATCGTGCAATAAAAATCGGATCCCTGATCTGGCCGCCAATCCCAATATAGACCCACCAATCGCCCCGTGCACGAAAAACAGAATTGGACCTATGAAGTCACTACCTTGAAGAGGCCGCCGATAAATCTGGCGCTATAAATGGGCCCTCGGCCATCAAACTACGTATGAGTTCCCCTTTGTGTGGATGAGGCTAGTCTGCGATGGAGCTGCTGAGGTCCTCCAAGTCGGCTTGATAAGAAGTTGAATTCGAAGCGCTGATTAGCTTCATTTTTTTCTACTCGCCATAACACTCGCGCTCATGAAATCAGAATTCCCGTCACCATTCTAAGGGGTTATTCGAGTACGTCGGCAGGTGATAATCGTCGACCCCTCGCACTCTACGTAATATTGCTAGAATCCAGCCTCGTGGGGGTCAGTGCGTCAATTATTCCCCAAATGAGTTTCCCAATGAAGCTGGACTGACTTGAAGCCGTTAGGCAAAATAACCTATCCAAATTCAGTAGCACCTTATTGCACAAGCGGTGTATATAATTGCGCATACTACGCGTAAAAAGCTCGCTACGAGCGGATGTATCTTTCCACCTTGTACCTTCTCTATCGTCTTCAGGCCAGGCCTGTGGGAAGTCCCGTCCTGGAGGGCCAGTATCCGCCAGAGCCGACACGCATAAGACAAGTGTAGACTAGGATCAACGCCTAGAACTTTCATTCGACCACAAAGATAGATTAGGAAGGCGAGGGGGCCCTTCGTATGTACCCATCGCATTTGGTCTTGCCATTATGCAACTAAGAAGCGTCGGCGCTAAGACACAAATGTGAGACCCACTAAGTCATGGATGGTATGGGCAACAGCCCATGGATACCCCCCCCCCTCCTCACTCTTCGTTTGCACGGATTTTATTTTTAATACTGGGAATTACGGTGTATTGTAAACCCGTGTAATAAAAAGCCCTGCCCGCGGTATATCATTCCACTCATAAAGATATTTCGACAGCCAACTATATTCCCTTTCTTCAGGTCTTTTTGAGTCTAAATATCTGCACTCTTACAATTGTGAAGTTGCAACTAACGGCGCGGCTAGTCATCCCTTTTGCCAAGCAGTCACCCTTATACCCTATCCAGCCTTCACGGCGAAAATCATGTCTTCCGAGACCTTTCCCATTGCTTCCAATCTGTCTGTTTCTTGCTCTATGGCTGGTAATACCCAAATGACTGCCAACCAATTGCAGTGGTTTGACGAGGGTACTATTATTCTGAAAGCATTTAACTCCGAAAAGGTTCGCCAGGTGATCCATTACCGACCATTTCCCGACGACGGCTATCCTCGCAGGTGCTTGTTAGAGCGTAACAAGGCCTTTCTTACTGGCGTGCTGGGACTCTGGGGGTATGAGTCACTTGATAATCTTTCTATCGAACAGATGGTCGACAAGATCTTCTTGCATTCCATCACCCCTTTCCAACCCGTCCTATGGCACTGGTCTCCTACACTAGTTTGTTCGCAAGATGCACAAGCAATTGCCGAAGCAATTGAGAGTGAAAGCCATTATCACTTCAAAACAATCCCATTCGCCGAGATTGTGCGCGTGTCCCTTGGCTACGAAACAGACGCTGTTAAATGGTTTTCACACCAACATACACTACTGTCCAAAACGGTCACTGAGCACCTTCGGCACCATCCTGAGGAAGTTTCTCTCTATGAAGGGGTAGAAAAGGTATAGTTCACTTTTCATCCGATAACCTTCTGATTCCCTCTAATTGAGACTCTTTTCAAGGTCCTACGAACCAAAAGTCCATTTGCCCATCAAGCTCTAGTGCAAAGCCTACTTTGTGTGCGACCAGAAAGCACCCATTATGACTTACCCCGACCCGAGGCCTCATTTGATTTTATATCATGGCCTATTAAACGCCTTTTTCTTCAAGGTTCTCAGCCTTTGAAAATATTGCTCGACATACTGGACGTTCTGACCATCCGCTTCCAACGACAGTACGTTGGTGCCCACACAATGAACTGGACTCTTCCATTCGATACTGAACTGGTATTCCTGGAAGACTATTACAGTTCGGTCACACCCCGTGCATTGGCCCTAATATTGACGGACAAAGACCTAGCTTTGTGTATGCCAGCCAACATGAGTACCAGCCAGTGGAATGACATCGTCGCAGCCGACCATTTCCGATGTATTGTGCATAGAATTATCGATGATGATGAATTGAGGTGTCGGTTTATTGAATCATGGGATAAGCTCAGCAATTCTGTATGGGATTGCTGCGTTGCGCTACCGAATATTGTTCCACTCTTGGAAAGTTGTATCGAGGTAAGTATTCTATGTTGCTTCTTGCCTGACGCCGGCTGTCTAACTGAATCTCTAAATAGATCCTTATTGAACTCCGTAATTACCATTCGGCGACGTCTATGATGGACGGCATGAACAAATACCGCATCTCAACGGGGGAATTGGATTTGACTGATGAATGTTTAAACGTCGCCAAGAGCCTCAGCAGTGCTGAACAAGACGATGACCAGTATCCTATAGTTCCGTGGATTCAGCCAATTCTTGATGAGCGTCAAAGCGCCGGTGCATTTTATGCTCTTCACCATGGCTATGATCATTTCAGAGAGGGGAACAAGCATCTCTCGCATTGAAACATGGGAGCGGCTTACAAATATCCGCAAGAATACAATCCATCAGAATGCGATGTACCCACCAAATAGTTTGTTATTGTAGTAGCACATTTGCTGAGAGGGCCCCAGACGCAACACCGATTCCACCTCCCATTCTAGGCCATGAGAGTTGAAGATCGGATTATAACCTTGAGATAGCGATTGCATCGTGTCTTCCGGTGAGCCCACAGGTGAACTCTCTGCCAAGGCCTTTCAGCAAGTGAGTCTTATATGCATACAACGGCATTTTGTTTCAGTAATCTCACCCTTGTACCTCTCGGCTATTCGCTATTCTATAGAAACGCGACGTGTCTGCCATTGACGACGGTATCTATGATAGGGCCGGAAAATTGCCAAGGGTGAAACTTGTTGTTGCATGATTGCTTGAACGTCGTGGTAATGGGGTACGAGATGTTCTACTAAGAGTTTCACATTTGACCCTCAAATATATCTTCGGATTCGGACTTACAGTAGAGAACATCTTTCCTATCCCTAGCTTTGAAATCCCTGTCTTGTGTCCTTGTACAACTAATCGTCTTCCTGTCGACGTTCATTTCAAAGTCACTCAAAATACCGGGTTGTCCCACTATCTGCGCTGCGGCTGACTGGCCTTGTGACGTGTTTCGACAATGATGACTAGCATCAATTTCACTGGAAGCATATTTCCAACAAATCTGGCAGTTTCATCTAGCAAAACACACACCCCATGTGAAACAACTCTGACCGTATTATGTCCCCTAACTGAACCAGAAAGGGGTTTCGTGGCGACGGATGAGGAAGTTTATTGGGGCAGGTTTGTAGGTCGAATCAGGTGTAGGGGGTTATTCTCGACAGTAGAGTTAGGGGAACTGTTCTGAGAGAGGCGAGACTATATTAGCGCAATGTAAGATTGACATCAGAAATATGCTGATATTGAACGTCACTAGGAATTTGGTACCGATTGTCATAAGTAAAGGACCAATTTATTATTCCTCCTTCATCCGGAAGGCTGGATCATTCCTCGCCGAAGCGTGGTCTCGGGAGGGTCGTAGTTGAACTTGCAGTCTGGAGCCGAGACTAACGCCGTTGTGCAGGAAGTTAGATATAAGGGGAAACGTTGAACTTGGCGACTTGGACTGGCAAGGAGTAGGCCTTCGCTGTTGGAAATAATATCGCTGATGTACCTACTGTGGGATGGTCAAAATCTCCAGTTACCAAGGAGAAAGCTCAGCTTGGTTGCTTCTTATGGAATGAACTGGAGGCTGTTAGGTTTGGAACAGTATGACATGGGCATTGACAAACGCGACAATAAAGGCTAATTGGAGCCAGACCAAGATGGATTAAGATGCCATAGTGAGGTGACGATCCGAGTGGCAGAGTAAGCTGCTTCACCAGGATTTGTCCCTGTAAGGACAGACCAAGCTCAAACAGTAAGAGCGAGCCCAAAGCGAGTTCTTTTTGGTTCAGCGCCCACGAAACATTCCTGTGAGGGTGGTGGCTGTAAAAACGCCGGCTAGCACACCTACTCCTGGGGAAGGAAAAGACAAGAAGTCGGAATTGGAAATTGCGGGAGGAAAAGTTCGGCCGGGAAGTGATGCTGTGCCTCTCCTCCCTTCCGTCTCCATTTTAACTTTTCCCACTCTCAGTTCATTCCACTGATCGACTTGCACTGATTTCTTTTAGTGAAGAGGCGGAATCAAATAACGTCCATTTGGTGAATGACGCTTCTTCCGTCTCACATGCTTCATGATTGCAACGCATCTCAACCACAGCTTCCGCATGTACCGTTCCTGGTGTGAACAGTTGAGGGGTCAACCTAGATCTTTATTAAGGACGAAAGGGAGTCTGTTCCTCTACTTTGTTTACTGTATCTGGCGGACTTCGTTTTTGAATACCTCAAGCTGACAATGTCACCGATTATTCAGTTCCTTTTCGCGAACGAGTCCAACCAAGCCATTCACAGCCCTCTACGGAGAAGGAAAGCGAGAAACCTACACCGAGGGCACGACCGCAGCTAGTCCCAAGAATCGATCAAGATTGCAGGCTTGGATACCACCTGAGCTTTTATTCTATGAAGCAGGAGATGAGGGGTTGTCGTATCGAGGATTGTGCTCGCATGACAGTCCTCCGCTGAGACCCCTCCCTCAATTTAGTCGAACTCGGATCCGAATCGTGGCTCGCCCCAACAGTGAAATTTGCGCTGTACGCTCCAGAAGACGGCGGACATGTATTCGAGGTTTCTCTTTTCACGTGAATGGCCGCCCTACATCGTGGGTATATTTGGTGCACAGATGCCTTGTCGGGTTAAATGCTTGTTCGCCGCTTGGAAGCCTTCCACCTGTTGCGTACACTGTTTCATCTTATCTGCTAAAAAATCCATCTCCCGGCCAGTCCGGGTAGTTCTTATACTGTCAAAAGTCTGGCAACAAGGGAAGTATGCTTCGGGGTTTCTTGAAGGTTATGATTCGAAGATTTATGTAACCCAGAGAATGCCTTACTGAGAAATGGACTGACGACACCATTGCACGACCCCAAGCCTGAATGACGGCCAACCTAAAGTAGCGTCAGTGCTTAGAAACGTGGATGGGTTGGCTCCGGTATAGTACGCTAGGTAGAGTCCTAGTCATAGCTGTGTAGACACTGTAAGATTCCTGACCTCTCCGCTGCCTTCACGCTTCTGCTTCTGTTATGAGCCTATATTAATACTTCCTCCGTTTTTTCTCTAATAGAGGACGGAGTCGTACGACTTAGAATCGACAAATTTACTCCTCGTGCATTTATTTCAACCCGTTTATAACAGAAATTACCACCATTTTTATTTGCCAATAAGTTGATATGAAATTATTTTAATATGTTTTTCAACAGCTTGCTAATATTTTGTCTCGTTAAGTTGACTGTAATGCGCGTTATTTTCGAAATACTCAATGGAATTGTATCAATCTTTGTATCCAGCGGTACTTGTAAGAATTCGATCATCTGGACCTTGTTCATTGACAACTCTAGAAAGAAACGCAGGCGGTCATTCGTAGAGGCGAACCCATTAACGCCCAAAGCAGCCGAATACAGAATCTCCAAGAAATATCTGACGGACCAGATCTCTCATGGAGCTCATAATCCCCGTATCCTCGAATGCGTTACCAGTGCTTGAAGGATGAGGTCCCTTCGTTTCATCCAATGATGCAAAACCATTTACCGGACAAAGTTCAGACATATACCTGAGGCTTGCAACAAGATCATAATCCCTTGAAGGATCAAGAAGGTAGGAATGCTGCTGCTCGGCATCGGCCCGGGACTGGCTCGCTTTCATCCCTATGATAACAGCAGTAAAAGAAAAGAAGTTGCGATGATGGTGGAACTCCTGAAAGGCCTTTGTCAATAGCAAGGCCAGAAGTGACAGGTGACATTTTCCTAAACCTACCTGGGCAAGTGAGTTCATCTCCAGGTCACTGACGATACCAGTATCGATATATTCCTTAACCGAGTGACAGAGTCGGTTCCAGCGGTTATTAATACTACACAACTCCTGGTGATCTAATTTTGCGGATTGGGTACCGAGCTGCTTATAGAAAGCATAGTCCTCTCCTGACAGAACTTGCCCCAGTGCGAACACTCCGATGTGTTTCAAACGCCCCAGGGCTTTGGTGCGATCATCGAAGGGCACATCCCAGTCAACCTTTGCTGCATAGAAGTGGCCGTAAAACCGAAGCATTGAGTCTTCCAATTCTCGGAGAATAACTTGGGCCGAATCAGGCTTTTTAAGGGTTTGTCGCAATGGGCTGGCGATTAAGTTCAAGGCTGTTTCCAGCCTAATGCACACGGTCTTGGTCTGCGCAGTGCTATCGATTTCCCAAGCGGTTGCTGTTGCTGCGTACAAGAAGGGATCGGCCTTGGTTTCCTCTAGGCACTACACAGTGTTAGAGCATGCCCTTCTCGAGATGTTGGAAGCAGGAGTAAGCTAACTTACTTCCCTCAGCTGGAGTAGAAACCTCCTGTGTCCGTCGTTTCTGCCAAACTTCCAGTACAGTATCACACAGAGGAGTTCATATTGCCAAAGAAAGTGCGCAACTGCGCCAGAGTAGAGCCCATAGGCAAATCGTACAATCTCTTCAAAACCAATGCGTTTGAATTTGCTATGGCTCTTTTCTGAAAGCGTAGATGCGACTGCCTTGGGCCCATCTCTGAGCCATTGGGGAAGATCCAAATCCCAATCCATTGAGAAGGTGAGACTATCTTGAGTCTGAGGAGAGACCTTTGGTAACCCCATCATGTCGGCAAAATCATCGTTGTACAAACCAAATCTGCAAAGCCGGCTGATGGATATCTCATCCCCTTGAAGTTGTAAAACCTCGATCTCATCTTTCCTCCAGCATTTAAACCCTAGTTCCTCGTATTCTAAGGCTTGATCAACTTTGGGTTCGCTCAAGGGGTATAACGTATAAGAAGTATTTGTGAAACTGGAGCTCGAAAATGACGATATTGAAGGTGAATGAAGAATGGCTAGATCCAAAAGTTCGTCTTCTCGTTAGATGAAAAGGTTATATTATCTCGGTGATGTCATACCTTTTTTGTTGTCACCACTTAACTCCGCGTTGCACATTTTTGATAGGTAACGAAGTACGGAATGCTGGTAGTCAAAGAGAGGGACTGGACCCTCATATACTGATGCACATTTGACAAAAATAAACGTAGCTCTTGAACCGAGGAGACAGAAACTTATCATTGGTCGGGGCCGTATGGACTGACCCACTAAGGGCATTGCTGTAAATACGTTTCTATCTCCCAGGAGCCAGCTAGTATTGGGAGGCAAGCCTCGTGATCGGCGGTACTTATTTAGGTACTAAATACATTACTTGGGATTTCTCTGTAGCATGCGTTGGGGTGGCCTAAGCTAACTAGCGGGAACCATAAGCGCCAATAAAGTGAAGGGCGATTGGCTTCCAAGGGCGCGGCGTCCGAGCTGGACAGTGGGAAGAAAGTACACCATTATCGAGACTGCAGGTACAGTGCATCTCATAGAGGCGCCTATAGGTTACTATGCAGCTCTGAGAACCGGACTGGTCGACAGGTAGCACGGAAGTAATGAAAGGTATTTCTAATCCGTATGGGGACGGGGATGGTCACCAAAAACGTAGCTGCTGCTTGAGCGTGGCTTGCGCCATTTTTACACACTATAATAGGTCTCTTGCGCAACCCCCTTCTAACGGGGTTCACCTAATTAGCCTACTTTCCGGTCTAGGCCTGGCCGTGTCCCATCATCATTGAGGTATGATCTCCGTTACCGAATCGCTTATATATCTGGGCAACGAACGGTAGAAGTTGTCGGCCGGAAGCATGCCCGTTTTATTTGATTGATTCCCGACGATTCTTTACGGTAATGCATACCGGGAGCAAATGTCTTGGTTCTTGCCAATTTTTGGGATACTAGAGATGATGTGAGCCTGTAAATATTTGACCGTACTGGAAAGATTGATTTAGCTCGAATTCAATCTACGCAGCAGTGTGTGGATCCAAAGACGTACATAAACCTGCAATGTCCAATTCGAGTGCAGCAAATCATATATCTGCGGTTGTACATGTATACATTTCTCTAACATCTTCACTCTCCCCCATATCTCAGATTTACAGCATGGAACAAGACCAAACTTGCTTTCAAAGTTATCCTTTGGGGTTCCCTTATTCGCACAGATTTCATCGTTTGATAAATTCCTTTCATCGGGAGCCCATGATCACGGTTGAGTCCTTGAGAAGTCAGTCCAAGACCCGTAATGAATTGATACAAAAACGAGGCTCATACCATACTCCTTGAATTTTTTCCGGACCTCAGCAGCTTCGTCCGAGTGAAGGTCTGCGAAGGCCTTTCTGAGTTGTCGCTCGATTTCCCTCATGTAGAGCAACCTCGCCTCGTCAGATTTCATATCCTGACAAGGTCCATGATCTAATAGTTGCAAAGCGTCGTAGACCTCTTTATCGACCTCTGGCAGTATATTGTTCTCAGATGTTTCAAAAATTGGGGGCATTATCTGGACGAGTAGGCTGCAGGATTTGTTAACCATGATCTCATGGGAGGTCAAACACATTGCCGGGGTTAATTAGAGTGATATTCAACCTCTGGGTCTTACCAGTTGGCACAGTTGATATGTGGTACGGGGGCAGGGTGACAATTCGCAACGGCGGGTGGTGTAGAAAGAAGAGATAGTAGTCGCCGGTTTTGGAGTTTTAGAAAGGCAGTGATCACGTGTCATGTGCTTGAATTATACGATTACGCAGACTCTTATCCCTTTCCATGATTTAGTCAGCTGTCCATTCAGAGGGATTGAACGATATGCAATTGCCTGGGCTAACCCCCTATAAACTTAGTGCTCCTAATCAACGCAAAAAGGAAGCTCGCATGTCTGGAATTGCCGTACCGATGTACTGTACATTAATCTGCTGTTTTACGGTAACGAACCCACATTACTAGTGCGTTCATTGGTCCTAATTGACCGCCCCACTAACAATTTCGTCATGGTGTTTGGAAAGATCGTGTAACAAAACTAGGGGCGCCGATCTAGCCGCTAATCTCAAATTGGAAATAATCGCCCCGTGCGTTTCGAACTCGACGATACGAGCCAGCTGCTGAGGGGCCCAGTCTTATGCGGGTTGCAGGATCCAATCCATCTTCGGGCTCTGTGACCCTGACCCGAGTGTGGCAGGACAAAAAGATGAAAGGCGATTATTGTACCGTTCTACAATTAATAATCACAGTTTGATCTGGCGAATAATTCCAAGTCACCTCCCTTTCTAATATATAAACCAATTGCCTGAGTCCTTTGGAAGGACCATGTCTCTGAACCTCATCTGGTCATCCGAAATGCTCTCCGCGAAGATTTTGTTTCGTTTGAGCAGCACCTCAGGAACTGACTATTTGCACCATGTCAGTTGAAATCTCACTTGCATCTCCATTCCATTGCAAGCCATGGAAAGTCGGCAGCACCAGAAATGGACAGTCTCATACGATCTTCTCTACTGAGAGAAGAGATAGAAGAGCGATGGAGGCTTTCCCCCAATTTTGATTGTGCCATACAAAACTAACCCAACTACGGCCGAGATTGGACGCAGATACGCCGCTATTTAGACAAAGACCTTGCGTCAAAGGCCATCCGCGAATGCTCCTCTTGTTTTCTATTTCTCTTGGAATATGCACTTATTAAACCATCTTCCTACAACTGTGCCGGGGAATGTCTTTTTTTCCTTGCTTGTAAAGAAGGTGCCGAGCATATCGCCCACCGGATTCTTCCGAAAATTACGCCTGAGCATCTTCTTGACCCTGTTTGGTTCACCGGGGACGCAAAAGGACCATCCTATCTTCAATTTGTGACGGCTTTCCCGAATTAGTTCCAGCTAGTTTGGGAAAAACTTGGCTCATCGCCACCTGTACCCGTTGCCGCCCAGCTGAAGGCAGCAGAGCGTTACACAATATCACGATGGATAAAACCCCATCTCGCTTCTGCTCTGTTACAAAAGGGAATCAATATTGATGAAGCAGCTGGCCCTGGAGGCCACTCCGTGTGGCACGCCGCAGCTGGCCAGCAGGATCCACGGGGTCTGTTTCAGTGGCTTTTGGATCACTCAAGCGTATCTCCTGACTTCCGAGCAGCGACTGGAAAATCGGCTCTGGTACACGCAATTGAGATTGGGCAATTTACTTCTGCGGACTGGCTGAGTCGACATAGCAGCCTTGAGGTTCAGCTTATCGCCCTCGAGGTTTCTGCAAAATGCCAGGCACCCAACAGTGTTGCGGCATTTCATCTTCTTCTGGATAACTTGCATGTACTGGGCAGAAACCACCGTTGGTCCATCATGGAAACGATCAATGCAGTCGAAAAGGGCTTTCTTGACGGGAAACGCCATCTCAGGATAAGAAGACACCGGGAAAAAAGAGATCATGCCAGTACCTTAGTAAAAACTGGTTACAACTATGATGAAAGACTGCAAGCAGCAGAGCTGATTTGCACGAGAAAGATGGAGATCGCGTGTTCCTATATTGAAATGCCCATTGCAGACAGAACAGATTGTCTGTCAATAGGGTGGTTTCGTTGTTTCTGATTTGTAAAATACCGGTGAATTTCGGTAGTCTACACTAGTCTACAGAAAATATCTAGGTCTGGTCAAGTACCTCATGATTCAGCCTTGGTGGCCTGCGCTTACACGACCCTTGTGTAAATGCCAAAATACTTGGATCAAAGCCTGAGATTTTTTTTACTTAGCTGACCAATGGCCTGTTCTGGGAATACCAGTCTATATTCTCTATACATCTCCATACTCATTATCACATACTATCACCAGAAAAAGCTTCAGGATTCTGCTAGGGGAGGGCTGGGACAACGTGAAAGCCTGATATCATCACAATGGGGAGATTCTCCGACGAAACGTCTCGAAGATCTATACTTATTGAGGATAGACATGGGCCGCAAATAATTCGCTTTGTATAGAGGGTGCCCACGAGAGCCGACAAGCATGAGGCAAGCGTAGACTAGGATTAACGCCTGGAACTTTGATTCGATAGATTGGGAAGGCGAGGGCCCTTTCGTATGTGCCATCGCATTGGCTCTTCGCACTGTGCAAACGAGCAGCAACGGCGCTAAGACACAGGTGGAGACCACTCACTTAATCATGGATGGTATGGGCAACATCGGATGGGTATCCCCCCTCCCCCCCGGGTTCTCTTCGTTTGCGCAGATTTTATTTTTGATACTGTTAATTACGGTGTATTGTAAAACATTGTAATAAAAACAATGAGCACGGGCCACTATCATTGCTGGTTTATTGAAGCAATGTCCGCGGTTCGATCATTCCAGGTCCTGGAGACCTAACGCTCATCAAGATATTTCGGAAGCCAACTATCTTCCGTTTCTTCAGGTGTTTTTGAGTCTAAATATCTGCACTCGTGCAATCGTGAAGTTGCAACGAACGACGCGGCTAGTCATCTATTCTACCGAGCAATCACTTTTTTAGCCTATCCAGCCTCCACCGCGAGAATCATGTTTCCTGAGACCTTTCCCATTGCTTCCAATCTGTCAATTTCTTGCTTCGTCTCTGAGAATGCCCGAAATGCTGCCCAAAATTCGTGGTGGCTTGACGAGGGTACTATCATTCTGAAAACATTCAACTCCAAAAGAATTCGCCAGGTGATCCGTTACCGACCATTTCACGACGACGGCTATCCTCGCATGTGCTTGTTAGATCGGGCCAAGGCCTTTCTTACTGCCTTAGTGGAATTCGGGGGGCATGAGTCACCTGAGAGCCTTTCTCCCGAACAGATGGTCGGCAAGATCTTCTTACATTCCACCACTCCTTTCCGACCCGTACAATGTGACTGGTCTCCTACACCAGCTTGCTCACAAGATGCACAACCAATTGCCGAAGCAATTGAGGTTCAAAGCCATTATCACTTCAAAATAATCCCGTTCGCGGAGATTGTGCGCGTGTACCTTGGGTACAACACAGACGCTACTGACTGGATTTTAAAACAACATAGTGTATTGTGTGAAACGATCACTCAGCATCTTCGACACCATCCCGAGCAGATTTCCCTCTACACAGAGGTGGAGAAGGTGCAGTTCAATTTCCATTCGGCTATCTTCTGGATCCCTCTAATTGAGATTCTTTCAAGATCCTACAAACCAAAAGCCCGTTTGCCCACCGAGCTGTAGTGCAAAGCCTACTACGTGTGCGACTAGAAAACACCCACGATGATTTAACCCTACCTGAAGCCTCATTCGATTTCATATCACGGCCTATTCAACGCCTCTTTCTTCAAGCTTCTCAGAATTTGGAATTGCAGGATATACTGGACGTTCTGGCCATTCGTTTCCAACGACGATATATTGGTGCTCACACAATAAACTGGGCTCTTCCATTCGATATTGAACTCTCATTGCTGCAAGACTATCAGCACTTGGTCACACCCGACGAATTGGCCGTCGAATTGACGGAAAATGATTTGGCTTTGGCTATGCCAGCCAATGTGAGTATCACCCCATGGAATAAAATCGTCCGTTCCCGATGTATTGTGAATAATATTATCGCTCATGATGAATTGAAATGTCGGTTTATTGAATCTTGGAATAAGCTCACTTATTCCGTGTGGGATTGCTGCGTTGCGCTACCGCATATTGGTACAAACTTGGAAAGTTGTATCAAAGTGAGTATTCGGGGTTGCTTCTTGCCCAAAGTTGGCAGTCTAACCGAATCTCGAAATAAATCCTGACCAAGCTTCGTAATAACCATTCAGCGACGTGTATGATGGACTGCATGGTCAAATCCGCATTTCAACGGGGGCATGGGAGTTCCAAAACAATATTGATGAAGATTCAAACGGCCTCCACTCATTGCATCAAGCCAAGAACCTCAGTATTTTTCGCCAAGACGATTATCAGTATCCTGTGAACCCTTGGATTGGGCCAATTCTTCGTGAGCATCCACTGGATGGCGGTGTTAGATTTGAAAGTAGCATTTCGAGCTCTTCCAAATTTCTATGATCATTTCAGAGCACATCTGCGAACTTCCTATGTGTCGAACTGAGTCTTAGACAAAAGGGACCAAGCACCTCTCGCATTGTGCAATGGAAATAGGCGAGGGTAAAATGTGCCCGTCGTCTTTGATTCATACCAAGTTACGGATCGGGATCGACTCGGTAGATGTCCGCGATATAAAATGGATATAATACTGTGAGAGTTTGATTATGTTCCCCTTCTCTCCTAGTTGCCTTGATCATCAAACTGCACATCCATATTTGGTGTCAATGTGAATGGACGTATGTGTTTTCATGTGGGGTACTATAACAATCTCTACATTCCTGGCTAACATGTCACCAAACAAGAATATGGATAAATATGTGTGCTCCTTGCACTATACTTCAGGAACAACAAAAAATAAAGGCACATGTTCATTAAGTATATCTCAAAAATCACCTATGCAATGTATAAGCACAGATAATAACACCCAAGACGCCATTTCTGTGTCTTTCCCTCATCTATCCCGTCAAAAATTGCGGCCGATCGCACGATGAGTGGGTGCAAAAGATAATTTGCAGCGTCTTCACTGGCAGAAAAGACAAGCGTCAATCGCTAGACATTTAAGCTAACGTCCACCTGATCTCCTTTCAGCCGCGTCGGTGATACGTTGATGATTCTTTTCGTACCATTCTTTCAATTTCGTTGATGAAATTGTCTTCAACACGAACGCAATTTCGAAAAACTTATAATCAAAAGATAGCCCAGACCTATCAAGCCAAGGCGGAAATTTTGAAATCTGACAACCCATAGCACCTTCGTAGGACCCGATAAAAACAGACACAGCCTGTGATGCGAAGTTTGAATGAAGCTCGCTATGTTCACTGCCCCAATGATGACGAAGATATCGCACTTCACTAAAGGTTGGAAGGTTACAAGGACAGACATAGCGCATTGCAGATTTTTCTGCTGCCTGCACTAATAGGTTGAATTCTGAATCTTGCCCTCCTTGCAGCTTTAGTTGAATGACAGTGTTGACATCAAAGCATTTAGATCGAATAGATGATAGTCTTAGCTGCGATATAGGCCCTTTCCAAGCTATTGCTTTTGAGTAGGCGTTGTGGAATGTTGAGAAGTCTTTAGACACGAGGCCACTGTGGATCTCGTCTCCTTGTTGCGCACAGTGGTCTTTCATATTGTCATATCTCGAATAACAACCAAGACAAGAAGGACATGCAAAGTGCTTGCCTGCCAACAAAAGCAAATTTCTCATAACGATATATCTGATATCCTCCTCAGATCTTGGGGTGCTCATTGCAAAGAATCTTCGTGAAGCCCACGTAGCTCTAGCAGAAGAGTTTAGGGAGGTTGTGTATGATATGTCTTTCGAGAACATCTGAGATCAATTCTGGATAGATGTTCATTTATAACGCAGTCAAATGTATCAGTGCACCGCCTCACTACTAGAATGCCCTTGTAGACATGTAGATAATGAGCCATTGCTATGTCATCTTGCATGTCTGGCTTGACGTGACACTCATGACCGCACTAGTGCGCCTTCTTGTCCTCGGTGCAAATAATTGGAATTATTTCCAGGTAGCGGTGACAGCTGGACACGTTTCAAGACGTCACTGTCGGCGAAAGCAAAGCCACCATACTGGCGGTTGTAATTGCCGTTCTTGAGCTCCTGCATAGATGTATGAGGCTGACAACTCATGCTAGTCAAGATGTGATGGAGTTCTAAATACCATGCACATCTCATATCGGGCTCAGAAATACGGTCAGACTAGCTCTCTTTGTGTTTCAAATAAGAGGACTTAACTGGATGGCAAGCATGCAAATCAGGAAGGATGGCGGTGGCGGCTCAAGAAATGATAGACAAATACCATTGAATTTCATCGTCATATTTATCTAGGAGTTTTGTGTGAAAGGCCGTGATAAATCTAAGTTGCTTTTCAAGTGTTTTATGATCTAGTTAGATTCTTTGTAGGGCAGAAAGCCCCTTACGAGAAGATTTTCTTTTGAATATTGGCTTTCTGTTTTTGAGCCATGTGGCTCTCAAAATTCTAGGAAGCATGATTACTGTCAATAGCAAACCGGTCTGAGTAGGTTCATTATACTGCCCTCTGGCCTTGTACTTGAAACATAGATTAGGTACAATTCGTTCAACAGGAAGCAAATCCGGTCGGCACAATTCTTAACTTCCCCAAAAATGCTGAACAAACCTGTATGCCTGTCACGCTCTCATGGCGATCCAAATATATGTACATGTAGTTCAACACCCCCTATCGCTTAATGAACGTCTCTCAAGTGACGATCTCTGCTGTATTTTCGACTGAAAGCCTTAGAGCAAAATTGATGAGAGCAGAAGAAAGGCTTTTCGCCAGTATGAGCTCGGAAGTGTTCTCGAAGCTTGTAGCGTTTCTTAAATTTCTTGTGACAGATTCCACAAGTAAAACGTCTTTGGTGAGGGTCAGTTGCGGATGCGGGACTTGAGCCTTGGTAAGGAAACCCGACGTTAGTATACTGTTGCAGTTGCAGAGCGAGAAAGCTTACCTGATCTTCGCTGGCGAATTGCCTCCAGTTGTAACTTGCGCAGAAAAATGACCTTCTTAACTGTTCGTTTCGTTGATAGTCTGACAGAAGATCGCTGCAAGAAGCTATTCAATTTGCCAAGAGTTAAACCATGGGATCCGTAAAGAATGAACAGGAGCATTTCTTGGGTGTCTGGGAAAATTCAGTCAAAGTGGAATTCACAAGTATCTTTCCCTTTCTCACCTTTCCCAAGAGGCCAATCATTGAATCCCTGGCAAGAATCGTCACTTTCTATGGCCAAAATCCAATACCTCAAAATTTCCTCGCTTTCAGTCGGAGGTATCACTCCAAGTATAAACTTGTATATGTCCGCCAATTTTTCTGGAGACCGATTGATTTGTTTGCACATCATTGTACCAAACTCATGTAATATAATTTCTCCAGCATATAAGAGCGTGCTTTTGTGAAGTGTTGTTAACTTTCGACACCATTGATCAGATGAAAACGAGAATAATGTAGAATTCGTGACTTTGTGTGATATGTGTTCAGGTGAGCTTTGCAATTGGTTCTTGCGCAAAGCCATAGTCATCTTGAGTTTGGCTTTAGTTTCCGAGTGAACAGAGGATTCGTTCATGGAGGTATATAATTTCCCGAGAGGTAAATTTCGGTCGTGATTTCCGCATAGAATGGACAACAGAATGCCTTGGATGTCTATACATCTTTAGTCACAATTGAAGTGTAACTGGCTCCTGACATTTACTTGCTCACCTTTAATGGAAGGCCAATTCTGGATATTCTGATGAAAAAGAGGGGGTTGTTCTCCTTCTATAGCCGGTATCCATTGCTGCAACAGTTCTTTACTTTCGGTCGGATCCAGGCTTTCGAATACCCACGAATAAAGCTGTGTAAGATTATCCGGATATCGATTGACCAAATTGGCCATGAGAGAAGAAAGACGGTGCGCCATGCGATCTATGGCATTTGGCAGCCGACCGAGCTTGGGAGGGGCCGCGGGCCCCATTTCCGACTGGAGAGACTGGGGGATGTCCAAAATTCAGGCTGGATTCAACCATCATTTTGTTTTGACAATTATCCAGCGCATCACGTTCCATAGGCAGTGCGATGTGGATGAGATGGCGGCAAGAATTGGTTATAGAAGGCAATACTCGTGTCAGGAGGGGACATCAATCATTATATTGATGCTAGATACCTCTTTACTTTTGCTCCTACCCCTTAACCTGCATGCGGCCTACATATGGAAGTACCAATGGGAAAGCCATCACTCAGGGGGCTCGCATTAGCGCAGTGCGCGGGGATTCCGAGACTATTGTGGAATTTTATTGGATGATAGAATAGCTCGGACGTTCGTCGTCTGCGCTGCATAGTTTCATGACTCGTTCCATGGGCTAACCTTTTTTGGGTTTACTTGCTAATTACTTCTTCCTAACTAACGCCATGATCACAAACAACTTTTTCCAAGGGCCACTGCCGCAGCCCTATGAGGTATTTTATACGATCGCGCATCCGGAGGTGGCCTCTGCGGACTTGACGTGCCTTGTTGTAGTTGTCGGTATAAATTACGACTACAATTGTTGGTATTTAAATGTTTCGTAGTAAGGGTTAAGCGAATTCACCTTCGATTCAGGCACCTTGAGGTTCGATTCCTAGTACAATAGCGGGTGTTTTTTCCTGTCCAGTCAAGTAAAACTACTACAACAACCAGGTAAGCTAGTCATCAAGGCGCTAATCTTAAGCTGAACTGATGGGCCCCAAACCTACGTCCAGTACATTGCATCATGGCCAATGAAATATGTAAGTTCAGGATGCAGGCCAAAATAAGATATCAGATGTGGGGATGTGGCGAGACCGTCTATGAAGGCATTGTGACTCTCGCAATGAAGTGCACAAGTCCTAAAATAGTATCAACGGCAACTCTTTGCCATCAGCTTTCCAATTCCTCGGCTTTTGTCGACCGTATTTCATCTTCCCCTTTCCTGATCCTCGGAAATTTCCTTGTCTTTTTTTTTCTCATTCCCCCCCCCCGGGCCTTTGTGGACGCTTCTTGCCGTCATCTTTATTCCAACATAAGCCCCTCAGTTCAGTGGGGTCGACACGATACTATGGTCGAAGGATCACATAATACTAGTCCACGAAGTCCAGCTCCGCTCGTTCCGCCTGGTGCTTCTGGATTAGGTTTTGGTGGCAGAAAGAGCGTGCGCGAATTCCGAGGCGACCGCGATCCTCCTAAGAACATCCAAGGCCAATTCTTTTGCAATCATAATGACTGTAAGACTGCACCGCCTACCTTCCGTCGCCCCGGGGAATGGAAGTAAGTTAATTCAATGCCTTTTTGATGCGTTCTTTGCTAGCTGTGCTCCATACTGATTCGTTATTACCAGCAAACATATGGATAAACACTATCGGCCTTATAAGTGCTACGAATCCGGTTGCGAGAAGATTCGGGGCTTTACCCACTCTGGCGGGCTCTGGCGCCACCGGCGTGAGGTCCATAAGACCGACAAGACTGAGAAGCCTTTGTTGTGTCCCCATCCCGAGTGTTACCGCAGCACCGGCAACGGATTCACGCGCCAGGAAAATCTTAGAGAACACCTGCGTCGTCGCCACGCGGCCACGGAGGATGGTTCAGCAGTCCGCACCGACTGTCCCCCAGCTACTGCTCTCAAGCGCAAGCGCAAACAAGATTCGCCCGACGAAGAGAATCGTCAAGATCTCCACAAGGAAGTCAAGCAGCTGCGCCGCGAGGCACAGCAGATAAGTCGCCGCCTTGAGCAGCTGGAAAGCGAACTTGCCCTTCTCCAAAAGGGCATCACCAAGCCACCCATGCCCAAACACTGTCCTCAGCTTAGAGAGGAGATGACCTCCTCCCCCGAAACCCCAGATCACCTCTCATATAATCCATGTACCTTGAGTTACGTGTTACACAGTGCCGACTGATGGGCTATACTTGCTTAGTTCCAATTACGGGCTCCAAGAGTATCTCTCAATCATACCGTTGCTTCACGAAGCCTTACTGCGGGTTGAATCCTGTTGAGTATCTTGCAGAGCGTGGGAGAAGTGTGCGTCAATAAGTCAATCACTGAGTATTGCTACTGAGTGAATCCCCTACTTGTGGGTTGGGTTGTCTTGAAGTGGAATATGAAGTGCAAAGTACTAAGGTAGAAACCAAGTAAAAATGTGCAATTGACCGCGAAGAACTAAATACGTGATCCAAAACGAGTGACCTTGTATATCTAGTCCTTCCTATTCTTGAGAGTATATCCTGAGTGGATCTACTCCCTCCCATACCCGTAAGAATATATTCTTAGCGTTACGTGGGTTTTACCGGGTTACGACATTTAGGATATAATGTTGATGCGGGTAAAATGGTAGCTGTTCCCTGCGTCACGCTAACCGTCTCATGGTGTAATAGAGGATTGATTGTAACGGTTAGTCGCAGGCTGTTTCTGGCTCCCGCCCTGAATGTCTGTCTGCCTTGGGCCCCTCCGGGCATGCCCAAGCATATCGGAATGCACGTGACAACGCTAATTCTTAGCGTCCGTGGGATGACTGGTTCACGGTTGCTCCTCAAATAACTGCGGCCCCCGCGCCTCTTGAGGTCCGTAACATTACGATGCTTAGTATCGTAGCGATCTTCCGCCTGCACTCTGTGTAGGAGAGCCTATAGTGAGGCCATCACCGCAGTACATTGAATTAGTTCCGCGAAGGTGGAAGGTGCGCTAAAAGGAGCGTGGGTGGGTTGCCAGCGGATGTAAGGTTTGATTGGACGTTGGAATAGTATTACAGTAGCACTCAGAGTCTTCCTCGCGTAATTTCATGACTCCCTCAACAAACTAGCTTTTTGGGGCTTGCTCCGCCAATCGCTGGAGTACCACTTTTACGAGCCCCTAATTCTGATCTACCAGGCTACTACTGCTGGAGATAAAAAGTACCTGTTCTCATGAATGAGAGTCAGCCTACACAAAGTCTCCCACAAGGACTCAAGTCCTAATTATGCGTCCCAACTGGGCATAGTCTCTGGAGCTATACTTGAACTGGTCAAGTTATTCCACCCGCTCTAAGATAATCACTTGACAACATCAAGAGCAAACAGTATAGCCCACGTTTCCATTCCGGCCATATCCCTTTCCCTTCACAACTTTCCAGCAGGCAGAGTACTTCATATTTCAAATAGCTAAGGCAGGGATACACTATAACTGTGACTAATAAAGCTTTTGAATCCAGCAAAATTATCTTTTGCCACTTCAAATGAGATTATGCGGGTACTCAGAACTATTCTCATTGTCAGTTCAGATTATATCGGCGGGGTAGTACTCACACACGAACAATCTTATTTTTAAAGACGTAGGCAATTTGGATCATATCCTCCCTGGTTCGAGGTTTTGTGGTTTGAAAATCGCCTCCAATAGCTTTACAGTAAGCTTCGTTGAATATCGATTGGTCGAAGGAGACGAAGCCCATGTGCCTTTCATCTTGTTTTTTCCAACAGTGGAACCGAAATTCATTCATCTTGTCAAAATATTCAAAGTCCACGTCAACACATTGCGGGCATACAAATACAATCCCCGATTTTTCCGCAATTGCCAGAAGATGTTGAAATTCGGACACCGAGTCCTGGAAATCCTGCAAAATGCCATACTCAGACTTGGTGTTTTCTGCTTGTAGAGGGCAGACGATGTTATTGCTGGCATTTTCTAGAATGCGACGAAGGACTGTATTCTTCTTATCGTAGTCTGGCCCCATGTAGTATAATTCAGATGATCTTTTGTTGGCAGGATTGTGAGGGTGGGTGAAATACTGGTCGGTCTGGCACAGCGAATGTCCGAGTCACCGATAACTTTATATCATCAGTCAGAATATTGGAAATACCGTGCTAAAGTATTAAGTACGTCCCAGGAGCCTTATTTCATAATTTTCTCTGGTATTTACAGCTACCATGGAGACCCACAATCTGCGGGGACTGGCAGCACTGTTCCTGGAACCTGAGTATCCGCATGGGTCAGAATATGCCTGGACTCGGTGCCCTGACCTCTCTTTTGGCTGACCATTTAGAATCAATACTATCATGTTGCTATTTATCATCTTGCATTAGTGTTTTGAACTAAATTGAAGCAATGTTGAGAGCATTTTACCGCGCTTGTTCTCTTCCGCCGACCCCTCACTCCGCAGCCCCTGCCAGGTCAAGGCCGATCTCGTTCCCAAAGCACAGGCAAATCCCGGTCTAGTATTTCCACGTGTTCCTTGGTGGAATGGATTACATGGTTAATAGCACTTGCCGTATGCGGTCTAGATTATAGTATTTTGAGAATGCCTTCGCTAAGCCAGACAAGAATACCAACAACTTAAATTGTTCGTTGTGTCACCTCTACTGCTCTCTCCATAGCTCTGCCCTCTGGAAAAATATTCCACCTGTCATTCAACGTTCAAAATCTTTGGGTCTATATATTCTTATCAACGCACACTTCAATATGGGTCGAGGCGCGTATGATACCTTCAATATGGGTCGAGGCGCGTATGATACCACTGGTGTTAAAAAGCCAGGAGCACCACAACCGCCACCGAAATGAGTCAGCCCCCATTCGCTGCAGAGTTTTGGTACGTTTGTACCTGCTTGGATAATAACATAAGCCCTAATCAATAATCAATCATCATAGTTGAAGTTCAAGGCTCAAAGGTCTGACCTTACTGGGTTAACATGCGGTTGCTCATGTTTGGCACTGCATCAGGTCTATATTGGTGTCAGGTTTGGCTGTACATTTGGTTGGTTTGTGCGGGACAAAATGGTTTGGCATTAAAGTACAGATTTGGCCATTGAAGAACCCGTTTAATAGCGAGTTTCAAGGCTCTCGGGAATTAATGTACTGTGGTTCATCCGTTATTTATTTCTTCTGGCATATTATTGTGCAATTGGCAGAGAAAAGAGATTCCAGGCTTGATCTTCCAGCACCAATCCAAGCCATATCCACTCGATCAAAGCCAGCCACTTGGACCTTGCTCCAGCTGCGCAGATGCTCGATTTCTTGCATATCTGGCATCCAGTCGTATAATGTTCAATATTCCGTTGGCGTCTAGAAGTTTTGTTTCTCCTTCCTGTACAGAGTCGGCAACTTGTTGCAGCTTCCCACAGTTCCACTTGGCTTGTACCACAGCGGGTCTCGCATTCCGTCTCTCCTGGTACTCCTTCCACAACTGAACTTCATAAAAACCATCGACAAAGAATTCGACGTAAATGCCATCCTGGCAGCATCCAATGTTATGGAATGTGATGGACTAGCCATATATCAGCTTGGAAATTTCAACTTTTTGTGTGAACCATACCTCATGCTTATTGTATAACAGTTTAAGAAGTACCATTTTCAGCCATTTTCGAATGGCCATTATGTTAGAAGCTCACAATAATAGCATCAATCGAAATTCTTGCTGATTTTTGAATTAACAGGAAGATACTGATCAATTCGGCGTCGTATCTCCAGAGGACTTTAAGTGTGAGGGATAAATGTACGAAAGTGTTTCGCAGACTGTGAAGTACGGTAGCCGTAGAGGTTCAAATCTTAAAACTGAGGCCAACGAGTATCTGTCAAGGGTGACAGTTCTCAATTATATAGAAGAGCAACACCCCTTTTCTTGGATGCCGTATTGGGAAGAGCCAATAGTTAGGCAATCACCACAGGAGGTTGAAGTAGCTCCGCGATGGTCCGTTGGATGCAGCGTACAGTAAACTCCCGTTTCCGGCACGGGCCTCCGTGCAACAGAATTTCGATGTGCCTAATGAAAGTGTGCCGCTAGTACTACACTAATCCTAATCTAGTAAACACTAGTATGCTTTTGGTCTAGAGTAGTCATGCAACTTCCTCTGTTCCTCCCATCAAAACAGATGGTGGACCGAATATATATATATTGGTCCTAGTTGTCCTTACTCTCCTGCTCACCACCATCGACACCCACCGAGATGGTCACATGGTTGATATCACGTCCCAAATTGAGACAAAGCTACTCAGCACATATTCTCTAAGTAGATTTGGGGTATTCCCCCAATGTATAGATGCGTAGTGCGTTTTTCTGAGCCTTAGATATGCCTTTGTTAGGAGGTTTTGGGATCGGTATCTCAGCAGCCACGGCGCACCAAAGAGGCAGAATCCTGTATCCTGATTGGCCTATGTATATGACTAAGCAAAATGTGCAGGGAAATTTTGTGTGCCGGACAAAAGTGTGCCAGACGGCGTTCTTATATATGAGAAAACCCGAAAAAGTGGGTCGGTGCAACAGATTTGGTGCCGAATGAAAATGTGTGCCTAACCTGGGCGTGCCAAAAACGGGAGTTTACTGTATGTAGATTACTAGCAGTTATAGGTTCTGATTGGATGGTAGTTGGCTCGAGCGCTCGGGTCTTCCTCGCGTAGTTTCATGGACCTTTCCACCGCCTACTATTTTTGGGGCTCGCTACGCTGATCTCTTCGACGTCGATTATTGGCCTACCACTTTCATGCCGCCCTACCCCCAGGTTTACTCCACTGGCCTATTTATTATGCGGGTAAAAAGTACCATTCTCATGCATGAGAGTCGTTCTTCCAAGGATGCGGCTCTGGCGGAATTGCGCCCGCACCACCGGCAACGGATTCACGCGGCCAGGAAAATTTTCGAGGGCACTTGCGCCGTCGCCATATGCACACAGATAATGGTCCAAGAGCCTCCATTCTAGCGGACATGCAAGGTGAGCGCGCCAACTGCCTCTCGGCAAGTGCTCTCAAACGTGGACACGATTCGCTCGATGGCCACCTTAACGATCCCGATAAAAACGCCAATGATTCAATGAAGTCAAGAGACTGCGTCACGGGTTCAGGTGAAGGATCGCTGCCTGGAGCAGCTAGAGCGCATCGTTGCCGATCTCCAGCAAGGCATCCAGCAGCCGCCTGTGCCTGACCACGATCCTCTGGTTACGCAGGTCGAATTAGCTCCGCCCTTTACGTGCATCCGGCCTACATATGCAAGTACCAATGGGGAAGCCATCACTCAGGGGGCTTGCATTAGCGCAGTGCGCGGGGATTCCGAGACTATTGTGGAATTTTATTAGATGATAGAATAGCTCGGACGTTCGTCGTCTGCGTTGCGTTGTTTCATGACTCGTTCCATGGGCTAACCTTATGGGCTAACCTTTTTTGGGTTTACTTGCTAATCAATTCTTCCTAACTAATGCCGTGATCACAAACAACTTTTTCCAAGGGCCACTGCCGCAGCCCTATGAGGTATTTTATACGATCGCGCATCCGGAGGTGGCCTCTGCGGACTTGACGTACCTTGTTGTAGTTGTCGGTATAAATCACAACTACAACGGATACATGGTATGATGACAACCGTAATGCCAAAGATACCCAAAGTACTATACAAGACACAAAGAAAAGTTTAGTAGGCCACTCAGCATAACCCCTGTCCATACCTATAGGAGGACAGTTCTACGCGAGACTACTCGAGACTCGCAAACACTCGATGCATTTAGACTAATAGGAAAGTGAGCATTGGAATTAGCAGTGGGGTAAACTACGCTAATGAGATTGAGATCGGTCGTCTGATTTCGTGTTTCTAATTTTTCTTCTCTTTACTGTCATTGGCGATCTGGATGGAGTTTGGTGCTGCATGACATATTGGAGTATCTAGCTCGCGGCAGGATCTGCTTAGCGCACGGTCTCTGCCTCGGGGGTGCAGAAGCTACCCAAGTGTTTGTTTATGTGCTTGTGCAGATCCTATCGCATCACATCTCAGATCTTATTATGGGTCGCGATATTTACATGTCCCCTTGCCGATCGTCTAGGTGCAATTCACTGAATCGCTGCAGGATATTCTCTCGTTCGTGATGCTATTAAACCACGGAATATTATTAAAAGAAATCAGATTGGTAAGTGATGCTACGGGCTGCTATAATTACGGAACGTACTATGCTAGAAAAGTGCTAGGAGAGTGCCAGGAGAGTGCCAGGGGAGTGCCAGGAGAGTGCCAGGAAAGTGCCAGGAGAGTGCCAGGAGAGTGCCAGGGGAGTGCCAGGAAAGTGCCAGGAGAGTGCCAGGAGAGTGCCAGGAGAGTGCCAGGAGAGTGCCAGGAGAGTGCCAGGAGAGTGCCAGGAAAGTGCCAGGAAAGTGCCAGGAGAGTGCCAGGAGAGTGCCAGGAAAGTGCCAGGAGAGTGCCAGGAGAGTGCCAGGAGAGTGCCAGGAGAGTGCCAGGAGAGTGCCAGGGGAGTGCCAGGAGAGTGCCAGGAGAGTGCCAGGGGAGTGCCAGGAAAGTGCCAGGAGAGTGCCAGGAGAGTGCCAGGAGAGTGCCAGGAGAGTGCCAGGAGAGTGCCAGGGGAGTGCCAGGAGAGTGCCAGGAGAGTGCCAGGAAAGTGCCAGGAAAGTGCCAGGAGAGTGCCAGGGGAGTGAGTTATTCTTATTAAATGTTCAAAACCCGAAAACTAACACCGTTTTTAACAACGAATACTGCCTCAAAAATTGATCCTGACTACAGAGTACAAACTTGGTAGGAGGAAGCTACAAGTCACGTGGACGTTGCTCCCAATGGCTACCCAATCTTTGACTGTCCGGATCACATGACGAGAAAGTGGAGAGTTAGCCTCACGAGTTCTTTCAACAGAATTTGTTCGAATGCCGAATATTACCCTACCAAATTCTCTAATTATTATCATATCCGGTAATCCGGGGCACATTTATTAGCATTTCTGTATACCCCTTGTTCCGCATGAAACTTTGGGCGAGCAACGCTGACTGACATAGCGTCAGTGCCTAACCCCTCACTACCCCTCCATCAATATCATACGCTCATCAAGTCCAGGAATACAACAGACACGGCACGATTCAAAACATTCGACAAAATTCCCATGTCATCAGTCAACCAAATAAAGTACATCAAGGAGTCACTTCCGGCTAAAAAAGCTTTGGAAGAGGAAGCCAAACAATTGGTTCGGTTCGTCGCAGTTGCCATAAACTACCAGGAACTAACATCACTAGGTATCCGAAGCCGTGAGTCTTGAAGATGAGGAGTTCCATCCGGAATCATTTACAACCACCGATGCCTCCGTTCGCGCCGTACTTGTTTACCGAAAAGGTGCCGATGGGGCTGTCAGAGTAACGTCTTCTGGGACACAAGACTTTTGGAACGTGAGAACCGGCCCGGAAGAAGCAGGGTGGGCAATAATCGGAGTCAAAGTTGAACAAACGTGCATGTTCCTTGGAAAGCCGAAAGTGCGGTTGTTCAAGGCTTTGGAATCTTAGCGGTCGCGAAATTAAAGCTGCCTGCGCTTCATCATATACCGCATGAACGTGGTGGCCAGAGGCTGCGAGAATTCAAGTTTTGCACTTGCATGCCCAAACTGCTGAGTTCCGAGATAGATGGACGGTAGAGGATGGCCCGAGAGTGGACAACGCATTCGCAGGGTGTGGTTCGGACCTTCAAGCTCATACAGAAAGTCAATGAGATCTCTGAGTTGAAGGTCGAGAGGAACTGAGTCGCGATCATCCGCAAAAATTGTTGGTGGAAGAGTTGAGGAAACTTCAAGACCAGAGCCTAGAACGATACGTGTATTAGTATTTTGCATTTTCTGTTTATTGAAAGCATACGCGCCTTCCGGTGATGAGATTTGCCGCTCCAGTCCCTGCCCGTGGGATGCTGTATGGCGATTGTACAATTGATCAGCATCAGCATCTGGAAATATTTAGTTAGATACAGTGTTGAACAGAATAAGGTCAATGAAGAAACAGTGACTGACTCTTTTCAACATCGTCTTTCAAAGCGTCATTCACCAGGCTATCCTCTAGAGCCGCAATCTTTTCAGGGAGATTCAGAAAAACATGTTTCCTGGCATTTTTGATCGCGTCCTTTCCCAGTGCGATGGCACAGAGCCTCGCTAGTGGAGCGGCATTCTTGGGTTTTGAATGTCTCTGAACATTTTGCAGGAATTGCTGATATATGTCATTCACGTTGGCTTCTTTCTTTATCAACGCAACGGCTGAGGAGGCACGTTCAACTTCCCAGCCTTGGAGACACCCGCGTTTGTTGACCAACAATGAGACGGTCTGAAGCTTCTCAATAGCACTGTTTTCGTCCAATTTTGGAGGACGAACACGAGGCTTTTTGGTAGTTGTGCGTAGGTTGGCCGACATAAAGTCAGGCGAGGGCAATAGATGAGTGAGTGAGTAGGAAGAGTGAAAGTGTAGGAGGGTGAAAGTGCCAACCAGGAGAGTGCCAGGAGAGTGCCAGGAGAGTGCCAGGAGAGTGCCAGGAGAGTGCCAGGAGAGTGCCAGGAGAGTGCCAGGAGAGTGCCAGGGGAGTGCCAGGGGAGTGCCAGGGGAGTGCCAGGGGAGTGCCAGGAGAGTGCCAGGGGAGTGCCAGGAAAGTGCCAGGAAAGTGCCAGGAGAGTGCCAGGAAAGTGCCAGGAGAGTGCCAGGAGAGTGCCAGGAGAGTGCCAGGAGAGTGCCAGGAGAGTGCCAGGAAAGTGCCAGGGAAGTGCCAAGGTCGCGTGAAGTGGCAGAGCGGTGGCAGAGCGGTGGCAGAGCGGTGGCAGAGCGGTGGCAGAGCGGTTGTCAGAGCGGTGACAGAGTGATGGCAGAACGGTGGCAGAGAGATAGCAGAGAGTTGGGCGCTCGGATAATTCGTCAGACAGCTACAGAATACGTGCCAGTGCATAATTACGGTCCAACCACCTGCATCCTTCCGGGCGAATTGCACTCCATCAATCCGTAATTAAACAAACCAGATTTCCGTAAGCCCCTGTATTAGCTGCACGAACAACAATTTCCTAAGACCGCGCTAAGAGGCCAGATCAACACGTCTTTCACTTCTTGCATTCAGGTCACTTTCTGATACAGCATATTGGCATTGCCTGATAGGTGTTAGTATAATTAGAGCCCCAGAGCGAAGAATGTAGTCTTTCATGAGGAGAACCGTGCCCATTTGGAAGATATTTAAACCAGTGTACTTCCTCAGAAGATCGTCGATAACAGCGCCAAAGACATTTCACCGACAGCATACAGGAATTTACCTTTCAGAACACGTAAGTCTTCGGTCCATTTTGTTACGCAAATATTCGATAGCTAAGAGCAAACATGAATAGCTCGTCGCCTTACCCCTCAAGTAAGCCACTCAAATGAAAACGTCCTCCAGACCAGTAATAACAATCATTCAGGATGTGCACCTTCAATTCACTGCAAGTCACAGAGACTGATCCTGAGACCGGAAAGACACGGTACACTACCAAGCAAGGTGAAAGAAAAGTTGATTGTAAAAAATCAAACTGCCCAACGTCTGATTTCTACAAAAAGTGGTAGGTAATCACCACGTGAATTTTATCACTGTGCACTAAGTACCGTCGCTAGATGCCACTGCCACGCTGGGGTGAGTCGTGACGGATTTGAGATGATGATGGTTAAGGTTTAGCATGTTCAACACATGTCTGAATAAGAGCACTGGGATATCGTTACTGGCCAGAGTACCTATGGCTGCCTCACGGATTTTAAATGGGCAATACTTAAGCATTCAACAACAATACCTTACAGTACTTCATTGCTTCACAAGTACTTCGTTATGACAAAATCGTAGCCTCAAATGACGTCCTTTGTCTGGCATGCTTAAAATCTCTTGTTATTTGAACGAAATGTGGTCCGAAATTTGAAAGACTTCCCTTGCTGGGGATAAGTATCTGAAGGAAGTAATCTAAGGAAATCTCTGTAGGCAAATGTAGGGGCTCCAGCACTAAATTCGCGTTGAACGCAATGCACCCTCACTAACAAAGCAAATGATGAACCTCAAGACCCTCCGGAGAACGTCAGTCATTCATCAAGAAAACTCTGATGCGTTCCCTCGGACACAAGTTCCAAGTTCTTTGTGGAGCATATCAAGTCCGTAGTCGTCATTTTTAAATTCCGCGGTGCAAACACCGTCAGGCAATAGACGCCGCTTGTCCGGGAGAGGGCAGCCCCTGATAGCACAAGAATCGAAGTCGATGATAACTGGTACATCATCGTCTCTAGTTTTAAACATGACGTTGTCGAGGCGCATATCATTGTGGACGATATCGAGACTGTGGAGGTGGTCCAGACCTGCCGAAATTTGTAGAAGGCAATCTTCGTTGTTGACGGAACGACCGTCTAGAAGACGATCCTCTAGGGTCTCCTCGTATTTTTCGAAACAGAGCCCGGTAATGCGATCATTTTCCACAACACAGCCGAGGTATTGAGCAACATTTTTGTGAGGACGCTTGACGACCAACTCGCAGATTCGCGCTTCTTGGAGTAGCCACAGGCTGAGACATGCCGAACCCTTGTAGCCGGTGAGTCGAGGACGCTTGATGTAGACACCCGGTCTCTCGGGATCCGCACATATGGTCAGGTCGTATTCCATCTTCGGCCAAATGTGCTCAAGTGGGATTTTTCTGAGGCTGGGGTGGCTGCATATTTTGGAAATATCCTCATCCCGTATGGGACGCTTAGGCACCTGGGCTGAGTAATAGTCGTTGCCATCGTGGAGGATAACATGGGTGAAGAGAAACTTCGGTTCGCCCTCGAGGTCAAACCGCGGTTGCATGGAATGAAGCTTCATGGTTGAATTTTCAGGCTGTTGGGTCATAATGTATGGAGAACGGCGTCTTCAGACTGGTTTTCTTCGGGTACTTATGTGAAGGACATGCACAGACCCCCTTGGGCCCCCCTTGCAGCTAAAGGAATATGGTCCAATAGAGTGATCCAGGAGAACACCACTATCTGAAAGGGGTTTAGCTCGCAGAACTTGCGATTTTCAGGACTCAGTTGGCACAGGTAAACTCACAGGACTCGCAGGAATGAATGATGTATGAGTAGTGTCAGAAATGGCGTACCATAGATAGAATGGTGTCCGCTTCAGGTTCTTTTCTCTGTTATGGGAGCCGTAAAGCCAACACATACCGCCAATCTGTCGAGATGGGTCGTAACACAGGGTATCTTAGCCACCGTTGAGGAGGCTTTTCAACCAGCCCCATGATATATGATCTTTTCTTCTATCAACCAACCTTCTCATTTCAGATCGGCTGCGCTCGACCTTGCATTATTGCCTATCTGTCCTAGATGATTTATAGCCTATAATGTGTCATTTTACTCAAACAGCATTAAAATTTTATTGATCGTTGATAATACGACCAAGGACGAAGCGAACGTGCGTATAATTCCATTGCAGTGTCCAGAGGAAGCGAAAGAGAGCATATAGGAAAAATAGAGATGAATTTTGAGGCCATGACCAGGGCACTATCCGCTCCAGCCTCTCAAGATTAATATCAAGTCTTGTTGACAATACCCTGACAAAAATGCTCTTCCATTACCTGCTCCGGAGTGGTGACCTTAGGCCGGTTCCCCATGTTGTTCTGGAACACCTTGTGGGACTCATTAACCATCGGGGCCCATGTTTGTCCTGGAGGAGGGTTGTCGGGGAAATGATTGACTGGAGGGACGATCCATGAAGTGACAATCTTGGCTCCACTGCTCACTTGAGACTGCGGTAACACAATTGTGCCAACGCCGTCGAAATCGACCTCCGTCAGGGGTTCTAGGTCATTATCACTGAAGTCCCCATGCTCTAGAGCAATATGGTCGCTCAACCCATGGATCCCAAGGTAGAGGGAGAATTCCTTGGTGAGATCGTCAACCAAGGCCTTGACATTTGAGGGCAAAGGCGACGCCCCTTCGGCAAACTCATGAGCAACAGCCTGACCTTCAACAAACTTGAAGACCGTAGCATGCAGGTTACCGAAATCAAGATCCTGGACCCTGATGGCTCGGTTCCACTTGCCGTCCATTATACCGAGACTTTGCTCCATTTTAACAGTCCCCTCCGGAATGATATCGTGGCGATGGATTTGGTGCACGCGGAAGGTCTCTTCCAGGCCGAGGCGCTTGCTCGATGATTGTGGAGCAACGTGAACAAATCATCTGTGGCACGCTGGGACTATTGTTGGAGCCATGTTTGCTGCAAACCAATCGAAGAACCCTTTCGCCTGGATCACGGATAAATTTAGGTTTTCTGCCTTTCCTTTCCGTCTTACAGACATATGATAAGCAAGGGCACTTCAACAGGTCCCGGCGCAGTTCGCTCTTGTTCATATTTCCAGCCAATTCTATCCGCCTTGTCTTTTTGGATTCGTTCGCCTAGGTTTATTGGCCCCATTCTTGCATATAGTGCCATATTGTATCAGTCTGCCAGAAGTACGGCAGCCCAGGATACCCTCGAAAGGTATGGTGTTCGCGGGAAAGAATAGGACCTTAAGGTACAGACCTGTCGATGTGCTTTAAAGTTGTCCTCGGGCATTGGGACTCTCTGTACTCTGAACAATGTCTTCCTAAGCCGAAATTACGAACATTCGGTCAGATCCAGGTCGATTACCCCAAAGGTGATTTTTACGACATTTGGTCGAGCAATTACAGTCGACATGAGAATCATATGGGTCAGTGTGTAGGAGGAAGTGGCATGGACGATCTATCTCTCTTGAATTGATACCCTTATTGTCCATTCTTTGCGGAAACCACAGCAGGGAATCGACTTTCGGGAAATTGAATACCTCTTTGCAGAAGACTTCTGTCAGCCCATCAACGAAATGGATACTCAAGATGATCATTACTTTGCCCAAAGCAAAACATCTTCAAGTGAGCTTCATCTCGTTTTCATTCTGCGATTGGAACAGAAAATTAACTTCTTATCTCTTATACCAGGATTCCAGTCAATGCGGCGCACCTCATCAAACGGAATCGTTGACAGCAGACTTATCCGCGGGCGAGAAGATCAACAAGAACGTACCAGTACAGCCTGAATACATTACACACGAAGCCCAGGACTCAACTTCTTTCCCGTCTGCACTCGAAGAAGTTCATACCACCCTTGCTGAATACAATGCGAAGGAAGTGCCGACTTTGGCCCATAATACTCAAATCTCAACCGGATACGGCACAGCAGGAGCTACCCAATGCTCCTCACTGTCATCGTTACCCAATAGTCACTCAGGATACTCCACTGACCTGGTTATGGTTGGAAACCCATATGAACAAGCTCCTGCTTTCCAATGAATCTGAAGTCTAGTCGGATTGACTATTAGGGACTCGTACATACCGACGTTATTTAACCACGGTCAATAGAGTATACCTTCAGCCAATGCATACTCCTTGTCATTCCAGACTGTCAAGTGCAACATTTCACCACATATCTAGCTTTCATCTCAACTTTGTAGTCGAAAGATGGTAGTTTATCTGAGCTTGATCCATGGCCAGATGTCGTGAGTACATCAGGCCCAAGACATGGCAGGTTCCATTCAATACATGATACTAATGCTCTCGCTGCTGGCGAAAGAGCCATTGCTATTACACTAGGCATGAGATTTCATGCAAGCTGAATTGCAGGCGACCCTGGGGGTGACTTTTCCCCCTAATCAGCTTTTGCTACACAAATCAACAATGATGCCCAAACTCAATTTTAATAACAAGACGCTCCATTCCTAGCAGAGACCACCTATGCAAGTGCGATCCGCGACAAAGTGCTCCTGATCGAATCATGAAGCTGTGAGTTGGTGGATTGGGAGTCGACTATGTTTTTCCTTTGCCCTGCAAGCCATTGGCAATCTGTGTTGTCTGCAATCGACAGCCCGATATAGGAACGCACGATTTCTATCTTCCTCAAACCAATCGCCTTTGCGATTCGTAGACCTTCGTCATAATTGTAACTAGTCTTCCCTAGGACACCACATTGGTGGCTTTGTTCTCGCCGTTTTCTCATCTTGAGATGACGTTGCCTTTCAAGAAATCCCTTCCCGATTGCATGAACTGTTTCAATGGCGGGCCAGAGGTCGTGTTTATCTTGTAGATACAAATGATCCACAAGTAAATGAAATAGGCCAACACTGTCAGCTGCCTGACGTTTTGCAGTAACTTCGAGGGCAATAAGTTGAGTCTCCACGCTGCTATGTCGACTCAGCCAGTCCGCAGAAACCGCTTGGCCTGTCTCAATTGCATGTACCAGAGCTGGTTTTCCAGTCGCTGGTTGGATGTCAGGAGATACTCTTGCGTTGTCGAAAAGCCACTGAAACAGACCCAGTGAATCCTTCTGGTCGACTGCGGCATGCCAGACTGAGTGGCCACCAGGGCCAGATGCTTCATCGATATTGATTCCTTTTTTTAGAAGATCATGGGCGAGGTGGGGTGTTATCCACCGCGATATTGTGTAACGCTCTGCTGCCTTCAGTTCGGCTGCTACTGATGCAGGTCGCACTGAGCGAAGTTTTTCCCAGACTAACTGGAAATAATCAGGAAAGGCGGTCACAAACCGGACATAAGATGGTCCTCTTTCGTCCCCAGTGAACCAAACAGGGTCCAGAAGATGTTCAGGAGCTATCTTCTGTAGAATACACTGGGCGATGTCCCAGACACCTTCTTTGCACGCGAGAAAAAAAGACATTCCCCAGCACAGTTGTAGCCTCAGCCTGGGTGACTGCTTCAAATAAGCACCATCGCTGGGTGGAAAGCACATCTGCAATCTAATTACACCAATTGCCATGTAATCTGATATCGTTCTAATTAGGCAAGAAAAACGAGTTCCCTTTTTTTAAGGTCTAAGGGTAGTAGAAGCTAGAGTTAGAGGCAAAGATTGAGAGGGCAAACTGGGGATTTTAATTGTGTTGGTTTAAAGGTGTTGTTTAAAACTATTAACTCCGTTTAATAGCGGAACCGGCATTTTGTTATCCGCATTGGTCACAATGGAATGGGATTCGAGGTTTTGGTTCAGATCGTTCCGAGAAAAGCTGTCTGGTCGGGCTCCAATTGCAGATTTAGACGGAGCGTAAAGAAAAATCCAACTTTTGATTTCTGCTGAAAATTAATTGGACTTGTTCGTATTTTAGGCTTGCAAATTTCTAATTCTGCGTCCTTAGAGAGGAAATCTTCCCCCTAAGATCGGAAGATTTTTGCCTCGCCTAAATCAAGGTGATGTGACGCTGAAACTAGATTGCATGGCCTAGGGACCCAAGAAATCAGCCGGTGAATTGCCAGTCATTAATTATGCTAACCCATGACTTCAACTCACCAACGGGGTTTCAAAAGTAGGGTGAGCACATTTTGAGCAACGTTTTGAGCCACGTTTTGAGCAACAAAGGAAGATGCTTTTTGTGCCGTGAATTTATGCCCACTTCATTCACCAGTGTCATTTACGTATATTATTTCCGCAGTATGAATTCGACTAGTCCTAGATTAGAGCAAAATCATCCAGTCTAATTGTTGCTCATGTTACAAGCCCAAACCACGGTTCAAAAAAATACCTATGTCTAACAACCATCTTCTTTGCTGAAAAGAAAACTGGAGCATATTTTCCGGCCCCCCATGTTTTGGCCAGAGGATAGTAGAGTTTATTATCCGGGAGTGAAGTCGCAAGAGTATGGAGGTTTAACTGATTTCGAAAAATACTGTAGCTGGTTTACCCAGCTAGACTAATATACAAATCCGTCGGCGGTAGATTAAGCATTCCGGTTCGCTTGAATTGACCGCCGCTTAGCGCTTTACCCAAATCGTAATGGATCACGCCTCCAGACGTTTTTGTCGGCTGGCTCACTACAATGTCCCCGAGTCGAATATTTGCACGGCTGCTTGGTACTCCACCGCCGATACTAACCCTAAATCTGTAGCGGATGGCATGAAAACTAAACAGCAACTGGAATGAATCCGAAATACACCAACAAACTTCAGCTTACGGCTGTATAAGTTTGGGAAAGCAGTGATAGAAATACATTGCATCGATAGATACAGCAAGGTTACATACAAATTCCGGTATTCAAAGATAGATGATGTGACTTGTAAAAATTCGATCCACCTTTCTTGGGACCAGAGGACGTTTCAGGATTTTAGCTGGTTACTCATGCATATACTGCATCAGCTGCATCTATAAGGATCCTTGCAATATCAACATCCTTCCACGACGCCGCAACAACATCAAATAACCATGGTTTTGCTTGCTTCATAGCTTCTAGACAAAACATGTCCTCCTCCGATATATCTGACGTAGGGTCAAAGGAAGTAAAGACTTTCCATCGCCGCAGAAACAAGAAACGTCGAAATTTAGTCACAGTCCTGCCCTTACTAACAATCTTGTTCTTGGTGAACGATCCTTCTAAAGCAACTTCAGGTGAGGAAGCTCTCCGCACGTGCACTTTAATATCTTTGTTTCTTTTTAGTTCTTGGAAGAGTCTCTGTGGATTGTTTTTCTCTGCTACAACAAAGAACAGATAAGGTCGTTGCCATACGTCGTAAAAGCTACCTCCTTCTCTTCTCGTGCGTTCGCGTAAGTAGGGTTGGCTGTCATATGTAAAGATTTGTTGTTCATGTAGCTTTAACAAAGAAGGGACTAGGCTATGCGTCTCCGCCTCTATGGGACCGAAATGATAAGGAGACGACCTGATTTCACCTCGTAGATACTTCTTATTACTCTCAAGTAGATCAGTAAAATTACCAGAGTTGTTCCACTCGGCCATGATGGAAATTGTGTTCAGTATCGGCAAATATGGAAGGAGCTGGGTATTTGTAATACGGGGCCGCTCGATATCAGTTTCAATATATCCTTCTGAACACTCAAAAAAAGGGATTGAGAAGTATGTAAAAAGATACTCTAGAAAAAAGGGGTGGGTTTAATCTCCACAAACGGGCGTTGGAGTGAGGAGAATGGAGAAAGCAACTTCTGAACCACTGTGGGAGGCTAGTCCGCATATTTCCTCATCTGAAAATCTTGTCATATCTAAATTAATGACCAGATCACAGATGATACGACCGAAAGGTTGATATCTTATGCAGGTAAATATCTCATATTTGAGGGTTCTATTTTGATGGATTAGCTGAATTCAGATTAGATTAAACCAATTCGGGAGGACAAACCGAAGTTTGAACACTAATTTTGATGAACCGGGCGGGGTGCCATTTGATCACAATCAACCGGCTGATTAATTGAGAGTAAATTAATCGAGGTAAAAACCGCTATGTATACGCTTTTGGCATTTCTATGACAGCCTTCGCAACAAAAGTCCTCCAGGAGCTTTTAGTATGTATAAGTAATTGATAATCAGTTAGATACAGTAGCGTTCTCGGGTGCCACAAATTCGTCAACAGCTTTATTGGACGCGCATTCAAGACACCATGGTCCCCTACAATTGGAATTTAAGTTATATCAACAAAGATTTTTGAGAAGAATTGGAACGCAGCATCTAGGGAATGGTTTTATTGGGGTTGCCTCACAATGTAGCCTCACGTGATATCTACACCGACATTACGGAGGGCCTCTTCCTCCTACAACTGCCTCACGAGAGTCAGTTGCTTGCCTCTGCAGGTAGCTCGTCATCTCTCACACAGTCAAGTCTTGATTTTGTTTCACGTCCTTCCCTACAGCAATAGCACCGATAAGCCTTGACTATATCGCTCTCCACCATGACCTTCAGCCAGTCCAGCAGTGTCACTCCTGCCCCGCTAGACTCCGCTTGGCCGCCGGCCCACATTTGGGAAACCATGGGTGCGGCAGACCGTGCGAGTTGGTTAGGGCAAATATAGAGAGACAGGGCTAGACGCCTTGAATTGGATGTAGCGGAGACCGATCTCCGCCGCAGAAGGCCTCGAGTGGACCTGCAAGATGACGATAATCTCGAAGAAAATCGTGAGCCACCCCCTGAGGTCAAACCACTCATCGACATATTTCCGGGTGTCTCCGCCGCCCTTCTTACTCGCGTCTTCGAGAGGAAGTTGAAGGCGACTGAACTTATACGCTTCAAAGAGAAGTCAGTCACCGAGCTAGATCAGGAGGACAGAGTCTTCAAGATGACTGAGTCGGGAGGCACAGTGGGCTTCAGAAAGGCAGCAGCATCGCTTAAGGATTGGGGCCCTAACCCTCAAATATGGACGACCTGCTTTCTTGCCTATCTGGCCGTTGTGGGATATCTCTTCGGCGAGAAACATCCTAAGGCAGTTCCTAACCTACTCATGTTTATGAGGCAGATCCTGGACTTTGCTCAGACTTATCAGTGGTCGGAAGCAGTGCTCCCACTTGCCCTTAATTTCCACCAATACATACTGGATAAAGGAGAGCTATCGACGGACAACTACCTAGTCACAGGCCCATTCCGCGAGAAATACCTCCGCCACAATCTCACTCTACCTGCGAAGTCACCAAAAAACCCTCCAACACGGCCTCGTCAAGCCAGGAATACCAGATCTTCGAACAATGAGACTGAGGTCTGCGATAAGTTCAATACGACAGGGTGCTCCTGGGAAGGCTGCAAGAGACGTCATGAATGCACGGCATGTGGCCTAAGCGAGCATGGCGCCTCCTCCTGCCGCAAGAAGAAGTAGCAAGTGGCAGCCCTTGAGAACCATAGTGTCGTTCTCAATCCCTTATCTTTAAGCCTCATACCGCAGGGGCAACCAGCTAGACCAAACACCGCTGTTCAATACCCCGTTTTCAACCCAGAGATGCTAAGATTACAGTCCTCTCCGTCACCACTGTATGCGGAAGGCTGGACCAATCTTCTACGCTTCTATCCAGGCGACCTCGGGTCTACCATTGCTGGCATTCTGACCTACGGTATCCAGGTCGGCTATAGGGGCAAGAAACAGTCTCGCTATTCCTCTAACGAACCTGGCATAATCACGGCCAAGCTAGCAGAGGACCTCTACCTCGGTCGTGTTAGACTAGCCTCTAGGCCCTCCTTCGTTTCACCGCTTGGGTTAGTCCCTAAGCACGATGGGGGATGGCGCCGCATTCATGATCTCTCTTGGCCCCCTGGACAAGGCCTTAACCAGGGCATACCGGACTCCTGGTCTGCCATTGAATACACGACAATCGATAATATCTACGAGCAAGTCATACAAGCTGGCCCAGGCTGCGTAATCATCAAGAGGGATATCAAGGACGCCTTCCGAATAGTCCCTGTTGCCGAGGACAACCAGCATCTCCTTGCCTTCCAGTGGAACGATTCCATTTACGTCGAATGCTGTCTCCCCTTTGGCCTCGCAACGGCCCCATTTCTCTTTAACCTCTTTGCCGAGGCACTCCATTGGATACTTCAATGCCTCCTCCCTGCATTCTATATCAATCATTACCTAGACGACTTCATCGCTATTGCTCGGTCTCCTTCGGCGTCCGACCCTACGGGTCCCTTCGATAAGGTTTACAATAGGGTCACCGACTACCTCTGTATCCCGCGCAATACAAAAAAGGACCAGCAAGGGACCTGCGTCACAGTCCTTGGTATCCAGATAGACTCTATTGCGATGGAAGCTCGTCTGCCACCAGAAAAGTTGTGCCGCGCCACATTGGACGCCGCAGCCGCCCTGAACGTAGCGAGTCTCTCCCTTAAGCAAACAGAGCGCCTCACAGGCTTATTAGCCTTTTGTTCACGAGTTGTTCGGCTAGGAAGAACAAGGCTACAGTCCTTATACACCTTTCAAGCCACCTTCCCACATAGGATTAGCGCGCGCCGCCGTATCCCTTACGAGGTACGTGACGATTTGGAATGGTGGAGGAACTCCTTGTCTCTCTTCAACGGCGTACTCCTAATAGACCCCTGCCGCCGCTCCATCACGCACCTTTACACAGATGCCTCAAATACAGGCCAGGGGCTCTTCTTCTTTTCATCGAAGTCTACATTAGACTGCTGGCTGGCCCATTGTCACCAGCTTCATCCAAGCAATGCTGCCACATTGGCCCTTGCTCAAGACGCACATGCGCACATCAATACCAACGAAGTAGACGCTATTCTACAGGGCTTCCTACTCTTCAGCCACCATTGGCTCCATCACACTCTCGTTATCCACACGGATAGCTCTACAGCCCACACGGGACTAAAGAAAGGCTTCCTTCATGGTCCGCCTAATGCACCTCTAAAGAGCCTACTTATCCTAGCGGCGGCGAGAGACATCCACATCGTGCCACACTGGCTCCCTTCCGGGGAAAATAAACTAGCAGATGCGCTCTCACGTAACAATCTTGAAGACATTGCTAACATTTGTCCCCATTGGCAGGACCTCTCGGTATTGAACCGCCCGCGTGGTTCTCTTCACGAGCTCCTCAGCTCAATACAGGCCACCTAAAACTGCTCTGGAACGGACTCAGCGCCAACACACGATCTGTTTACCTCTCCGTTCAGCGCAATTACGAAAAGCACTGCGCGCTACAAAATATACCCGCATGGCCAGTTTCAAGACATTCTTTGACTTCATGGTTAAGCGCACGACTCCTTGGTAACGCCAGCCAAAAGGCCGTCAAGCCTGACACCGCACTCGCCGACCTAGCCGCTCTCCGAGCCTATCATATCGATAACTTTCTTGACGATAAACTCTTCGACAACAAGCATTTTCGACGTCTCATAGACGGCGCGAGAAGACTCAACCATACTACAAAAGTACGGGTCAGAAAACCGATTTCGCGTGACACTATTACGAAACTATCCGCGGGCCTCGCCACACTCCCGTTACGGCCCTTGGAGATGTCTGCAAACCTTCTAGACGACTTGAACTTCGCAACCGCGTGCCGCGTAGCATTTGCGGGGTTCCTCCGCCTCGGAGAATTCACCTACAAGACTGAAGACCTCAGCACACGTTCTATCTTCTCAGCCACAAAGTTAACGCGCTCCGACGTCAGATTCTCGTCCTCGTTAGACCACGCACAACTCACACTCAAGCGAAGTAAGACGGACCGCCGCCACGAAGGAGTACAAATTATTCTTGCAAGAACGGGAGACGGTGCATGCCCTGTTGATGCGCTTCAGAAGCTGCTACTTCTCGACCCCAGAGGGCCCGACGCTCCATTGTTTTCCTTCCACAGAAGACCATTCAGTCGCAACAACTTCCTCTCAACCTTGTCCACTAAGCTAAGAGCGCTCGGGATACGGACAGACGGCTACTCGGGTCACAGCTTTCGGAAGGGCGCGGCTCAGCATGCGCATGATAGTGGGATACTCGACGACCAGATCCAGATGCTAGGGAGATGGACCTCGGAGGGGTTCAGGGTGTATTTCACGACGAACGCGTCAGTCCTGTACAAGCTTAATCACCAGTTCCAGATAGGCTCGCCGGCCCCGCTGTCTCTGCTGATTCCACCACCGTCCCCTCCACCATCCTAGTTTGGCCCGGGTCATTTGGGCCCTATCTGACGCTACGGTCTACGACCGCAGCGACAGGTGACCCGTTATGGCCAAACTACACTTTTCTTGCTCCTCTTGACTGCGTGAGGTCACCAATAAAAAATATATTTAATCAAAAACAATGCTAGTCCCCGCACGTAAATAATGAAGATAATTTGCCATTACTTTTCAATTTAGCATCACCATAGCGTTTTCGCGTGAAACTGAACATCAAATGCTTGATCATCCATCAAATTTTTCAAAAAGAGCTACTTTGTCTTGTAGCGATCCGTCGAAGGGTTTCGCAATTTCGCAATTCTCACAATGTCGGTGCCAGCAACACAGAAGCACATGCATGTTGGCATGTTCCGAACGCCGAGTTGCACGCAATTATAGAAGCAGGTGCGGATGCTCCCATCGTAGCACCCCATGTGAAGCCTGCAGCAGAATAACAGGCCATTACTAGGCCTGCACAACCAGCCTGACATGCTCCATAAGCGGCAGGACCGGCGGATACGTCGGAGGCGAGGAGCAAAGGGAACCAAAATTGTGCACAATGAAATCTCATCGTGATATCTGGTGAGGTTGGAGATTTATTGAGGTCTGGTTATAACTGAGAAAAATGGATAGTTAATGTTGAATATACGTGACGCGTAGACCGTGTGAACTTTTGACCGCAAGGTGGCCATTGAGAAACAGGGGATGCTATTGTTGGTCGAAGTGGCCTGTCAATGAATTGTTTCCAAATGCTGCAAGGCCTAGGGTGAATAACCCAAATACTGCAAATTAATGCTTCTAATTGTTTACCTGTTTACCTGTTTGCTCATTTCATATTTCACACCAGACCTATAATAAATGGACCTATCCTAAATGAGGACCTAGAATATTGGAATCGTTCAGAGTCAATTCACTCCAAATTGCACACACTTTTGCATACCCCTAACGGTCAAACCGATAAAAGCCGAAGAAATAGATCTTCAGGTTGATCGTTGGCAGTAAATTATGTTAAATTAACCATCTCGACTTTCTACTCACAATCTTAGCTTTGAGTTTGCTGGATTAAGTACCTTTTGAGTACGACTTTGTTTAAAATTGGTGGGCCCCCTTTGTGATGACAAACTTTTGCTCCCTATTTTAAAACAATTTTTATTTTGTAATTTTTTGCTTGATCGATCACAAGCATTACCCAGAATAATGATTTAATCGAAATCTATAGATACCTGTTCGGTCTCAGCTGCTTCATCTGTGATTGAAAGACTAGATTAGTTGACTTAAGTCGCGGAAGACAAAAGAGTCAAAAAACAGATTCGGGGTTCATCTCACCTTGTATGCAGGTTAGAAGGTTATCCAATCCCTCCGCTAGCTCGCTGATATATTCAGCTTCAGTAGTCTCAATGTCTTCCCAGTAGAGAAATGCCTCCTTCTTCTGACCAATCCACCAATCATCCAGTTTAAGAGGCCATTTAACGGGCAATTTCCCTTCAGATGCTTCTTTGTCCCACGACTCAATATCGCTTTCCGCCTTCATCAAGAACCGTGATTACCAGATCGCGGAAATCAGAGTACTGTATGAAGCGCCCTGATCCAACTGTTGTTGGATGTCCACGTTGGTCGAAATAACCCTTTTCGTAAGTCTGTGGTTGAGGTTCATACAGCCCATTGATTCGAGTGGAAACCTCAGTGTACACCGCGTGTGACGTGTTTGAACATCGAAAATGCCATACGCCATAATCGATGATCAGAAGCTTGTGAAATTTAGCAGCCAAGTTGACAGCTGTGATTTCATCGTCCAATATATTTGATTCAAGCATCGCCAATAGTGTGTGAGGACTTATTGGTGGGAAAGTGGGCATAATCCCAGCTTCCTGAGACGCTTCAATGACAAGCTCTCGGACCTCAGGGCTGAAAAATTGGGGGAACAAGATGAGCGCGGACGTAATGTTAGTGCGCTTATTCGTCGATGAGAGATGTTTTACTCGTTCAACAGCTTCCAGAAATCCGAACTTTATCTGATCTGAAGAGAGTTCCTCATCCGCATTAGGGCATTTTGAACCAAAGAAAGCATCTCGTAGACTATACACATTGCTCAAGAGGCTAAAGTGACGTTGAGGTTTGGCATGGCGTTCTTGATAATAGTTCCGGCGCAGCAGACCCGTGACCTGGGAATAATTTGGAAGATTTGCGATAGAACCACGGGAATAAACACCAGCTAAGGGAATCCGCTGATCAATGGTAGGGACACAGGCAGCGGTCCTGGATTCTTATTGGATTAGTGGATCAATCACTAGAAAGATAATGCGACTGGAAGACCTCTCACACTGTATCAAGAGATAGGTTTATCGCGATTGGCTGCGGGTCTGTTGTATCGCTACATGGCGATGTGTTGTTGTTCGAGGCATGGAGTAGCCCCCAGCAGACAATAAAGAGAATCGCTTGAAGACAAGATGATGGCCCCGCCATCTCGCAGTCTCCCTTAATGGCTTCAGTCTGCGTGACCAAATTTTATGGCTTCTCTGGCCTCCCACGATTAATCTGCAGGGGTAATAGCCATTGAGATCCGAAACGTTGAAGAGAATTCCCTCGATATTCTACATGGTTCCACGAAACATAACGGTATTATTACGATGACTCATTTGATATGTAAGGCTATTACTCCCGCTGTTTTGCCAAATTATGAAGCGATAAACTAAAATAGGTTAGCGTATTTCGGATTTATTTTCCCAGAGTAAAGTAGCAAGAGTGCGGAGGTCTATCTGATTTCTAAAATTACTGTAAGAGGGCCTCAAATGAACTGAGAATTTTTGAAAAGGCGCGACATGATTAGAAAACATGATTTTGAAGTTGAAAGGGCTGCTACGATAATCGCGAGGGTTCTATCTCTGGATCAGGTAGATCCCTATAACAAAGGCTGGCAGATTGACCACGTCGCTCCTTTCGTGCGTGTTGCATATATATTACAGTACCTCCCGAATCTAACGGATGAAATTTCCGCTATAATCCACCAAAACTAACCTGAAAAACACGGGATCCCCAATTGAATTAGCTAACAGAGCTTTTGGATGGTTGTTGGGATTCAGAGGACTGTTTACTTCGACTCCACTTTCTAAAGCTGTTTTTCAGAAGCCTTATGATCTAGACCTCGAGGAAATTCAGATGTTCCGAAGAAATATCTCAAATCATCCCCTAAGGCGACGAGTGCGCATTCTGCCGACAGAGATCCCGTGACCTGGTCGATGGATATAAAATCTCCGATTCGCTCGTAAGTGGTTAAGTGATCTGGAGCCGGATTGGTTTCTTCGCATCTCCGACACGTCGTTCGAAATATCCACTGGGACTGTTCGTTTCTAGGGTGCTTAGAAAATCGAAGGAAAGCAAATTGGGGTTTTCGCAAGAACTTGACAAGTGCCAAGTTGGAGCAGCATTGGCATCGAAGGAAGAGACGATACGGAACGTGTTGTACTTGGTCCCTCATTTCTCGGGCGTACTGGGGACCAATATGATATCTGCAAGAACCTGGCCTTTGCGTTGGGGGAGCAGACTCGATGTGATTGCAGATGATAAGGTATATAAATGGCAGGTACTTGGAGTCGTAAATATACACTTGCTATCAGACCATATTTTCTTCGTTAGGCATATTTCTATTGCGTTACTTTCAGGAGTGACTAACAATCAGCTCCTACATGATTCAAGAAATGCTCTACCCTTTGCATTTGATTTACAATATTATATAGCGCGGAAATTATCTGCGAGGAATGTAGATCTTAACTCTACGTCCACTGATGATTCATACTTTTCTGGTCAATTAGTGAATTTTCCTTTTTCTGCACGTAAAGATCTATCAATGATGTTTATTATATGCAATACGAACTGCCCTTTGTGAGCGTTAGAGGCCAATGTTGGGAGCCTCGATTCAAAACTAGAAAAAGTTACAGTAACTCACTCGCTGTGGGTAATTAAATAGGAAATTACGAAGTTTTGGGGAATGGAGAGTATATGATATGGAATGTGGGCGGGTTTAGTATGCTGTTAACATGAATTAATTTATTGTGTTTTTCAAACAGGTGCATTTGGAGGGGCAAAATAATGACAGGGTCTTAAGCGACTAATTAAAACATAGAGGGGAAAACGCCGCATGGAACAGCAACGCAGATTAATTAAGCAAGGTTGAGCAAAACTCGGAGGAATGATACGTAAAGTAGGGGTTAAGATTGAGTTCAAGTGGGCAAATCTAAATTAGGATGTGTTGCACAAATTGTGTTCAAAGGGTGGGCGGATAGGTCGGAAGAAGTAAAGAACGAAAGATGGAGCAAAAGATGGAGCAAAAGATGGAGCAAAAGATGGAGCAAAAGATGGAGCAAAAGGTGGAGCAAAAGGTGGAGCAAAAGATGGAGCAAAAGATGGAGCAAAAGATGGAGCAAAAGATGGAGCAAAAGATGGAGCAAAAGTTGAGCAAAAGGTGGGTAATTCGGCTCGTAATTCCGAGCGTATGATCGACAACAGACGTCGCCGTAAGCCGTCACAGGCAGATTTTATCAAGGTCTGGGGAAAAGGAACACCACTACATACATACACCGACGGGAGAGGAATCCAGGGGAACAATTTTTAGCGCGCTAAATCTGAGGATCAATAACGGTCATAGCCAGATGGCCGATGAAGAAATGTCCACGATGTACTACCGTGCATTGGGGAAGCTCGTGCTACACGGACGGCGCAAAAAGTCCGAGCCCCACGCAGGAATATTACATAATATTCTGCGAGTCGAAATGTCTGTCTACGATTAACCTAAAAGCTATTATAGTACGCCTGTGATACAAAAACAATTACTCATTTGACCATAGAAATATCCCTGAACGTCTAGATTAGACTTTCAGTGAGCTTCTCATCTACTTTACGCCAGGTATACCATGACTCAGAGACAAGTCTGATAGGCGGTAGAGTCTTATCACCGTTGGTGTGGTGGGTCTCGGGAGGGGGGAGGACTGTACAGTACAACGGCGTCGCAAAACTGTGACCCCCAGGTTGAACGCTTTGGTCACCAGTTTCCTATGATGGACTAATAGCTATCTTAAGTAGTATAGTGTGTTCTATCACTTCTATTTTAGGCGAACACTGGTAGTCTATCTTGGGAAGGCGGTCAAGGAGGGGCACACCTTTGCGTCGCCAATGTACTGTACATTGACGGTACTTTGATTTTCGTCCCCCACCTAGAAGGCCTAACCTCTAAGCTACCGTCTAGTATATCGAAACAATTAGAAAATATCCCATGACTATTTCAAATTTAATTGAAGCAATTATTGCATCAGAGGTGTATTCGCTGACTTTTGAGTTGAAAGTGAAATAATACCAGGGTGTGTTTTAATAGGTAGAATATCTGGTATGAGGCGGTGGGCGGAGTGGGAAAATTAATGAATGTCCGGGATAGTGATCCTCCGGGAGATGAATGAACTGGATTTATAGTAGACAAACGAAGCTTGCAGGCTGGATACATACAGTAGTTTTTATAGTCTCATAGCTGGAATCGATGCCTGCTACACTAATTAAGACTCTTTTGGCAACTTCCTGGGACAATCCTCAAACGTCTCATGTGAAGTCTCAAGTTCCCTCTTCAGTGAAGTTTGCGATGTCTTCGCTTCGTGGGGTAACTGTTGTGACTGGGAAAAGATTTCAGTCTGAGAGTTCGCTGACTGCATTCCAGTCACAGAAGCCCGACTCTGTGTAACTATTTGCTGTTGCTGAGCCATAAGCGGAGACGCAGGCTGACCTCCGGCATTGTCGGTCTGCATGGCCTGCGTAGCAGCCCGATTCTGGGTGAAAAGTCGATGTTGCTGTAGCTGTTGCTGGTACACAGTGCGTAGATGCATCTCTCGTTCATATTCCACTTGAGGGATTGGAAGGCAAGGGTTTGGAATAGTTGGTTGTGGAGGCAAGCCATATATAGCATGTGGGCGATTCAAGGCGATCATGGGATAGTAGCTTTTGGCGCAATCTAAATACCCGAAAATTGCCAACCTATTGGCTTGACTAGCAAATTTCTGAGGACATCCGCATGGCGCATAACCATTGCCCAAGTTTGCTTTTCAGTCAGTGATTGGTATCTTACGGAACACATATACCGTCGATGACATACCTGTATTTCCATGTAGAAGCTCTGCCCTTGCGTTGAGGCACTTTTCTTCGTGGAGGATGATGTGATACATCGTACTAGGGACACAAGACTTTCTGAACGATTCCGTCTCATTATCCTCCCAGGTAACCATCAAGCACCCCTTCTGATTGGTGTGCGTAACTTTGATACTATGAGGCATATACCTGAGTAAGTCCCGAATTTGACGCAGGGCTTTATTTTCAGTCGCTCTCCACACGCTTGAATGTTGGAATATAGAGCCCCAAGAAATTCTGAGTAGCTCGTCGATAATATGCTCGCAGAAAAATGGCGCCTCTCTCCCAGTCATTTGTGTCGGAAAAGCTTCCCGACACGGGCTACCTCGATGTATCTCTTGGAAGTCGAGCCACTTATTGTTTATCTTCAAGGCTTTCTGCTCAGCATCAAACAGAATGTCCACAGCACTTTTGTCACATTGAACAAAATGCACTTCAACATCCTGTGCCCAAGGAATGAATGCTAGGCCAGCCTTGACTGCTCTTTGTATCGTTTGTGCAAAGCATGTCGACGGCACAGATACATGTGCATTTCTAAATTGCTTAATCTGTTCCTCTTCGGGTGTTCGAAGAAGGGACTTTGACCGGAGCAAATTCCAAAGGAGTTCCGGAAGCCTTGCTGGCTCCTTTCGCAGTAAATCTCGGATAATCCCAATACTCTGCCCCAGTTTCATTAGAGGAAGGTAAATAAAATCATGGAATGATTAGTTGCACTGACCTGGGAAGGGGACTTTTCGCTATAATAGAACTGTTTACCTCCTGTATCGCACAATAGGCGTCTCCAAATAAGGGTTTTTGTAGCGTCTCCCAACAGAACGTCTGCGGATTCAACATCCGGCGCTTCAGGAAAGTTCCGCAGAAAGTCGACATAGACCGGAAGCACGACTTTCTCGTTCTTCTGGATTGCAGACTCCCAAATCTGTCTCACAGCGTTGGCTTCCTCGTGCTTATCAACCAGGATTTGCCTATCTCGGTTCACCCTTCCCTGAGTGAAGTTGTAACCAAGCTTGTATGGCTTGAGCCTGGAAGATGTGGCTGGCAGCAGCATACCTTGTAGATAGATTCTGCCACAAAAGTGGGGATCAAGAATCAAATCTCCAACATCGGTTTCGATAACTTGAGACGGATAGGAGATTCCACGAATATCAAGTGTCACTTCCACCCATGTCTGAAAATCTGCAAGCGAAATTTTCTTGCCGTGCTTACCCTTTGCGGGTTCAACCATGACCACGACATCCCTCTCAATATGAGAGTGCATTCGAGCCATATCCTCCGTAGGATCGGTTTCAGGGCCAGACTCCACCATCTTTGATGGCTTAATCATGCAACGGAACCTAGAACCAACAAAAGAAAAGCTCCAATGGCTATTGGCTGTAGCGATCTTTACTCTATAGCCATTGCGTGACATGACTAGAGCAGCCAGTTTGAGACCCTCGCCATGACAGCCTATCAGATTGGGGTTTTCTCGTTTCGAAGAATGCCCAAGTTCCAGAGCCTCAGGCTTCAGTTGTGCACAAGGGTTGACTAGAATCGTTCGGCCAGTCTTTTTGTCGTATCGGATGAATCCTAGGGCTCGACAGCGCTCCTGTCGATTTGAAACATCTGGCACGATGATAGAAACGCAATCTTCTCTGTCCTCGTAAAGTGGCTGAAATGCTAGACGATCTACGTCAAACTGTTCCAAGATAGCGTCCTTCCTGCTAGTTGTTAGCCTCTGAAGCTCTCGAACATGAAGTTCAGCATTACCAATTCTGATACAGCTCTCGGAATGCATCCGTTGTGTCCCAGTCTTTCACATAGGATAGAGTGATGCTAAGTGGAAATGCTTTCTGACGTCCCGCGCATGTGTCCTCTTCGCTTGGCTCGTTATTCTTTGTCTCACATTTGAATTGTTCGCTCGGGTTTAGCGGAGGTTGGTCAACGAACTCTTCCTGCGAGCAGGAAGGGGGCTCGTTTTTAGATTGGCTCATGATGGGAACTTACTCGAGATATGACCATAATATTGGTTGCGATTCTCTCTTTATAAGGTATCTGGGATATTATTGTCTGCCGATCATTCTCATCTCCCACCGTCATAGATTTCGGGCAACACGTGGAAAACGTGAGGAAATAGCAAAATCACACTCTAGGTGGAATTCTATTGGACAACTCTATCTACAATATCTGTATTAATAGACCGTGCAGTATCTGCAAATAGGACATGGTCACTTGGAATTAATCTCCTTTTGAACAACCTTCAAAACATCACAGTTATAGTGACACATATAGCATTAATCAAATAGAGCGAGACCGACAGAAAGCAAAATTTCCCCATGCAATATTGTATTGCATGCTCTGGATTAAGCCACTTTGAAATCAGAGTGAGAGTCAATTCAAACCAAATCTGTCGGAGCAGGCTCTTCCAGCTCATCAAAATCAATGAATATAAAAATTGACACAGGGCAGTCATTCGCTTCCAACCTTTTTCGCAGGCTCGGCGTTTCCTTTGTATTAAAAGGATAAAGATTCATGTACTAGCGATTGGGTGAGTTGATCATTTTTTGCGACCAGCTAATTGAAGTAACCTTATGTGCAACCTTGAAGCTTCCAACTTTTCAAACGGGCCTTTGCCAGCTCCCAGCCGGCAACTTCAATCCATTGGCAAACAACAACTGTGATTCATATTAATATTAGAGTATTCAGTTTAATACGGTCTATGTACACATGCGCGTGCGTACGAAGCCGGCTCACCCCATGTCCCCACAAGCAAGAAGCTTTTGACTATAGAATAGCACCCTTCTGATATTGCTCCAAGAGAAATTGAGATTAATGGCACTTAGCAGATGATTAAAGTCAAAGACTAACGCTGTACTTATTACTGTAGCCATATATGAACCTCACAAAACTTCATTCCTGTTTGATGATATCAGGGTCCTCATTGGTCACGGTCCTCTCCTCAGACAGGGGCTTCTTGGCACAGATTCTCTTCACGCGCATGGTAGGCATGAAAGTGAGGGTTTTTGAGTGCTTTCCGCATCTCCGCAACATAGAGTAGCACGTTTTCCTTTGTCCATGGCACCGGATCTCCGAACTTAGTAAGTAGGTACATCGAGTAGCCCTCCATGCCCGCAAGCCAATGCTGAATATTGACTAAGCCGGCCTCTTTCAATGCTTTGTCTTTCGGCCATGCCCCAATAGGCCACTTCGTGGTCTTTTCATGAACGTCAACGAACCCTGCTCTCTCAATGGATGAGCGCATAGTTTCCGTGATATTAAGGGACTTCCCCATTTTTTTGCCAGCGGCGAAGAACCGAGGCCCCCAAGTGAAAAGAACACTATCCGCTGGTATGCTGCCGTCGTCACACTCATAGCAAATGTCCATTTCTATCTGCTCAAACCAGCCGCCGGCTGGGCACCACGTACAGCACTCCACTTGAAACAGACAATCCTCTTGGGTTGGTCGCACGAATGTTGTGGCCTTGCGAGGTGGCATCTTGGCTTGGATGTTGGAAACGAACTCAACTACTCGGCTTTCTTCTGTAAGAGGATGAGCTTGGAGGGTAGCGAGAGCGGTTAGTTAATAGTCACTTAAAAAAGACATGAATTTAATATATTTTTGAACCTTTACTCTTTAGCCTTCAAAAGACTTTCAAAATGGAAGATGGTAAACTTTGAATAAACAAGTTGCCCCGATTTCAGTGAGTCATATGTCATTGGGCAGCCCGACGCCCCTTTGGGCACTCTCGATTTTAGCCGTGCCATTTTCCAACTTCGTCTTTACAGACAAGGGCACCTCAACCTTTTCGCGTGTATCCCAGTATTTTGTCCACCTGCTCTCGCACATGGGGTCGTCGCCACAGCCTGCAAAGTGGACTATGTAGTCACCTGGCTGCCAGTGCTCCCCCAGAAAATTGTAGTCCGGATAAGCATTCATTGAACGCTGATTCATGCATGCCGTGTGATCCCTGATAATTTTGTGGTGCTGCCACATATGTGTCCAAGCGTCCTGTTCTGGGAATATCCAGTTCTGAGAGATATACAGTGGCTCAATCCACAGATCCAGCAGCCACTTGCTCCAATCGCCACGACGCATCAGAAAATTGCCGACATTCATACCCCATGAGTCCATGGAGATGACGAAGTTGATATCGTCAGACTTGTACGCAGGTGGGGTACGGTACCCGGTCTTGCCACCACCAGGTCCGGCCATCGGTCGATCAAGCATAATATTGCGTGCTAGTCCTTCCTTGGATAAGATATGATCGAAAATACTAAGCGACATGTTCATGACGATAATGTCGACGTCCATCCACCAGACCCATTCGGCTTCGGGGAAATGAGTGAAAGCTTCTTGAAGAATAGGAATTTTGTTCCAGTATATTGTCACACCGTTTGAAAGGTTGTAGCTGGTCATGTTGGCCCACATGAACTCGAGGCCATGTTTCTCAGCATAAGACATTCGGTTCTCGTATATCATCTCCTTGATATGGGGTATTCTCAGCATCCGATTTGTGCCAGAGCTCCCCGTCACCATGACAATATTTTTCTTTGAGTGTGAATAGCGAGTTGGTGAATGCACAGTCTTCCCTATTGATGTTGTCTTGTGTAGATTCCGTGATTGCCCCCATGTTGGCCAGCGAAGTGTGAATAGATTCCACACCAACTGGGAAATTATTCATTGCTTGTTAGTGGGAGGCTCTTTTCCGATACACTAAGGCGGATCACTCACTACACCGCCCATAATGAGGACCACGACGAGGTAGGGACGTGATAATGCCTTCAACCGCATTCGAGATGCCCTGTGAACCCGCAGTTGATAAGTATGAGTATGCTGGGAGTTGGGACCTTAGCAAACGGGCACATGTACAGAATCGTCGGTCGATAAACTTATGTGTGGTTCCTCCTGCCCACCGAAATTTATATGATGATCGAAAAAACGGGAGCTGCTAGGTCTTTCTATATTTGACTAGTTTGCTCACCGCGGGTGACCTGCTAGGCACCCGCGGGAGGTCACTCGCCACCCACCCAAGCTGGCCCCGCCCTGCTAGATAATCTGAGCTAAGGTCTTTTGGATTTTTCTGGATTGCAATTCAGGGAACTTATATGTAGTTTTTGAAATGAACATATTAAAGTTAATATTATATCGTTTTAAGACATAATATATTTTGCGTCCCGATGAGCTAAAACTTTTGGGTCCTGTTGAACTTTTTTGGGGTCCCATTGAGCTGCAACCCGGGTAACCTTGGTTAATTTAACTAATTTGGCATTATGCTTATACAATCGGACCAGCCTCGATCCACTAGGATCTGTTCAGACAGCGTAGGGCGGCAATCCAACCTCAAAATTATCTAAGGTTTTTAAACAAGACCTTTAAGGGTACTCTTAAGCCTAGAACGCTCATCTGTGGGCAGCCTATGCTTCAAAGTTTACAAAATTAAAGCATCTTCGATATACTCAAGTACTGATAGGATATTCTTGCCGCCCAATTACCTTCTAGACGGTCGCGTGAGAGTCAAAATGGAATTTGATATTGAATACATTACGCCACCATCAGCCGCAAAACTGTTTTTCAATACAGGAATGTACAGTAGGTGGAACCCACGTTGCCTATGGTTTTCATCCATTTCCCTGAGGAAGTTGCACTTAGAAATTCGCGTGTCAAGTACAATTGACTTGCGTTCATGGGTTTTGCTCCGAGGGTGCTTTGAGATAATAAGATGCCGTGACGCCTTATTAAATGAGGTGCCATGGCAGTTGAATAGTTCGTCGTGAGCCACTTCCCGATTCTGGAATCGAAAAGGAATAACTGATTTCCTACACCCATACGAGATTTTTGAACGATCAAACGTAGAGTTTGCTGTTCTGAGACCGAAGCGAGGGGCTTGCCGCTGGGAACAATGGTACAAGCTCCACGTGATTGTATTCCTCACGTAACCCTGCCGCTCTCCGCTCCTAGCGACCCTGTGATCCGAAAGTCGATGACTGTCGAGATACGACAATTATCCCTGTGTTGTAGGACATTTAATACAGAGAAATAACATATTATTGTCATTGAGGCTTTTGGTTGAGGTTACGCTGAGCCTTTGGACTATCCGCCACTGGATTACATCAATCCCTCGTACTGACGTGTAGAAGCAGCGTTCTTTCGCAATTCGAACAACTGGAGTGGAGCAACAACCTGCCGATGCCACATTTCGGGCATTTATCGCCTTCCGTTCGTCAATATTCTCATTAGAGACACCTCGAGGTCGAGATGGACTATCTCGCTCATTGTAATTTGGCGAAAGCTTATCGGATATAGCCGAGAGGATCATCGCGCTCGGGCCATCGACTGGTAAGATCGACCCGGAACTCTAAATATACGCTAGTAATTTTGCCCCTCCTACCCAATCTGCGATAGTTCAACGTAACCGGTTCCCGCTATCAAAGCCACGGCCCTGAATAAGTACAGACGAGAATACATTCCATGGTTTAACCATTAAAGGTCCTTGGTTGAGTGTAAGTGTTCCATGCCGACCGAGTGATGGCGTAAATGCGACCCAGACCTGCTCTAGCGTTACGCCTAGTACTCTTGTTGAGACTAGACTTTTGCCACACACATGCAAACCTACCGCGTTTGCCAGATGATTTTCCAGTATTTACTTTTTTCGGAGGGCAAATGATGCTGGCAAATCCGACGTGGGAGATATTCGAATACGAGGTTTGTTTAGAGATGTGGCTAATATGCGGGAGGAACGAGCCGGTGGAGCACGGACAACCGTTATGCATCCCTCCTAACCCCCCACCATTTTGAGCGCTCAATGCAAGCCATACAAGGAACGCCAAGACGCCTCCAGAAAGACATCCAATCGGGTTAACTTAAGAGTCCCGTTGACTTTTTCCCACCAAGCGACGCCTACGGGTGAAGCCTGAGCCTCTGGAGTGCCTTTCATGTCCGGGTCGTTTTTCGGCCGCCTTCCATATTTGTTAGCGCCGGACTTCCCCGGAAGATGCCCGGATACTGGAAACGCAGCTCACCAATCCCATTATCCAAGGGTCACTCGATGAAATCCCAACTCAGTGTTAACCGAAACTTTCAATAGTACTACGCCGTGCTCCCGTGACCTGTCCCACCATAGTTCCACCATGGGATCCGCAGTTCCCAGCACCCAAGGGATCCAGTGAATCCATGTGCTATAGAATAATTTACATGACTCCTTTAACTGACGTCTTGAATCACAGCATATGCTGCTTTTCATTTGAGATAAGAAACACGATTAATAGAAAGCTTGTCTTCGGATTAATATTAGGGATGATATCAGGCTACCTACCCTCCAAGTTCAACACATACTTGGGACTCATTTATTTTTGGAGCAATCTTATCTGTGACCGACGAGTTATTTCTCAATTGTATCAAAATCGGGGTTCTAGCTTGTCTGGCTCTAATCCCAGATTTAGACGAAGTGATTATTTCGTAAAGAAATTTCCAGCGGTTTACTTCTGCTCAAACTTCATCATACTTTTTTTATATTTCTAGCCTGGCAAATTGCTAATTCCACATTTTTAGGGAGCAGGTCTTCCTAAGATCGGAAACTTTTTGCCCCGCGGTGTCAATGTAATTACCATGATACGATACATACTGAAAGTTTATTGTCTGACACAAGATGGACATAGTTAAAGAATAGGCGTTTGAACTAGTAAGTCATTAATTATGCCAAGTTATAGTACTACTTCAACTCATCAAGGGGATTTCTAAAGTAGGGCGAGCAACGTTTTGCGCACCCTTTCAACACGTTTTAATCAGAAAATGAATTTTTTTTCTTTGCCCTCTGCTTACTCCATTAAACTTTTTCGTTTCCGTATATTACTTTCTCACCATCAATCTAACTAGTCCTAGATCGGAGCACAAAGGGCGAGATACAAATCCAGTGGGATGTTGCTTATTATGGAATCCAATAAGAAATGTCGTCTCTCACAGCGTGTGTGTCCGCATTTCATTTAACTTAACCCCTCACTACAGGCCTCTTACCTTATTTTCCCGATTCATTCATGTTTTATTGTATCTTCATGTTTCTAAACTAGCCCATTTACCTTCATATTCAGGTCAGGACAGCTCAAGCCGCTGAAGTAATTACAGCCGAACCCCTACATTAAATTTAGAACATATAGATATAGAAAGTAAGTCTCAAAGGTGAGCATGCTGGGCCGATCACTTTAGCTAACTATCGGAACGGAATGAGCGTGTCCAATTACTATATCTAAATTTTGCTTAATATTTGGTTGTTTAACTTGTTCCAAGTTTCACTGAATCTTTGACCGCCTGTGCGCAAAACTCACTTGCTTTGATTTTGCCTACTTTTAATTCAATCTTTCCCCCTGCTTTATAGAATTTTTCGCACAACTGGCTGAACTTGAATCATATCCGTACCTATTCCACTGTTTATCAGGCTCAGTATACACTATTTAGCTATCTGTCCAAATGAACCCATCCGTCAACCCCAGCAACTTAATTTATCCTACAGTGTGGATGAATGATTTCATTTACGCTGACCCCTTGCGAACGATATGCAGCATTTATCCTACAGTATTTTTCGAATTCAGTTTGGCCCCGTGCTCTTTGAGACTTGCTTCCCGGAAATGAAATTTCCAAATTACCCTAATCCCGTTCGTGTCACCGCTCTCTCCGTTACACCTGCAGGAGTCGCGTGCAACCAATGAAAAGCATTACATATGTGCTTCCCAGGAGCAAGATCACATACTCGTTTACAATAAGGTATTACCGGTCCATACCCTGCCCGCTCACAGTGACCAGCAAGCTCTGCGTAATATAGCTGCGAGGTCTTGTCCCCTGAAAAAAGCTATATATACCGTGGTGAGCGCGATAATCGGGATGAAATATTGCAGAGATCTCTCCTTCAACGGCCGCCAAACATCCCTAAACTTCCCTGACAATTCCTCAAACCCACTAATGTTTCTGGAACTTTCGCAAAGCAAGCGCAAAATGGATGCTGGAGACCTAGGCTGCTCTGCGTAACATTCGATTAAGGGGTGCCAGAGCGACTAATGGTAAGAAGATCAACATAGAAGGTATCCTAGGAGATTGTTCAAAGTAGAGCCGCGAAGGAAATTTGAATATCGAATGAAAAGAAGTTGACAAGTACCTATTTAGATTCTGCTAAGACGACCTGAAGGGTCAGTAGGAATGGAAAGAATGGAATCATCTCTTGGAACCGTCCCACTCACCATTGCATAACTGCACAAAACGCACAAAACATGACACTATCCCCTGCTCCTAACAATATGACGAATACTACGTGGATGTGTATTTTAGCTATTCTGCCGGTCGTGGCCTATTGACCTGCACAAGTACATTCTCGACCAGATGAAGTTTGTTGTCCACACTACAGTGCGAAATTGACCCCTCTTCCGGTTTCCAAAACATATATTGACCCTGCCTGGCTGACAATGCCTGAATCTTCAGGGTTCGGGGTACTAACTCGGAAACGGGTTGCTGAGCTCATCTAGGCGCACTAGTTAATCGGATTTCAACAGGTCTGAATTGTTATTAAGCCCCCAGTTGGCAATTTGGATGGGCGATTGACTAATACCTGCGTATTTATAGTATCGCCTTCCTCCGAATCCCCAGTACATTTGGTCCTGCTCCGACAGGTATCTGACGGAGCAATAGCATTGGTGGATACGTGGAGAATGGAGATACTATAAATCCGTATGTATTAGTCATGTTTGTGCCTAGTTAACTAGTTAGTTATTTAAATTGCTAGAAAGCGGCATGTTAACAATTCAGACCTGTTGATATCTGATTGGTGCACCCGATAGGCCCATGAACTCCAAGATGGTGCATTCGGGTCCTGGTATCGACCATTAAAAGGATTTGGGCTAATGGTTCATTTAAATGAATTTCATCCCCATTACAGCCCTGAGTCTACCCAAAATGAGGGAACATAGAGTAGCACGGGGGAAAGTCCTCACAGTTAACTATCTAGAATTAAAATCGTTCGATGAAATGAGACTATTAAAAATATGGCCAATTAAGAGTGGTAAACCGAGGGACATTGGCTTTGTATTAAATTGCTTAATTCCTGTTCGAGGTTTGGTCGAGATTATGTATGAGTATTAAAAACAGAGGTCGAGCGGAGGTCTTGTTCGTGGGAACAAAAAAGAGCGCGTTCAATAGTGTTCTGCTCAAGCTAGCTCCGAGAAAACATGTACACAATCCACAAATCCCTACTTTGCTGGACAGTCTTTACTACGTTGCACAAGGCTGAGAGCCTCTGTCCGACATAGCAGTGAGGGCCATGGACGACCACTGCCGTATAGGTGATCCTCCTAGCTATGAATTGTATAGTACGTACGTCAATCACTAACCCCATGATTTTTGATACAAAGCTAGGGGTTGAAAGATTGGAAAATGGCCGAAAGCTTCTGGGAGACGAGAGAGACTTGGTCATTCTTCCGGAAACTCCGAGTAGCATTCCGTATGGATAAAGCCTTCACCAAGTCCCGGTATTGGCAATACCCCAAGTACATTTTCTATTAGGCGGTAATTGCAGTGAAGGCCTTTCGACGACAGGTGAAAAGGGGAGAATTAACACCCGACAAAGTCAATCAAAGAAAGGCAGCTGTTTATAGCTGCTACGCGCAAGCCATGAACGAGGTCGAAATACAGACAGGTAAATTAAGTAAAGTTTGTGGTCGACAGCGTGATCTAACCGCAGGACAGACTACCGCTTTGCTCATACTGGCTGCATGTCAACAAAAGAAATGTTATCGAAAGCCCTCGAATAATAAAACTTTCTAGAGATAATCTCCGTAGTATTTGGAACTCGGTACAGCCGGTTATCAAAACTAGATTCACCCTAATAAGATTGTCTAAAGGTAAAATCATTCAATGAAATTATTCAAGCTGTTTCCCTACCTCCCTTCGACCATTCGGTGAGTGATCTTCGCATCGTAGTACTCAAAGGTGTAGGTATCTGGCAGGGACTTCATTACACAGGGCATTTCATGTCACCGGAACATAGGTTATTTTATTCACAGCTCCATCTCTTGGGGTGGTCATTCCTGGCGTCACAAGCTATGGTCTCTGATGTCGCTTTCACAGGTTTTTATCCAAGTCCCTATGACATGACATAGAAATTTCCTTACAGAATATATTCATGCGTGTTCTTTCATTATGAATCAAATTTTATGAAATTGGGATCAGAGCGACGTTCCCTGTCAGTGGGTTTGGACCGCACCACCCGTATAAATCGCAGCGACATTGCTCCTCAGCTTGGCACCTGAGACCCCTTAGCATTCAAATTATTCTCAGATGATGGAGAGAAAAAGTCAGAACCACATGAGTGGGGAATCAAGGGAAGCTCACAGCTCAGGCGGCATTCCAAATATCATATGCCATATCTTCTCGGTCAACCAGCCGATACCATAATTGTCCGTCATATCGGTAGTTCCCGTCCAGGTCATGATTTTTCGATAATCGGCCTGTGATCTCTTCTGGATCTGGGTTCTACTTACCGCAAATTGGGCACAGCACTGGTGCCCTATGTTTTCGGGAAAGTTTATCGGATCTATCCCTATTAAATAGTGAAGAATTTCTGGGAGCTGGTCAACAATATACTGATACTGTTGATCATGATTTTGGGGATTCTGTTGGAATAAAGTACTCGGGCACCCCGGAGTTGATGCGCATCGGAGGTTCGTGTACCCATTAACCTGGACCGCCTCATAACGCAAGTTTGCCAAAAGATTATGCGTTTTGGGCCCTGCAATATCATTATGCCATTGCTCTTCCTTTCCATGTATGAATATTGTGTAATTGTGAAGGTTGTCGTAATGATCGACAATGTGTGCAAGGTATGCGCTGGCTTCGCGTCCTTGGTAGAAGTAGGGCTTCTCCAGCCCATTTTCTGAAAGCGGATCCATATTGTAAACGTATGCAGTGCAGTTGCTGATAGTCAGAATGGCTAATTAGCTTTTTTGGGAGTTATTATTTCTCGTTCACGCAGTAATACTTACAATTTCCCACAAAAATCAAAAATCCATTGAACATCATCTTCTGCGGTTTTTGCTGCCACAATGGCTACATCTTCTTGGCGGCGATAAAACCCTATCGGCTTCTGCATCTCAAATGAGACACTCTCCGTCTCCTTTATAGCTTTTTGTTGGATGAGCATCGACTTTTCTGTTTGTACAATGACACCTCAGCTGACTGATTTGACATAGGGTCGAGCAGCCCACTGACCAACATGTTTTGAGATCCTTTTGGAGATCCCCAGGTCTCTTATGCCGTAGGTGATCCTAAGTACGACCATGGCTAACGTGATCAGAAAAAATAACCTTGCGGATATCTTTTGCATAGCACAAGTAACGGTCGCCTTCGTAAGCAATCTTTCTTTTCTTCACATGAATAAGAAATGTGAACGGTTTGAAATCCAGGCCTGCCACGAGCACACTTCAAGAGTGGAAGGAACAGATGGTTGATGAGAGGCAAGACTGGAAAGCAGTTAGGGATTGATTTCTTAGTTATATGGTGATTATGAGCAGGTTATAGCGTGAGTGTATAGACACTCAGCTCTCGGCAGTTGTTAAAAATGACTGCTCATACCCAGGCTAACTTACTATATAAAAGGAATAATGATAGAGTTGTAAAGATGGCTAACGAGTCTACTATTTTCTCCAACACCCCTCAGTTTGAAATGGCTGGATGAATTTTCTCGGCAGTAGGACCAGAGAAAAAAAAAAGAAATTGGCGATTGGTGGGATTTCGCCCGTACCTGCAGAAAATAGGTCGCATTGGGACGATTGCCTTTCCCCAAAAATTTCCATATCCGTTGGTTCCTATTTCCTTAATCTTGCCTCTGCACTTTGTTGATGTGTTGGCAAGACAGGTATTTTAAGAGGCCCATTTCCTTACAATAAGTCTTTCCATACAGTAAGTCTCCGCCGGTCTTTCGATATTAACTCATTCTGTCGCGTCCAATCTTCCTTACTATATATAACAATCTTAATATTTAAGGAGATGAATTGCCCCGCACAGTATGTCGTCAGATGGCCGCTTTGGTTTCTACTGACTACCGCAATCGCTACATGGTCGATATCAGGGTGGGATGGTCTGGCATGTGGGAGCCCCCCCAACTGGCGAATCGAATTGTATGGGAAAAGGAAAACGAGGTGGTAGAGGGGTGCAAAACCATAGACCCAGGTCCGAAAGTCTATTCTATGATCGCGGAGATAGATATAAATGATGTTCAGATCTGGGCGTTTTCACTCCCAGGCTGCCGAGGAGCCCGAACGAAAATCGAGATTGGTTGTACCAACCCTGATATCTCCTTTCCCTACTTTTCTTCCTATGAAGTGATAACAACACCAGAGTAGACCACCGTGGAGTGTAGTCTCAGTCTAAGGTCAACGAACTAGACCGCGAAATAACAAATCTGCTGGTTCAAGTGTTGGATTGATTTTGCAGATCATCCATGTTAATATTTAAGTGATGTCATATTCTGATCATGAATCAAGGGTAGATTGAGTAATTTTGCGGTTGATTTCCATAAACTTAGTCTAGAATGTATCGAGAATATCTAGAGTATGTCACATTCAGCTAAGTTTTGAAAAATAGATTCCCCCTTGGATTAATCTGGTACAGTAGTCAACCCATTCAAGCGGAGACGCTCAAAATGCTTTCATCCCGAACAGCTAGCTGGGTAGTTCTTCGCACACTTTCTTCAAAGTAAATTGTGCCATTCATTAAATTTAAATTTAGTTGAATTAGCGGTATGAATTGTTCTCTTTGTTGCTTTGAAATTAAAGTAGGATTCACTGTTTGAATGTGCCCTCCGGAAAGATTATCGGGTCCTGAAGATCTCGCTTGGTACTAATTCATCGGTCGAGTCTGGTGAAGAACCGATTATGACTGTGAATTGAATATAATATGATTCTTTTAAACGGCCATTTAGTACAGTGTGTGGCTGTTCAATTTTGGTGAATGTAAATCTTTAATTAAGGCGAATTCGTGCGGTCATGTCGAATGCTTGATTCAGCTGGTTGATTGTCAAAATCGCAGCTCCATTTCATCAAAATTGTCCACTTGACCTCAACTTGTCGACACGAATTGGTTTGAACTTATCTGAATTCAGTTGACTATTCTCACTGGGAACCTCACAATTATCTTATCAATTAGTCACTAACCGTAACATTAGTAAATCCATGGCAACTAACCACGGTAGGGAATAGTCTTCCAAATCCTATTCCTGATGGCATCAATCCTGAATCGTGGACTAGTCTGCACTATTTTTATATTAAGATTCGTCGTTCTTGGGAAAAGTATAAAGACCCTCGTATTCAGAAGTCTTGAATACATGCCTTTCCTCTGCAAAATCCTCAGAGAACTGCTCCCGACTTCAAGGATATATACGGAAACCCGCTGCCGTTTTCGACGTTTTTATACATTTTCATAATCATGTGGTGGCCTTTCAAAGTCTTCGAAGGTAGGCGGTCCTGTTGAAAAATAAAAGGAGCAAATAGCTGATAGGCTGAAAGCATTGGCAAATAAAAAAGCCTCTAGGAAAGAAGGATCCACACATCCGACTCGGCAGGAACAGTTCACTTTGAAAGTTTCTGAAGGACTTCCGCAATGTAAAAAAGACAGAGAGATCTTCACTTCTGACTGGAAATTGCGGCCGGGGTGGGAGTGGAAATACGATTGGGTGGACGCCTGTTATAGTGAAAGTTATATTTTTACCAACAAGAAAACTGGTGAAACATACTTCGATCTTCAGTTGGCAGGAGAGAGAGGTCACGAGTTCGAGAAAATCGAGAAGGGGGTTTATCGGAGGATCAAGAATCCTATTCCACATAGCTATCCTCCCCTCACTTAGCATATATACCCATATATTGCAACCGTGGGCCTCGGCTCTTCGCCACTAGTGAAAAATTAGGAAAGTCCCTTGCCGAGGTGTTAGCCTAGCAACCCTTTATATTACTCAATTTCAAACAGTTGCCACGCTCCTCATGGCCCCTACACTTCATCTCAACACCCGATATAGTAGTAGTTCACAAAGCTAAGCTTGTGATTGTTATTTGAGTTCAAGGTGACTACATTTGTACAGTATTTTTCGAAATCAGTTATACCTTGACACTCTTGCGACTTCAGTCCCGGAAAATAAATCCGAAATACGCTAACCAAATCAAGTTCACCGCTCTCTGGTTCCAGCAGAACTGTAATAGTAATATCGGAGGCCGATTTGTTTAATAAAATCCTTTAGAACCGACCAGGAGTGTTAGCGATATAGGGTCGGCGTGCTTTTGAAGCAGTTGCACCGCAAAGTTAAAGTCGCCTTCTCTTATGGCTAGCAGAAAAGAAGGGATTTGCTGAGGTTTTCTCTTTGAACTAGGAAACTTTTTCGACATTGACCTTGCTCTTGATGTATCACCGTCCCGCGGAGCCTCGTGGCCCGTTTCTTGATAAGGTGGCGGAAGTTCATCGAGACAAGTCGTCCGGTCGGCGCGAAGTTCGCCTGGAGTTTCAAGAGGTGAAGAAACCCCACAGCCTATATCGTGGCTCTCGTGGGGTGATAAAGTCGGTCGTTAATTGTCTGTGGTCGGGGGGTTTTGCAATACTCCATCTCCTGAGGTCTCACATGACAATTTGTCTCCAGTAAGCAACCTGGCAAGCGCTGAAAAGCAGCCAGGAATTTTGATGGAGTTAAGTTCTCAAATATATCCGCTGAGTGTGATTCTAAGTCAGCTAGATACCGAGTTCGTTTGTGGTTTGATATGAAGACTTCCGCAATTGCTCAGCGACGGGGTTTATTAACTCATAAAGCGGTGACATAACATAATTCTGCCAGTTATGCCAACAGTATGTAGGCAAGGAGCTCATTTGCACATTTGCGGCGAATCGCCACCCGGCTTTAAACGATTGGAAATGAGACCTTCGCCGGTTTGAAGTTGGCTGTGGGCGCGTACGATGTTGTCCAATTAACAGACTCCCAATAATACCATAAGCACCGACTCAACGCCATCAGTATTCTTGCTCTCTTCTGCGAGTCCTGCAGGCGCCCGGAGAGTGGGTGTGGTTACCGGCTCTCCAATTGTAATGGTCCTGCTTTTCACACCACGATACACCCGGTCATCGTATGGATGGGTAGGGATTGTTTCTGATGCTGCACGGAGTACACTATTGCGGTATTCATCTACTCCATACTTTCAACTGGATAACCGCTGGCTAGACGAGGTACGTTGAGTGATAAAATGGCGTTCAGACGGTCAGACCCCGTGAGGCAGAATCCCCGGAAGTCGGCTGAAACCAAAATTAGGCGCTTGCTACGGCGGATTCTGGGGAGGACTTCCCAAAACCCCGAATCCTACTGAATGCCTTCCCCGCTTCTTCTACTTGACACCAAATCTTGCCTTGCATGTTACAGACCTAGCAGCATCAATTTGCCAAGAGATCACGGGAGCTCCTTGGCAGCGTGACGGCCTGGGATACAGAGACTAGAATCAAATCACCTGCAAGTCTATGTGGGTGCATAATAGGTCTTCCGATCAACTCGCGTGGTCAGGTGCGGACCCAATCGGAGTCCAACGGCGAACTGGTCAAGTGAGCCGCCTTTCTCAATCAAATATTAGAACGTCACAATATAAACGTTGTACGAAGCTAGCTTCGGCTCCAAAATTGATGATGAGTGTTGCTAACGGAGCAACAGCTGGGTAAACCAACAGACATGTCAGGGAGAATAAATCAGATGGATAGTCCTTGTACATCGCATTGATATTATTCTAAGCATTCTTATTTCGCGCCTGAGTGGCATGAGAAAGTTGCCGTCGTAAATCCGACATCAGTCGGTTGTAGAGTAGCGTCCAACACTGCTCCTGCTCATTAGACGACCTTGAAAATCGCTGACCCAACGAGTCGCTGCTCATCTGCATTGTTGCAACCACGCTGTAATTCGCAATACTACACCCTTGTCGGTGTGCTTCACGTTGAATATCACGCGATGCGATTCATCCATGTCTTCAATATCTAAATGACCATCCTGGATCACTCTCTGCACACATAATGGGTTATCGTCAACGCGCGATGCACTCCATTCCCATGACCCTTTACAGCCATTAGTATTAGATCAGTTCACTTTGGCCCTCAACGTACCATTACGAATCAGAATATGTCGAGAAAGGGTTACAACTGCATTTAGGGGGTTGTGGATGTATATAACAATCAACTGACGCTCAGACATGTCCATAGATACAGACTGAATGTCAGACCCCGGGCCGTCATTGATTTCAAGACTGAGTTTGCCAATTTAATTGTCACATACATCAGCACCCTACGTCATATTGTTTCGGCAATTTTATAAGGTCTATGTTACACTAGCTTATGCAACTTTTACCGCTTCTTGCAAGGGAGTTCCAAAATAGGTTCCCCCCGCTCCGAGACAAACTGTCCAAGCTGGCTTCCCCATTTCCTTGGCGACGTTTGTTGCCTTCAACCGACACCTCAGATCTTATCTTTAATATAATGTCATGGAAATAAAAACAAAATCCAAGATCAACAGGTATCTTCAAATCCAACGTGCTGCAGGTTTCCAAATTCGCGATGGGTTCCATTGTCGTTTCCACTCTTGTTCTGCTCTTGCTTCCTGAACTCGGGATTTTTCCAAAGCCTCCTTTAAAGTTCGGGCCGCTGTTGAAACAATTGATTTATGCAAATGGTTGCTTTCCGCCTCGAAGTCATGTTGTGTCAGAAGGCTTTCGGATACTTCATTCACAACTAGAAACAGTTCATGAAAAATATCTCGGCAGGACTGGTAGAAATCGTTCTCGTTTTTCTGGTGCTCGTATTGAACTAGCTTTTCGTATTTGATTTCCTGGAGCGACTGTCCATTCTTGCTCTTGAAGCGCTGCAAACGGCTTCGTGTTGTTTCAAGCGCGATTGTTGATCCATTTACCAGAGCAATTTGATGATCGAGCAAGTTAATCTCGGGCAAGTCATGGCTGGGCGGCGGTGTTGCTGATCGGATTGAAAAGTATTTCGGAATATCAGGTGACCGGCTGTAAACACTGGAAGTAGTATCACTCGATACTCGCTTCTCATTCTCCGTAAAAGACATCGCAGATTTATGTTAAATATTTCCTCCGGCAGATGACGGCGATTTATTGCTCTTTAAGCCTACAAAATCAATGACGTATGCAAATTCAATGTAGATTCTCACAATCTGAGTTTCCGGGAACGCAACTTTCAAATATGAGGAAATCTTTATACAGCATCTTCAATACAGGATAAGGATACATAAACTGAGTGCAAAAAATTGGACGGAAAGGTTGTCACTTTGCGCGAGCTAATTTCAAAGACTATCAACCTTGACGTTAAGCATACTGTACAACAAAGACAAGGCTAAGAAAATGAGCATCTAGAACAAGGTTCCGGATGATGGAATTTCATGATTGATGAATTCATGTTGAGAGGTGTAACGTTCTGCCTGTTATTCTCTTCTTGTTGAATCCGATATTGATTGATCAGATGTGACCAAATTGCCTGTGATTCAAAATTCGTTCATATGACGGTCTCCATATTCAGGATCTTGAAAATCGTCAGCTAAAGAAGAGCAACAGAGTGGTGTATTGCCCACACTTCATGTAATCAAGCTGTCAGAAAGTTTCTATGGTCCTTTGTTTTATTCATGCAACTGTAACAAGGGTAATTATCCCTTGATGAGGAAAACATATTCAAAACTTGTCCAATAATAAGTTAGATACAACGCCGGCGCTTCTTAATTATGGAAGGAGGGTCTGCGAATTGAACGACTCTTCTGGTTCCCCGGAGGCAAAAACAAGCCCTTTGTCGTGGCCATGCAATGATCGCATGATCGGGCCGACCAAAATGACTATCCACCTGTTGATCATGAAGCAATTCCTTGGCAGATTTTGGGAAACCACCAATTCGTTGGCCGGCCCCAGATGAAGCAATTTCGATTATAAATCTCTCTTCCAGACTGTTAACAGTAATTGACACCTTTTTGCGATAATAGCCACACTCATAGCAGCCATGATCCTCATCGATGGGGCCCAAATCAATTCCTTGCGCAACTTGGAATCGAGCTCCAGGCAATTCTTCTATCAATTGCCTGATAACAGACCTAGGCCTTGGGCCTTTGCAGAGAATCGATCCTTGACAGATGAATGAACCTTGTTTTAGAAGAGGTATTTGGTCCATCTCGAAAAAAAGAACCCCGTTGCCAGTATTGCATGAACTAAATTATCGGATACGCTAAAGGATAATTTAGATAGCTCCGTCAATTTGCTCACATCATCCAATCTTGGTAGGTGTGCAGGAAGAACATGGTCTAACCGATGTATATCTGCGCGCATGTGATCAGGAACAAAGTTCAGTGCCTCAAAAAAGCCCTGTTCACCATCCATAGATGGGGAAGCCATGAATGCTCGAATCAAGCGGGGAACAGCGCTATCTCGTATGGCGCTTTTGCAGTTAGTCTCGGAGACAACCCCATCCGCAGTCGACCCTGTGCCAATTGAAACAATTAGGTCGTGTTTTCCGGCGTTGGGCCAGATGATGGCGGATTCCTTTAGAGCAATGGCAAGGGGATTGTTTGCCCGCACCCCACCATCTTGGAATGAACCAAATCCGGGGAGTTTTTTGGCTTTGAAGAACCTAAAAGAGGATTAATTTTGAATATACCGACCACTTTGAAGCTTACCAAGGAGCTGCAACACTGCATCGAGCCCTGAAGATTTCATATATTAGTCTTGCACAGACGACCCAGTTATCCCACCAGCGACAACCCGAAATAATGATACATGGAGGTTTCGAGAAGGATGATGAGAAACGAGTACAAAACTTACGCCTCCCACAGAAATGGATTATGGGCCTGGGTTTCCGGAATGAGAAACTCGTAGGCGGATTCAATGTCTCGCAAACCCATACCCCTGTAATTTGCCAGAACGCAAGCTTTGCCATCGGATATTCGACTTGTGATAACAGCCACTCGACTACCTGTGGAAGGGGTCGTCCCAAAATCGAATATGCGACGACTCAAACCCAGCTCCTCCTGGAGTACATTGTCCAATTCGTTCCCATCATACCATCCATCAGCAAGAAATCCGGTGAAGTATTTTATCCAAAGAGCACATTTCGCAATAGAGAGTGCGGAGAGCTCTTGACTGGTGCCTGGAGAACCAAAAATCTTCCGAGCAAGCTCCGGAAACTTGTGGAAACTTTGTCCCGCAGAAGATTTGTTGAAAATAAAATCCATGATATTGAGGCCTCCTGAATTAAAATTGTGTTAGAAAGAGACATTCACAATTGCATGAGGGTATAGGCAACGCTATTACCAACACTTGTGCCCGCGCACAGATCAAATATATGAGGAATTGTTATCCCGCCGCCGAGTCTGCGCTCGAGAGAGCGAAGAAGGCCTAGTTGTATGATACCACGAATTCCACCGCCATCTAAACTGAGTATCAAAGGTCCTTTAGTGGGAGGAAGAAGCTGTATAGTTATTTTAACGTCGTTGTTGCATAAAGGGCAATGTTTCAAATCATAATGGTACTCTGCGCTCCTACTAGGCATACCAAATATGACAACACAAATGTCGCAAATTGTATGACGACACGCCATCATATGCTCGGGGGCTCTGCATAGACATATGAAGCAGGAATTAGTTGAATACAACCCTCCATAGCGCTGGAAAAAGCCTGTTGCAACCCTTTTCCTAACAATTGCAGATGGTTTGGTTGGACTCATTTCGTTGAAAAGAGTATTCAAGTGGGCCAAAACAGAGCGGCAAGCGCTTCTCGACATCGACATCGCTTGTTTGCTCCAAGCCTCTAATAACTCTTGCTCGTAGAGTTCTTTGAAAACAATGTCTGGAAGAAAGCCTGTATCAACTTGTCAGCACTGGCCAGGAAAACTACTTGTCAAAGAAAACATACGGTGCATAGAAGGAGGGTAGGCGTTCAATAGAAATGCAGATGCGATGAACACATAAATGTCATCCACTTCACATCCGGAGTTGGCCGCCTCATTTAAAAAGACTTCTATGTGATTCCTGGAGACCAGATTGAGCTGGTGGTTCTCTCGTGCAATTTTGAGGCAATCTATGGTTAAATTCTCTAGGCTCGTGTTAATTTGTTTGATAGTTCTGTTCCAAAGAGTGCACAAATGTTGCGCAGAAAATGCAAACCCCTGGTCAGTTTTTTCCCTTTGTGTGATTTGAATTTGACTCAGAACCTCACGGCGTAAAGGCTCGAAGGCTGCCGTTGGAGATAGAAGGTGCCGGCCACGTAGGTCAACAGTGATGATTTGCAGCTTCAAATCTTCCTTCAACCTTTTGATTGAATGATCAAGAGTTGTATCGTCAGACTCACGCTCATCCTTCCTAGTTAAAACCATAATTACACGGAGGGAATTTGGCACTAATTGTGATCCAAATTTAATTTTGCCACGCGGGATATCAAGTACCTGATAGACTTTCTGTACATCTGCAGCGACATTTACGAAAAAACATAGAACTTGTGTCCATGGAAGCAGAAGTTTAGATATCACATGCTCTTTTATGTCCCTTAGAGAAGACGTCCTGCCGTGGAAGATGGGATATCGTCGGAGCTTCTCAGTGGGCCAGCGACAAAGGCTTGATCCACCTAGGCCAGAATGCCTGAGTAAGCTGCCTTCTGCAAAGAGAAGAGGTTGCTCGCTTTCAGCGGTTTCAGTACTGAGATGTAGCCTAGTGAAGCCTGCTGGCCCTCTCCTGGTAATGTTATTACGTGGAAATAAAGCCTGAAGAGCTTTGATACGAGAGGCATTTCCGGCAAAAAGAATCAACGAAGGATATTGAGAATGTGGATGGCTCATGCCTTCCACCAGTTTCTCTAGCCGCCCTGTGTCAACCAAGGTCCACCCTTGAGCCTCCGATATAAGGTCAAGCCAAGATGCCATGGTGAGTATGACGATAGAGCTACAGTATTCAGGGTTAATTTCAGCCTATAAATATTCCACAAGTTAAATTGGAAAACCGCGTAGCACGTTCTTTAACACCATCTTCGTAACTGAAATTTCGATTTAACTATCAGCACATTAATAAATCCGCTCTAAAATTGATTGCGTACCATTTTGGGAATCAAAAATGACATTGAATTATATTTACTGATGTTAGTCACAGGCAGTGCTTTTATCAGATGGCATCATTTTGTTCGTTTTCTTGCAACAGATAAATTTAATAACAGGCATGTCGAAAGTTAATATAAAATACATGCATACTGTACAAGCTCGTGAATGAGTGCCCGTGCCCTCGTGGTCTCACTCTGTGTTTATTGCTCCGGCTATTCATCATGTTCCGATCAGTGTCGAAACTTTTTCATAAGTGAACAAAAAAATCTCACGCCAACTTCTTCAAGACGAAGATCTTTGCAAAGTCTGGGATTGTTTGAGAAAACCATGAGCCCGCCCACCAAGGACTAATCGATGGGGTCACACGATCCCAGGCGAGAAGACAACAGTCTATCTAGCGGTCTTCCAACCATTCGACAGAAGCTTACGCAAACGGAAGATTTATCGCACTCTGAGGCAAGTTGGATCTCACTTTGTGAGTATAGATGTGGTGTCTCTCCATCAAGCTTGGACGGACAACACGTACCAATCATTAAATATCAATAACAGAATTTTGGATGCATTGTATGTTACACACACACACAATTCATTAACGCCCGGCGGCTGAGCCGAAAGGGCAACTAACGCTGATCTATCGATACACGTCCCAATATACATCTGCCGTGTCTCCTTCGAGCCCATAACCGACCTTCCCTCGGAGCTCTCGTCGTAGTTCTCTCAACTCCGGACAGTCCAGCAGAACATGGGTTACACTCTCTCGTTCGCCACAGGCACATAGGTCGTCATCGCGGAAACGAAAGGTCTTCGCGTATGTTGATAGCCAGCAGTGACCAGTCCGCAATTGCGTTAGTAAGTAGGCCCGGCTTCTAGGTAGGGACCCGTAGAGACGTCGGGTGTACTTGGCTGGCAATGTGTTGTCGATCCGGCGCTGCTGACCGCCGGGTTTTCGACTCTTTCCATTCTTTTTCCCATTGGTCTTGGATACCCTGCCTGATGTGTGCCCACTCGCGTGATATTAAGGGACTAAATGGGTGTGTCTTGCGTGGTATACTGCCTCTTTAGCTAGCCTGTCGGCAATGTCATTTCCGGGTATTTCGCAGTGACTGGGTATCCATTGTAGTCAAATCTCTGTGCCGTGGGTCTTAGTGTTCTTGGCTGCTTGGAGAATGGCGTGAATGATCTGTTGACCCGATTTGTTCCCGGGGCTCTGAATAGCTTGCAATGCTGACATGCTGTCACTGAAGATAGTGGCGGATCTCACCCGCAAGCGAGATGCTGTCCAGCATCGGGCCGCGACTTGATTGATGATGTTGACAGCATACAAGATCCCAATCAGTTCTGCGGCATGAACGGACCACCGGTCCATACTGCCGACCTGAATTTGGACCCTGTCCGTTATCTGTTGCATCTCGTCGATCGTGGTGGCTGCGGCTCCCAGATAGCCTTGTCGTCCCGAGGCATCTGAGTATAGACCGCGTTACCTGCGCCCTCTTTATTGCGGCCTCGCTGTCTAGCTCTATTTCGATTTTCGAGAACACCTCCGGCCTCCATAGTGGAAGCGGGGTCCGGTCAATCATCTCGATTTCTCGTAGCTTCTCTAGATTCATTGTTTCAACGCCTCTGCTAGCGGCAACCTAGTTTACGATCCCAAATTGTTCCGTCTTCTTCGAGCTCGGAGCAGGGTGCTCCATATAGGGTGTTTCTGTGGTAGGGTGTGGAGTCTCGTAATAGTGTTTTGTGCACGGTGGCGAAGACGAAGATGGATTGGTTGTACATGTGCCTCTACATCTAGCGTTGTTGTGGCCACCGCACCAAATGCGGATAGGACACGAATGAGTGCTGTCCGTTGTACATTACGCAGGTGCCGGAGATGCGTCTTATCTCGGAGGGGGTCATGCCAGACGGTTGATGCGTAGTCGATGACTGGTGCGACGCACGCTTCGTAGAGCTGTCGCATTTGCTCTGGACGTAGATGTTGTAGCCCACCAAGCGTGATGTTAACCTTCGTGGCTCGTTTGACAGCTTGTTGTACGTGTGGCCTCCATCGTAGTTCGTGGTCGAAGACGACTCCTAACTGTTTGGTAGTTACGGAGGGTTTGATGGTATTGCCATGCATGACGAGTTTCCCTTGGCACTGTCCCTTCCTCTTGCGAGTGATGTGATTGTATGTTACAGTCGATAGCAAAAACGGCTTCCTCCCCACAGACTTGTTTTCTTCTCTCGGGCCCTGTTGCCAACGCATTAGTGTAAAATTTATTTAAGGGGCCATAATATAGTATCACTATTCAAGGTATTGAATGGTATCGACAGCAAAATATACTTTAAAGCAAGTCGCTCTAGCGGTGAGAGGTACTTAAAGTATACATGGAAAGAGTATTCATTGTACGATGTAAATCTTCAAAGTCTCATGCCGGCGCAATGTTTCCGTGCGGCCACCGCCGATGGCGAGAATTTCATCTAATAGATAGGGCATTTTAGATTGTAGAAAGTATACCTAAATTACCGTAAATATTACGTAATGCATAGTACTTTTTGGTTTATTATTTAAATTTTTCATTATTTTTCTCTTTATGTGTAATCTGAAGGTAAATGATTTAAAGCGGAAGAACGGGAACTTGTCGCTAAAGGCCGACTCACCAAGGAGAAGCAACTTCTAACAATGGCTTCCCGACCGCTGGATATGATATAAAAGGAAAGGCCGGCTAATTAAGGGGTGGTCGAATACTACTAAGGGCCTTTGGGGATAGGATGTTCATCGTCCGCCAATTCCTCTTAGTATGTGTACGACGGTATTCGGGCTATCGGGTTAGACTCAGAGTATGGTGACATAACACACCACAACGGGATGGTACAAACCCTGAAGAAAGTTTAACTACTCTGGTCTTTAATCAGTCAAGGAGCTGATTCTATTGGACATGTTCAGTACTAGCTACAGCTTCAAAAATTCTCTCAAACTCACACCACTCGAAACATTTTGACCAATCATGCTTCCGCTAAGTCCAAATAAGACTCCATGGCGTAGGATCTTGGCCCCCTCAGACCAAGACAAATACAAATGAGGACGGATTGTTTGGGAAAAGCGTTGATGTGTGAAGTAGGCTGAACACTCCTCACTTCAGCGTTCTTTGACGAACATTGATTTTGGAACTGTCTCGCCGGCCTCGACTGTAGGAGTCTCTGTCTCGGATGTTCAATGTTCGCGTTCTCCCTTTGTGGAGCTTGATATTCTGTTGCTCTAGATAATCATCTGCAACTTGCTCCGAGGTTGCTCGAAACTGAACAAGTTGCATCTCAGACCTCCGGCTAGAGGCCATTTGGGTGGAAGACCAAAACTGAGGTTTCACTTGGGTATCTGGCACAGCTAGAGACAGGGGAATATCGTGGGGGTTCAGTGGCTCGGTAGGCTCCCGTTTCATGTACTTGTTGATAATTTCATCCACATCATCGCATGGCTCAATGTGCTACGCATCATCCATACTAAAATCGGGCTGGAAATACAGGCTGCCAACATCGTCTCGAGCACTATCGGAATTCTTTTCCGATTCATCAAAACTTATCGAATTTTTTTCATCGTTGGCAGGGGCCAGTGTTTCGTGAACTCTGATTGAGGAGGCTGCTCTTTCCTGCTCGGCAAATGGCTGTTTTTTCTTTGATTGACCACGCTTCTCATCTGCAATGAAATCCAATTCATTGCGCTGGGCGTCTTCAAGCTCTTTTTGCTTTTCCCAGTTTGCCATAGATATGAGCCCGTCAGCCACACCAAGGCGATAGCTGAATGTAGGCCCGCCTCCTTTGTAGGAACATGCCCATTCTAAAATCAAATTGTGAACCATTTCAAAAGCTACTGCAGCTGCGACAGTGTTGTCTGAGATGCCAAAAAATGACCACTCCACATAGATGCCGAAATCGGTCGAAAAGGTTTGCAGTCAAAGAACGTACACATTGCTGTCGCCAGTCTTTCAACAAAGGCTTCTTTCATAACCCTCCGTGATCAGCCTGCAATCTTTTCATTGCTCTCCACCGTACTGCGCTTTGCTTCCATTATCATTAGCCATAAGATCCGCCTGGGTGACATTTTGTTCGCTCATAGTTTCTGAGATAGAAAGAGTGCGGTTTTGGCTTCTGCTTCTGATACGTTGGCATGGTAGGCGCGGTTCAGACATTTCTGGATTTTATCCAAAACGGCTTTATTGATATGACAGGCTGTTTGAGGTTGGTTCTCTGAGGCGGTTTTGATAACAGTTGCCTTCTGAATAGGCTGCTTGGGTGCCATACTGATCCGATATGTTTAATCAAAGGGTGCGGACTGGTCATTGAAGTACTTTTCATCCCACAAGGAGACCCCGCCGTATTTTTTTTTCCGTCCCCAATGAGTCTTCATTTTACGGGTCCTATCTTTGATACACATAGTAGCGCGTAAATAGAACGTACTAAAGTATATTTTACGTGGAATCAAATTTCTTGGCGGGTTTTGGGTCAACGGTCGACAGCCAATGCACAATTTTGGCGCCTTTGGTATTCTCCAATATTTATGGTGTTTTCAATACTTGACACTTGTCAGGGCAATTTACACCGGTGGCACTTCTCAGGGTTACTGTATTAAATAATTGGCACTTTTGTCCCTGGTCATGGCCTTTGAAATCTGACAAATTCACAAGGTCTTGCTGTTTTCACCACGGCCCTCAGGAAACAGGACAGTGCAAATCACCTCTTCTGTCGCGCACATCCAGCGTAACCGGTAATATTTGTAAGGGCCGGTTAATGGTCGTGAGTACGTTTTTCAACACACTCAGCGATTGATTAGGCACGACCTGATCCCTGCTAAACATAATATGACTTGCCAATCGACAAACACCAATGAAAAACCAGTAGTCTTTCATGTGCCTCGTGAGGGCGGCTAATTAGACGTCAATTCCAGTTGGTTGGGATGTGTTCTGCCGCCAAGCTCTTGACCTTATCAAACAGTATCACGCTGCATCCGTCAATAAGGATGTCCAATCAAAAGAAAAGCTATCCTTGGGGTGGAAGCAGATTTCGCTAGTGACTGTAATTGCCAACTTCAATTAATATCACCTCTGCGATGTTCAAGGCCTTCAAGTGTCGTGACTTTATGCTTGCACTGGGGGCATTTACGACGGTGCACCAACTTCGGATGCGGTCTGATGTGTCTGCCGTTCTGGAACTTCCGGCCTCACTCACAGCTAATCATTGCATGCATTGTCTGATATGTGTTCCTTGATAGGACTCGTGAAAAACACAAACTAGACTTTTCTAATTTCGAACGATGCTTGTCTTGAATTGAGAGTTTTCCGCGACGGAAAGGTCCATTATGCACTGTAAAGGTATGCTTTGCAGTCAGTGTCACCTACTTTCGGAGCAAACATGGTCGATTTTGGAACGCTGTATTGGCCCAGTCTATATTGTATGGGAATTTACGTCTGGAAGGATCATAACATCCCCCAATCGATATTTCCGTGTTCATTGCCTTTCCTGAGGCATTTCCACGAATACCCCCATCCCATTGGGTAATTACCAGAAGCTACGTTACAATAGAATTGCATATTTGATTAAACACTTTCGAATGCATTATTTATCTTGCGGGATAAAATGCTGGTATCATTTCTGAGAAAAACCAATGACCAAAAATGTAGCATTTACGGTGGCCCTCAATTTGGTGCAAACGATCCCTTTATTGATCTGGCTTTCAGTACTGTAACTGAAAAGGTACTATTCCCTCGAACCATCACATCTACAGTCAATGACATTCCATATGTCGCTTCTTCGGTCTGGAAAATTGAAGATTGGGGGCTTCGGAATCACCAAATTAGACGGAATAGTAGGTGTGTAGTCAGCAGGTGTTCTGTGTACTGCACGCTGCGAACGATTTTCCTGTACCCGTCAAAATCAGTTCACTCCAGGTATGTTTGTGTAGTTCTTACAATGTCTTGTTTAGTTGGAGCAGGAGTTCCAGGGTGAGAATGATATGTATAAATTCGCCCATTCGGCATTTCCATTATTAACCAGCTCCGAATGGCATACAGGCGCCAGAAATCATTATGGCGTCGCAAGAGATTGTTCCGACGCTTTCGTAGTTGTTCCTGCTTTACGCGGTTCATGACTGGAACCATTCATATGAGCTACCCGCAGGCTCTTTCTGGTATATGAAAAGGGCCGAAGCTCGGGACGCTGCAGAATATATGGAAAAAATCAGAGTTTAAATTTGCGTCTCAGTACATTGAAATGGGCCACCATCCTTGAATTCACCCAGGGTGAATACCGCAACTTATTGCTAATGGTTTAATAAGAGTTTCCGATATTCCTGGTTATCAATTGAATGAATGAGAAAAAATATTGGTAAAAATCATTCCCTAAATCTACGGCTTTATGGTGCTTGCGGTACATCCATCCATCCGAAGTGACGTCCTCAATTATTTAATTCATTTTGTTTGTAGGGACTTCGTGCGACTACCATGTATTTAGAGGAATTGATTAACCGCTATGTTATGCCCGTTTTTGCCTATCTGCTTTGGGCTAGACCATTACATTTCTTTTCCAGGCTTCCACTTTACCGTTAAATAATCCACGGGATCTCATTGTCAGCATTGCAGTGGTCATTTCATAAAATTATTCCTGTTGGATCACCAAGATCCGACTCTAATGCGTCCATCCCAGCCTGAAGTACTAAGTTATAGGGATTTGACTTCGATAAATTCACAGGAGCTTGAGCGTGATTTGAGCGGAGATGCCCTGTCTCTGTGCACTCCCGACACTGAGCATAGTACGACGCAAACCTCCCAGAAGCTTAGACTGCACAGTGATGAACGGACCTCTTCAAGTCTGAAACTGGCAGGCACTGGAGTTACTATTTCCCCTGTCCAAATTGTGGCGTTGATGCTTCAATTTTTCTTGTCAAATGGAGAAGCCAATGCATCGCCAGAGAAAGCCAAGCATTCACACGCCACAATTGACATACTCAAGTCGGCTGTAGAAATCGTCCTTCGACCATCTTTGACTGCTAAAGAGATGAAAGAGGAATGCAGAGAGATACTTCCTGGAAATACTGTATCCAATTCCCGACACCAGCAGAGAGTAAACAAAGTTACCACTAAACTCTATATTCAACGTTGGATAGGCGATCTTGTGAGGCAAAATACGCCAAATAGCCCAAACTTGTCTGCTATTCTAATTCAGGAGTTGAAATACCACTATCCGGCCTACTATAAGGCCTTGCATGCCTTGCCATTGATTCTTCAGCATATGCCAATTTCTCTGAAATTAAGGTTGGCTACAAAGGTGAATTCGAAACGATTAAAGGTAGCGACAAAGCTGCTCAAACGTTGTGGACTTTAGTTTATATCACGGTTAAATTTCAGGGACCAGCTATCAGATTGCATCCTTTCGTCAAGCTTATTCTGGAATTTTATTTTCTCTGCATTTTAGATACAATTTCATAAAATACAGTACTTCCAATTTATCTTTCCCTATTCAACATTTTACAGCCTACGAAGGCCCTGCCACATAAAGGGACAATTTCTTGGTCCATTGCACATGTCCTATTCTGAAACCGATGCAAGCAGATATTAGAAGAAGCTTGTTGTCTAGCCAAAATTTTCGGGTATATATAACTTGAGCACACATGAACACTACAATCTGATACATAATATGTACTCATCCTCTTTGATTAGTGCGCACCTTTCTTACAACGTGCATTCATCCATTCGTTTGTATGCATTCTTCCCATGGGTATTTCAACGACCATGAAGTCCCGTTATTGACAGGTGTTTAACATAAACACTATTTCCATTTTCATACTGGGGTCATGCTATTTACTTTTCAATCTGCTTTTCCCATTTACTTGTAAATAGTCGGTATTCAATAGCCCAAACAGGCCATTCCCGTCAATAGATCAGTAACTTGTACTGTTGAGATTTCTTGCTTCAATTGGCCATTGCTATATGGCGTCCAGCTGTAAGTTGGGTGTTATCTTTTCAGAGGAATAAAATGGCGGAAGATTCCACTAACGCCCCAGCTTATGTCCAAATTGTTGATCTTGAGAACCGCTTTGAATTCTGAGGAACATGAAAACTTCGAGTAAAAAGTGACTTCCGTCTGTTTTGGCACCCATCAAATTACACAATTTTGTAGCAAAAATGAAATCTACTCGCTCTTAGATCATAAGCTGCATATAACAAGCTGTTGTAGCAGTTTCAACTTCCTATGTGCCACTGCACCCAAGGTTTTGGATAGCCGTGCCAAAATGGCCAATACAGTTAGAAACTCCAATATATCCACTGTAATGCCCCTATCGATTACAGAGTGCGTGAATATTCCACATTCTGCATCTTAATATTGTTGCATGTTTAACACATTTCAGGAGCCAATTATCCTTGAAAGATTCGGCTTTCACTTCTAATATAGAACGAATAGCCTCACACGTGCAACGGAGTTCGACTCAGGTAGATTTATGTACGCTTACATGGCAGACCTCGCATCTCGGGTCCCAGGCCGCATCGTCGGATCTTTCTTTCACATCAACGTACCGCCAGCCGGCTAATATTGTTGGTTCCATTTGGAGCAACGCGCCCACGTCCAGCCTAACACACAAATATGGAATTACCTCATCTACTGGCTCAGAACAAGAAACAAGGAACCGACTCGCGTCAGCTAGGATGTCAAATAGTTCAGGCCAGATGGCAGACCCAATGAGCAATGATCAGGTCTTGGCATATATATCATACAGTGAAAGTCTGACGGTCATCTATGCATCCAAGACTGCGGAGCGAGCACCCAATTTGTCGTCCGTGAGTTCGTGGATAGAAACCACGCTGCCTAGAGTATCCACCCATTCCAGATCAACGCAATCATGTTGTGGTATGCAGGAATCAAAAATCACCTTTCACGGATCGCCACCAACATCATCTGAAATTTCATTCACATTTTCACACTCCCAGTCAGCTGAGGTTGATGATCCCACTTGGAAGTCGAATTCCATCATCGTGAGCAAAACAAACAGAAATGGATTTATTTTGACGACTAAATCGGAACCCTTCACCTTGCAGAGACCTGAGTTAACTGATTCGGTGGAGAATCCGTACCGAATGACGAATGCGCGTAGCAAGGAGCAGGCACCGACGTCCATATCACGGGTTGAGGACCAGGCAGCTCCTGGTACTTCTACTACCCTGGAAAATGTTCCCACGGAGTTATCTATGCATGTTTTAATAACACCGTCACCCCATGTGTCTTTACATCTTAAGGCACTTACTGACATGCCCACCTATTCCTCGACGAGTTTCCTCTCTAAAGGACTAATTGTGGATGGAACTACTGCGGTGTCTACATCGAAACAGATTAGTCAGACTCTTGCGTTGAACAATCTTCTCCCGATAAGCAAAGCATCGGGAGGGGACCGACAAGCTCATGCGTCAGTGGGACGTATATCATTAGATTTGGATGTATTAGACTCTCATCTAGATCGTGAAACCAATGCTAAAGAAAATGTCGGATATTCATCATCTCTTCACTCGCCGTTCCCTTTTAAAGACGGTGAACAAATACCACAGACGCACCAAGCACAAACCACTCTCTCGGCTCCTTCTGCAGATCTGTTTATATCAATGTCAAACTCAAAGCAGGAGGGACAGGCATCTACTATAACAACTGGGTTTTCTCATCCGACGATTTCCACTGATTTGACACACACCACTAGTACAACTTTGGCGGCCACGCTGGCTGGGAGTGCAATGTCAATGCCTATTCATAAAAAATCCCTGGCAGTCATCTTGGGGAGCATTTCCAGCGCCGCAGTGATCTTCTGTGGGATTTTCTTTCTCCATCGTTTGTGCTACAGACGTTTGCCGCATGTCAGGAATGACCCCACTTATACTGGACATGAACAAACGGTTTTAACTCCCGATGACTCCCAATATCGAGAAATCTCTCGCTTTTCTGAGGATTCATAACAATCACCACTGATCGTTTGCGCAAATGGACCCGGCCCCGCCTGCTCACGAATCCAAACCCTCCCGCCCGTTGTTGTACACATTTTTGAACCGATCAGATCTCCAACTCTAATTCATCATATAACTAGATCCCTAGTTGGGTTTCCATGTGGTAATATTCCCAGATAAAACTATTGTTGCGCAAAATTTACCAAGTTCTTGGTTAAACGGCTGATACAGCCCTCGAGAATTTTAGATCCGCGAACCACGGATCGCTAAAAGAACTACCAGGGATACACAAAAGAGGGATAAACTACATGAAGTGGGAATTATACACTGATTATTTCCCATTTAGTATACTTATTCTTCCTGAATTTCTGGATGTGTCTAAGTCCATTGCCTTGAGAGCCGCGCGGTTCGGTGTCGTGGCTGTTTGACACTTGAATATGCTGTATCTTATCTTAACCCTTGTGCATTGAAGTATCATAATCCAAAATATCGCATTTACGATGGTTCTTGGGATGGAATACTTGGTGGGAATTACGTGAACTCGCTCATTTTGCAATAACCCCTTGACTGGTCACTTACACATGTTACATAATTTGTAACTAACGTGTCGTTGATGCACCCCCGCACCCGGTGAATTTATCATTCTTACTAATATTGACTGTTGAAAATCTCTGGCGGTTACACCATAGGTGACAATCTATCTCCCGTGTGATAATTTACCGAGCTACTTGAGAGAGAATTCACCAAACTAGTTAAATATACGTAGAAAAGGGAGCAAGTTTGGGCACTACGTGCTAGAAAAGAAGTGAGGCAGTACAAGGCGCTATGCTAGCGTACACCCAAGTCTAGGGATATATGTTATATTGATACTGTAATAAAATCAGAATATATTCTCCTTGCTGCATGACCATTGTGCCTAATGGCCTGATTTCTTTTATTTCTCGCTCTGCGAGAGGAGGTCCGTCGGCGAACTTGATAAAATGACGTCTGAAAATTCGGACTTGGTGAACGCCATATTTCTCGGGCATATCGTGAGCGGACATATCTATAGCAAGAAGTTACCAATCGACAATAGGATAAGTGACCTAAGAACTTGTGGGATGTTGGGTGAGCAGCAGCCAGCAGCATTTGTAAATACTTGGACAAAGGCAATATTTACTTTACATCCGCCAAAATTAGTGATATTATGCCGACATAAATTCCGTGTGAAGAGCATACCAATTTAGACTTATTGATATCTTTTTGATTCGCTAGTATGACTCATTAACCAGTACTCTTAGTGGTGTTTTGAGCGACGAAATATAAGTCCGTTCCGAGTGGTCGAGTTTGGCACTAGGCCCTCGTCACTGAGAACAGATGACAGAATGCCGGGGATGGACTGCAATGGTCTCTTTGTATTCGCTATTCCCTTTGTGGAAAAAGTTAGAGATTTTCAAGTAATATCGAAACCAGGCACTATTTCATCCCGTCAATCGTCCCGCATCCGCCCTGCTGCAGCATATGGGCCACGATCGAAATGTTGGATGTTGTTGAGCGACACTTGCTTGGTGGCTGGTTGAAAAAGAATGAACCTGCCCGTTCTACTTATGTGTAAATTTCCATTTCTTGTGACTGAAACTAGATCCTGATACGCTCTAGTTACAAGTTTCTCGGATGTACACTACATTACGAAGTCTCTGAAGAACCCTGTTAACCGACACCATTGGCGACTAAGCTTTACAAGGCTAAGAATTGATGTTAGCTTTTGAATTCCCGTATGTGGAAAGAGATAAATTTCGTGTTTTCCATCAAATTCAACAATTGCTATCGATGCCGTCTCGTAGCAGTTTCAGTGTGAACGCCTATTCTTGACTGGGCGTTGTACAGGGAGGATCGAAATCAGATTCACCACTTACACACGGAGATTCTATCTCGAACCCTCCTTCGAAACCTACTATGACTATTGCGGTTACACTACCCCTGATCCCGTGTCTTGGCGGTATTGTGGTACAGGCGTAAATAATAACATAAAAATAGATTCTGTATGAAACTGGTATGGCTTCCAGCATGTCGATTTTGCAAACAAGGCAAATGGATTTCCCTCTTTGGTCTAAGGTCTAGCTAAACCCCCTGCCTACAGTACCACAGGCTGATGTGGACTAAACGCCAGTCTGATTTCCCTTTCTTAGCGCCGTGATCACCTGATGATGATGATGATGACGTGAGTGTCTACCTATTTACCCCTCTTCAGGCTGAGTGTCAGACGACATTCCTTCACATGAGATGCGCAGACATATACTTGTCGATCATGGTATCCAAGGCATCTGTATCATTCGGTGGCAACAACCTCGGGCTTCAGATTGGGAATAACCACGGCTCGATTCATGCAGAATTTCATCCTCCTGGTAAGGCACAAGAACCCAAAAACGACAACTGTCACCGACTAACCATCACTTCCCAAACTAGAGCGACCGGAAACTCCGCCCAGCCCCTTATCAACTGTCCCATTCCCGCGTGATCCAGATTTTGTCCGTCGCAACACACTGGTTGATCAAATTCATCACAAACGCACGGTCCCGGGGTCTAGAACAGCGCTGGTCGGCCTCGGCGGAGTCGGGTAAGTGTAGAGCGACCTATATACGACCCGTTGCTCACAACTCGAAGGAAATCACAACTTGCTATCGAATACTCCTATATAGTGCGATCCGAATCGCCAGCGACATGGGTTTTCTGGCTCCACGGGAGCAACGAGGCCCGCTTCGAGCAAAGTTTTCGGGATATCGCTGACGAACTTAAACTTGCCGGGCGTCGGGACCCCGGGGTCAACATATTTCAACAAGTGGAGAATTTTCTCCGAGATGAGAAGAAAGGGAGGTGGATCTGTGTCATTGATAACGTCGAAGACGAATTCCTTTGCTCAATTCCGCCAGCTAGAAAAGACGACCCGACGAAAGGGCCGACAAATACCCCTACTAAACCACTACTAGAATACGTTCCTCGGAGACCAAATGGATTCACTATTTTAACAAGTCGAAGTCGAGAAATCGCGTTGAAAATGGTCAATGTCAAGGACCTCATTGATGTCAAGCCGATGGAAAGATCTGAGGCGCTGGACCTCTTCCAAAAGAAAACGGATCGGCCAGAAGATAGCCTCGAGAGCCAGCAATTGGTAGAGATGTTGGAATTCATGCCGCTAGCGATCGTACAGGCTGCTAGCTATATTCGAAATAGGGCGCCTCGCTGTTCGGTAGCACAATACCTGAGAAAATTCCAAGAGAATGACCGTGAAGCAATTAAGCTTCTGAAAAAGGAGGCAAGTCACCTCTCCCGAGACTGGGAGGCAAGTAATTCGATTCTGGTGACGTGGCAACTATCATTCGATTATATACACCAAACCAAACCATCTGCAGCGGGATTGCTTTCTCTCATGAGCTTTTATGATCGGCAAGGGATACCGGAATACCTCATCCGGCATCAACCTGATCCTAATGACATATCACTTTCAGAGCTTCAGAACGACTCTAGCGATTGGGAGACATCTGAATCTGATATCGGCCCCGACTTTGAAGATGATATCGCGACACTAAGGGATTTTTCATTTATATCTATTAGTGAGAGCAGCACTTTCTTTATGATGCATCGGCTGGTGCAACTGGCTATGCGCGCATGGTTGAAATCTCATGGACAAATAAACCAGTTGCGAGAGATATTTATTAAAACCCTGTTCGACGAGTTTCCCACCGGTGAATACGAAAATTGGAAGAAGTGCAGGTCAATCTTCCCCCATGTCAAATCCGCAATGTCACAACGACCAGCATCACCCACGTGTCTGCAACAGTGGGCTACGTTGCTCTATAGAGGAGCATGGTATGCGTCTGAAAGCGGTATCATCGCGGATGTAAAAGAAATGGCAGAGAAATCAAGACGTCAAAGGATGATACTATTTGGTGATGACCATGAAGATGTTGTCGATAGCACAGCCATGTTGGCAACAGCATACTGGCGTGAGGGCCGATGGGAGGAGGCCGAGAAGCTTCAGGTACAGGTTATAGAAATTCGCAAGACTAAGCTCGGCGAGGATCATCCTGATACACTGACGAGTATCGCCAACCTCGCATCGACGTACCGAGACCAGGGCCGGTGGGAGGAGGCCGAGCAGCTCGAAGTACAGGTGATGGAGATGAGCAAGATGAAGCTCGGCGAGGATCATCCAGACACGCTTTCGAGTATAGGCGATCTAGCATTGACGTACAGCGACAAAGGCCGTTGGGAAGAGGCCGAACAACTCCAGCTGCAGGTGATGGAGAAGAGCAGGATGAAGCTTGGGGAGCATCATCCCGCTACGCTGACGAGTATGGCCAACCTCGCGTTGACATTGTGGAATCAGGGCCGATGGGAGGAGGCCGAGAAGCTCGAAGTGCAGGTCATGGAGACTCGTAAGAAGCAGCTTGGCGAGGACCATCCCGATACACTGATTAGTATGGCCAACCTAGCATCGACATTTTCGGACCAAGGCCGGTGGGAAGAGGCCGAGGAGCTCGAGGTGCAGGTGATGAAACTGAGCAAGATGAAGCTTGGTGAGGATCATCCCGACACGCTTTTGAGTATGGCCAATCTAGCATCAACATACCGGGACCAGGGTCGGTGGAAAGAGGCCGAGCAGCTCGAAGTACAGGTGATGGAGACTCGTAAGGCAAAGCTTGGCGAGGATCATCCCGTTACACTGACAAGTATGGCCAACCTCGCGTTGACATTGTGCAATGAGGGCCGATGGGAGGAGGCCGAGAAGCTCGAAGTGCAGGTCATGGAGAAGAGCAGGATGAAGCTTGGTGAGGACCATCCCGATACGCTTATGAGGATAGGCAACCTAGCAGCCACGTACGCGGATCAGGGCCGGTGGAAAGAGGCCGAACAACTTCAGCTACAGGTGATGGAGACTTGTAAGAAGAAGCTTGGCGAGGATCATCCCGATACGCTTTTGAGTATGGCCAACCTAGCATCGACGTACGGGGATCAGGGCCGGTGGAAAGAGGCCGAACAACTTCAGCTACAGGTGATGGAGACTTGTAAGAAGAAGCTTGGCGAGGATCATCCCGATACGCTTTTGAGTATGGCCAACCTAGCATCGACGTACGGGGATCAGGGCCGATGGAAAGAGGCCGGGCAGCTTGAAGTACAGGTGATGGAGAAGAGCAAGATGAAGCTCGGCGAGGATCATCCCGACACGCTGGCGAGTATGGCAAATCTCGCTTTCACCTGGAAATCCTCAGGTCACGATTCCGAAGCTATCAATTTGCTGCGGAATTGCTTAGCAAAGCGGAAACAGATACTAGGGCCTAATCATCCCAAGACGGTATCTAATTCTGAGTCCTTGCTGGAATGGGAAACGGAGGCGCTGAATGTCAATGCCTATGTGAGGTAGATGCTTGAATACAATAGATGTTTACTTAGTAATGTACATTCAATTTGCCAATTTCTCGAATTAATTCGCCAGCATATCTTATTATACTAGGACTGAGGGAAAGGGCTTCACCTCAGAGCTATGGCGGATATTGTTACTGAAGGTGACGATAGTGAGGTAGCACGAGCGAGCTAACGGACAACGTCATGGTCGTATTAATGGTAACAGTATTTCGAAATATTTATGCGATTCAGTCTTCCATGATACTATCTTTCGATACGATTCAGCCCCCCGAAACTAGACTAAGCCAGATATAGATTAGCGGGTTTCAGAGTAGGGCTTAAGAAAGAATCTCTGTTTTTAAGTGGTGAAATTGATTTCGATCCATCCTGTAATGCAAAAGCAGGCTTAATTCTTATCATTCCGGGGGGATACACAGAAGCCATATATACAGCATGAAGTCTAAGTTGATTGTAAATCAACTTGGAACTTCTTATAGATAGTGCAGGAATCATTTCCGATGTTATGGCTTTATTTCTGAGCAGCAACAGTCTCAAATCACAGCACTGGGAAATTCACATATAGCTACGATTTTCTCTAGGTTTCAGCTTTAGTGCGCAGTCTCTGATGGTTCACCTGACAGTGATACATCATCATAGTATATTTTCTAATCCGTCGACAATAGTGAGAATAGTATCCCGAGTCTCCCACGAAGACCAGAGTACCAAGTAGTGAGTTTCTCGGCAGCCACTTCGAAGAAAGGTCCGTCGTGAAATCGTCTTTACGAGACATTTTTGTCCTAGGCGTGCTGACTTAACAGGATGATGTAAGCAATTAGTCTGTTGATACCGTATATGAAGGCTGAAGCTTACTTCTGCAATGTCTTCGCTTATATCTCCAATAGTAAAGTGATCCGTTACGCCACTGTCGGAGGATCTCTCCGAACGATAGGATATATCGTCTGTATCAGAGACTACAAATTCCCTATCCTCGCTTGTTTCCGATGGCACATATGCTGATTCATGATCAGAATAGGTTCCGTCTAGGGTGTCAGACGTGTCTGAATCCAGTTCATAATCACTAGATGAGGAGCTTGCGTCCCCCTTGTCATCACTAGCCGAGTTTGACATTTTAAAAGAATTAGATCATGAGATACATCCTGAAGGGTAGAATCTGGCCCGGGATGATTAAATAGGGTATTTGACTAGGTTTACAGACCTCAGCAATATGTCGTTGTGTTAGAGATCGTCTGCAAAAGTTCATATTATGATAATATAATTGATGGTTCGATTTTGATGTGCGATTGTGTTAATAATTCAAAACTTGAGTGTTCAGAGTCCAAGAAAATTACCATTCATATTCAAGGGACCCTTTGCCAGTAAATATCTGAAGCAATTCATCCCTGGCTCCGCAAATTGAGACCTAAAATATAATTGAATTGAGGAGGAAAAATAGAAAGGAGGGGTAAAATAGACCCTTCCATGACAATTGCAATTGCCTTGCGTCTCAGATTCAATCAAGGACTAGCAAGAGGTATTATCAAACTATAACATGACGTTCGTTTTTTGACCCGGGAAAAACTCTGCGTAATCCCCTTCCTTGAGGATTGACTTCCCCTAATGGTCATATCTAGTCAAAAGTGTTACCTAACTGACGACGCGCTTCAACAATATCAAAGAATGATTCAAGATGCTAGGTCTAAACAAACAAATCAAATGCCCCGTGGGTACATATTATCTACATTGGGAGACGCCTTACATGCTAAAGGTGCTTCCATGGGAGCAAATATCTATCAAGAAATATTCTGTCCCCATTCGGCAAGAGTACTGTACTTCTTTCAAAACATCCTTCCATGTACAATTTCCAAAAAAACCCGCTATTAATTACTCGCAGACCGAACTATTTTAGGAGCGCACGAAAGTATCCCCGGAAGCATGCCAATGTCAATAACAACTTGACGATTCCAGAACTTAACCAGAACTTACTCTTAGTTCAGGAACTCGATCAAAGTGGATCACACGGGGCAGGGTCATGCGCGCACAGCAGTGTCAACGAATCACAGGATGAGGAGAGTATGCTACTATGTATGCTACTATATAGAATGTCCCGGGTTCACCTTCCCTCCTACCCTCACCATTATTTTACCTTCCATTGATTTTCATCGTTTCAGGGCCGATGCGCGCGTCTTCCAGTTAAATACGGAAGGACCTATATAAAGTTTGGCGTGCCATGTGATTAGGGCTTGAAAACATGCAATTCCGGTTGCTACTGTATGATTCTAGTCTCCAAGAGACTTTAGAAATACCGATAGATATTTATAGCTCAATTTGATAAATGCTAACGTTACAAAGTTACTAGGGCACATTGCCAAATGTTAAAAAGAACTCATCCTCTTGGGCGGATGTACTCGGAGTTGGAAGGACTTCAAAATTGCCTGTCTCATGTGAAAAAGAATTTGCAAGCCCCAAGTTGCCGGATGCCACCAAACTATCAGTCCCTTGAATAATACTGCCGTTCTGGTCTTCGATTAGCTCTACCAAGTCTTGAATTGGGCTGCTTGTAGCCGTAGTGTTAAGGTATGAGAAAAATGCTCGGAAGACACATCGCCGAACGAAGCCTGCGCTAACCCGCTCATCCATCCAGGCACTTCTCAGTGATTCTCTTGACAATGCAAATAAATCGGCGTTTATAGAGTCCGTAAATGGTTTGCCACATCTTCGTTCAATATCTACGTCATCGTCACCGGGAGGGAAGTCGCACGGCAAGGGTTGGGGAAGATCAGGTGGAGTGAAGTGATTACCTTCACCTGTAGGGACTTCAAACCCGTAGGATTGGGCTAGAGATAGAAAATGTTGTAGCAGAAGCAACGGATCGCGAGTTGGTATTTCAATGAGACCAAGTTGATATGCCCGTGATTTATCTTTTTGTTTTCGTGGGACGCGGCGATAGTGGTGCCGTTTGCTAGTTAGCTCAAACCCATTTTGGAGACTAAATCTCCACAGATCACAAAGCTTTTCAGGTAGGGTTGTTCGTTCCTGGTAAGCTGCTGATACCGGAGCAATCGAATACTCGGTATATTGGCTTCTCAGAACTTTGTCGATAGTGGTATCTCCTTTGGGTGGGGAGAGACATAAATGTTTCATGACTGTTTGACCAACCTCCAGGTACAAAATGTCCTGGAAGAAGGTTTCGAGTGTAGGAATAGGCAAGTCTATGTTTTTTAACCTTTCCCAGATTATACCACGTTGATGATCTTCAATGGAAGAAAATAAAGTTCCTTTATTCCATTCGTCTTCAAGTTCGCTCAAATCTTGCGCAGAAACCTTTGGCGCCCGGGATCTAATGAGCCTCACGGTAGACGCATCAATATGCGACAGAAGGTCTAAATCTCCGTCTACAAGGTTTGAAAATGTTTGTCGTATGTGCTCTAAATAGCAAATAATTGGCTTTGGGAAATTAGAGTCAGTCCCTATTCGAACCTTTATCTTCTTCGACGGGCTTGGGGCATACATACTTCATCACATTTCATAGCTTTAATTTTGTGCAGCACCCCAATATTCAAGCCAGTCCAAATACCAGTTATCGGCAGCAGAGAGTCGAAAGAATCTCTGAGGTCTCTATGAAGTGCCCGCAGATAGTCTCCCTTTCGACTTCCGGGCTCAGAATCCAAAACGGCCCACCAATAATCCTCTGCCACTTGATTGCAGACGCCAGTGAAAACCCCTTGATAAAAACGAATATTTCTGTAGATAGTACCATCTGGAGGCCTATATTCGTTTGAAAAGCTTTCTTGAAGAGTACGTACAAGTTCATCTTTTAGAGCGATGTCGGCGTCTAGACAACGAATTGATTATTCCTGTCTGGTAATTGACGCAGGCCGAGACGGTGCACTTACTGGTGTCGGCGACATATATGTCGATCACCCACCAAGGTTCATCAACGCCCATTCTCTTGAACTTCTCTCGAGCCGCAGTGATGAGGCTTTTGTGGTCCAATGCAAAGAATGAGTAGTCTCGACTAGTTCTTAATTGAGGGAGGCCTAGGCCAGACACCAACGTAGGCTCTTCGAAGTAAACCTGTGAATACCAGTCCTGGTAATCTACTACAACCGGAACGTGGTATTCTCGGCTCAAACGTAAACAGCCTTGTATATTTAGGATTTTTGTCATCCGAGCGACATTTTGCCCGTCGTTGGTCAAATTCCACCAGCCCTGCCCTGTCGATAAATCAGAAAGCCGAACAACCGCGGAGCCTTGAAAGCAGCTGTTCTGATAATCGGCGATCTCGCGCTCTTTAAACTCAATATCCGCCTGTTTTGACGTTTCAGAGAGACGCCGCCTACGTTCCCGGGTTCTTCGCGGTCTCCGTGGCATCCTTCAAATGTTTCAAGCCACTTGTATAACAAAAAAGAACTATGGAATTTTTGGTACCTTTATAGAGTCACTGTCTTATTTCGCTGAGGATCCGTTTTTTATCAGGACAAAATTCTGGTGGTTTTTTCAAAGATTTGTTAACATGAATGTATTCCAGTTTTATTATGAAAGTGAGGATTGTTGGTTTAAGGGGCCTATCAAAGGTTTTGTCGCAATCCTTGTCTCATTTTCCTGAGTTTTGCAATGAATAGAAGCCCAAGGACCAAATACGATTGGAAACTAACCAGCGGCACCTTTTTGGACCGTGATACAGTAGTTTTCAAAATCGGTTAAACCTCCACACTCTTACGACTTCATTCCCGGAGAATAAATCCGAAATACGCTAACCTTCTTTAGCTTACCGCTCTATAAGTTCGGCAAAACAGTAGTTGTAATGAACTTACATGATAGATGAGTCATCGTAATAATACTGTAATGTTTCATAAAACACCTACAGGAGACTTTGTGAGAGTCGGGAAGCACGCTGCTATCCTATTGGGCGACTTACTCCTAATTCACAGCTGACTACATCAAGGCGCTAACCCGAATGGGAAGGGAGAATCTTCACAGAATTCTTGGAGAGTTTTGCGATCTGGCATGATCGCCGGGACGATCCACTTCCCTTCCTGCCTTTCCCAGTTCGTCCTTACCCCTCTTCTTTCACGTATCAGATACAGCCATTTGCACTGCACCCGCCAGTCATCACACAACAGGCTGTGCTTATGCTGTAGAGTGCTAACCCTGGTAGGCAAAGATAATTTAGAGGGGTGCAGCTCGATCATCACAGGAAGTATCCGAAAAATGGCCAGAAAATTTGCAACATTCTATTGTCTATCTTTGCATCCTGAATGCCGTTATAGCATCTCCTAATGAAGCTGGCCATCGAGATGCTCTATACTTACGGCGTGCTTGTCCTCCCGGGGAGATACCCTGTCCTACCCCGGGACAACAAGGGCCTCCTCCTTGTTGCCCAAATATCAATGGGCTTTGCCCTACGACTATCCTATCTACCTTCACGGGTTGTCCAATATTTACTCTTTCCCCTTGCGTCTTGGTGGTACCTGTGGCGGTCCTGGTGCTGTTAGCACAATTAGTCTTCACACAGGCTGTGATAATGGCTGGCCCTGTTGTGGTCAGGCTACAATTACTGGGGTAATTGTTGCTACTACTTCTTCTGACATCCCCGGATTTACTTGTGAGTCTACGTTACCGTGCACGGTACCAGGCTACGGGGTCTTCGAAACTACAACCTCTGTAAGTCCTCATCTTTATTTCAATATCCTTGTTACAATGCAGAGCTAAGTAAACATTGGCAGACAATAACACTATATGTAAGTGGCCGCCGTTTCCATTGAAAACGCTCACTAGATTATAGACCTAAGAAAATATGTGATAATAGACTCCTGTAAGTGTTGGCCGAATCCATCTAAATGGACATCGAACGGAAATAACTAGATCTCGACAGCATCCATGCGTTTGACTGCTGAAAGTGGCCAAAGTATCTCAATGATACTTAAGGAGAACGCGGCCAAGGTTAGGCCAGCAGCCTTTTGTGCACAGGAACTCCAGACAACACAGAAGGGTTGGGGCAGAAGACATCTCTCGCATTCTCTGGGGAGCTAAAGGCGATATAGCATGATCGTCTAGCCTATTCACTGCCTTCAAGCCTGTCCGAAGCTACTCGCTCTTGCCCGTCACTCTTCCCGTGTTGGACAGTTTGTCCCGAAACTGGCGCGACCCTCTCTCTACTCGGTAGCGCCACCGCTAAGAGACCCTAGTACAGTGGTGCCGCAAAAGTCTTTGGCCCCTAGCTGACCGCTCTTTTCTGCCAAATAATCTGCCGCAGATAATCCTTCAAAAACAAAATTCGATAGATAATTACACACTCTTTTTTTGCTTTCACTCACCCTGCGTGTGTATAAATTAACCAATCCCTCGCCCGCTTTTCTAAATCAAAAGGACCCAGTACAGTACACCTATGGTCTACCTGCTTCCGTTGCAGTCAATCCCTCACTGGTTTGAAACGTGACCTCACCGAAACAATGACGAGAGAATAGAGGCACCCAATGCCAAGGGCCACCATTGAAGTGACTTTAGGGGTATTAAACACTGCACATCCATCAGGGAGGGTGAAGCCGCCAAAGACAATGGTAATCACACCGATAACTAGTTGTACGATGAAAAACAGCATTGAGTATATGCTCACTAGAAGATTGTCAATTGGTTTTCTGGGCCTCAACAGACGGATCACAACTTACAGACGCGCTGTTGGTCGTCCCTTGATATACCATCTTGTGTGATTTTCAGTTCTTGAAAAAAGCCAAGCACAGCACCCGCAGCAGTTAGAACATAGGCGAGGATCATCTCGGTTCGAGGGTCATGTTTTTCCATAAATGTATTTCCAGTGGCATCTTGGTATTTTTTGCGTGCGTCCCCAAGAGCATATGCTGCCACAATAACAGCAAGCACATCTGGCACCTTCTCCACTAGATCTTTGCAGATAGAGTCGGGATCATGATCTTGCCATCCCAAAACGCTTGCCTGTGCTAGTAAAACGACTAGGAGAGATGCTCCTTCCAGTGGCTGTGGCCAGGTCGCAAATATGAGGACGATACCAAGAACAGCTGCAATCAATCCAGAAAGAGGGTTGATCGCTATCTCGTGTCTCTCACGTTTGTGAGGTCTCGGAGAGTTATGTGTTTGAGGAGTACTGGAAATGAGACACCCTATGTTCCAGATGTAGAACAAGAGTGTGAGGAGACTAAAAGCTGTTGCAAGGGCGGCAGCCACCTCATTGAAGTGAAATTGAGACGGGTTAGGACTTTGGCAGTCGTCAGCCTTAGACATTTTAGCTGGGCCTATTGAAATGAATTGATGTGCTGAGAAATAAGAAAATAACAAAACCCTGACTGACTCGGCGACTAGGCTGATGGCTACTACATGGTGCATTAAATAAACTCGCATAGTGTTTGTTGATGGCGAAGTTTTCCGGCTTCAGAAACCATAACACCAAAAGTACGAACTCACACCAGAGTCTCGTCCTGTCCAAAAGGTCTGGCCCATTCAAAGATGAAGGTATGTCATGCGATCTTTAAATGGGTTCTCCCCGCGTGGATTATCTTATCCAATGGCTCCGCCAACCATCGTAGAGCGGAAGAGCTTTTATATGGTCATCTGCTTTACGTTTCAGAGAAGGCTTGATCACACGGTTCGCACGGAGGAGACACAGAATCCATGGTTTGATATCTTATCCTGTAGAGCAAAGAACCACGACCTCCTACCATGGTTAGCATTGTTCTAAACACGGGCGCGGCCTTATGGTGGGTAAAAACAAGCGCGGATGAAGGGCGCGAGTGTGAGGAAGAAAACCAGCTAGAGGCGATCTTGCCAGATCGCTAGGCCATCAAATCTGTTTAAACCTTTGTTAGGGAATGTTCTACGAGGTCTCTGAAGGGTTACTGGATTAACAAGTCGAGCTGAGGGGTGGCGTTTTTCCAACAAAAACTGGCTGATTTAGCGACCGCACTCCCCTAACGTAATTCCGGCCACCCCAAAGCCACTCGACAGGGGTTTAAGTAACTCAAAGTGGGTTTAGGCAACCAATCAAGGTTTAAATCTTACTATATTATGGTATCCAAGGCTCATTTTTTCTAGCCAACAAATCTAGACAAATTAAACGTTCTCAGCCAAATATCACTTACACAGTTAATGCAATTCCTGGATGGCCCCGTTGTTCCGAGAACTAAGCTTCTGTTCAAGTACGCTAGCAAGCCTCTAAGTTCCCAGGGAGACAATTCGCCTGAAGTGGTTAAAGTCTATTTCATATCTAGGTCGGGCCATGTAAGTTACTGTCAGAGAAGACAGGTCAACATCTAGGACGTATTACGGTTGTACAACTTGACGGGTTGTCAACTACCATATCTGTGTGCTAATGTCTTACCTCTGCATTAGTCTCGTTAGTCGATGATATTAATATACCCCAGCATTTTATGTGTTAACTCCTATCGATACCCTCAAAAATCCGAAACATAGCGCGATTTACAGAGAGTCCCACAAAATAATCTGATTGGGTCTACTAGTGAGAGTGATTTCGAGCTTCGCCGTAGTAGTTGCGCTCGTCTCTTCAACGGTCAGACCTCCGTGCCGATAGTGTCTGCGCGCTCCTCCCTTTTGCGCCAACTACGTCAACACACCAGTCAAGGAAGTTATCGAATCCTTGATCAGGATCTCCCTCGATATGACTTCCAATTTCAGCGGATGAAGGCTTTAAAGCGCAGCAAAGGATTCTTCGATAGGATTTAAGCGTCTCACAGAAAAATCGCCGTCTCGTCAAAGAACAGATCGGGTTTTTCGAGCGGACAATCGCACAGAACTTTAACATAACTGGAGGTGGCCGACCGCCTTAATTGGGCAGCGCTTTGACATTGCCAAAAATTCGTATATTGGAAGAGATTATCAGGAAGGTGCTTTTGTGATAGCCAACCGCCCCTGCCATGTCCATATCGATAGTTCTCCACTATGGATCATATCATGGATAAATTAATGCTTGGAAGCAGCAAAGTTTGGCGCCATGTTCGTGATAGCCAACCATAGCTGTGATTGACTGTCAAGATTTCCTGTGAGGTGCTACGGCAAAATTCCCAATAGTTAACTTACGTATTAGTGCATATTAGTAATCAGATGTAGAAAAACATTTGACCTAGCCAGCAACTCTACTCTCCTTTCCTTCGTTTTGATCCTATACTTAGGCGGGTCACAAGGCTTAGTTCCGAGCATGACGTAATACGAAACTTTCGCGGAGCGATATGATATCAAATCGCTTTTATCTGCCAGTATCATTGAAAGCCATTACAAACATAGAGTAGAAGGTGAGGATTCTATCACTATTGGAAGAACCGGATAGAGGTCGAATCCAAGCTTGCTGGATCAGGTCTCGCCTTGGGTATTGTGTGCATGCTGGCGTATTCGGTTTACATGTATTTATTGGCCGAGTCAGTCAACAATCGTAGCAAAACGGCAGCAATGGAGCTTACCCATGACATAACGATACCGTATCAAACCCGCCCTTGACTCTCGTGAACGATGGTTGGGATCTTGACAGTGTACATTAAGGTCTAGCCAAGGCTATTACTGTAAATCGCGTCCAGCGATAGCCATTCCATCGGATCTCTCCACAATTCACGAAATATATGTATATAGCCTTGAAAGCTTATGGACGAACACTCACTCACCCTTCTTCGGCCTAACCTGCGTCTTGTATCCACTTATAAAATACAGCACTCAAGAAATCATTTCCCAATCCTTTGGTTATGGAGATGTTGAAGAGGGGAATGGTATCGGCATCTGATATTTCGAGTAGACCGGGTCGTTTCTGAACTACTCGGGTCTGTGGGCATAAATGCTTCCCAACTATTACAAATTTCTGTGGATATTGATGAGGGTCAGCTTGTTATAATCAGACCATTCGGCTATTCAAATGCTGGGAAGAAGTGGCTCTCTATCATATCACGTATAAGAGCCAGCTTTGTAGGAGAGAGTCTTTGAGCCATATCGCCTTGAAGTAAGGGTGCTAACGCGGGAAGTCTCGTAACTGCGACTTGTAGAAAAGTAGTTGGGTGACAAAGGGAGGAAGGAGGGGCTGTAGAGGTAGCGTGTGTATGGCGGTTTCGTGTAAATTACATCAACTTCGGTCTGAGGACTGTATTTTAAAATACAGAGACCATTATAGAAAGCGGTCTGAATTGAGAATTGAAATAGCTGGTCCAATCAGAGCCCATATACGGCGGATTTATTTTCCGGGAATGAAGTTGCAAGAGTATAGAGGTATAACTGATTTCGAAAACTACAGTATCGATAGAGCTGGTTCAATGAAGTGGAATTATAAACCACGGCCCTCTAGACTAGGTACGCATGTAACCTCGGACTTGCTTTTATTGCGAGGAGGGGGTGGGTGGGGGTGTACTTCATGCTATATCAACCAACCAAATAACGATTTTGCCAGTATGAAATGTGTGCCGTAAATATCCCAGTACAGCCGGGGATCCGTTGTCCTTGGAAACTCCTGATGTAGTCACAGTCCTCCCCTTCTATTTGAGTGAAATGTTGCTTGTCCGCAGCTGTAGCCTTGATTCTCTAGATCTATTTCTTGTGATATTGGGTGTCTTTCTGCCGCGACTTCCAGAAGATACTCAGTAATTATACGAAAAGGAAGTGCTGTAGGGAGCATGAATCTACTGTATCATTTATGGGACCATTCCGATCAAATCGGGTTATCCCTGGGCCCAGGCATTCTAAATTTCAATAAGGGAATTCACTCGTACAGTCCCCTATAGCTAGACACTTACGTTGCTCCGTTGCTGCGAAATATGCATGTTATTTAGGAATCTAGTCAACTTGAAGTTCTAGCACTAGCTACAAGGTTAGATTAAATACATGTCTTTGCTTATTCTGACGGTATGTCCCCATAATAAGATTTAAGGATAACAGGTCTACGGTGTTCTATGAGTAAATCTCGCATTTCTCAGATGAAAACGCGATAGATGATTTATCCAAGCATTCGCATCTTCCTTGTGGAATTGATGCCCAATCCGCATGCTTGATAATGCAAACAAGATCATTAGAGAGGGCGCTCGTAGGGCTAGCAGTTGGAGTGCTATTGGCATCCAATACTGTTCCTACAGTATTAGTTGGTTTGGAAGAGGTTCTACTGTGGGCATCTGTTATTTTTGAATGGTCCGTGGGAGATACAGAGAGAAGCGTAACCCGAGACGTCGCAGTGATTGTTGCGTCAGCTAGTTTGGATGACTCAGCTTTCTCACATGAACAGCCAGAATCTGCCCGCACATAGACTACTCTCTTCTCATGTTTCGCGTTACGGGGCCCAGAGTCGGGTGACGTTGAGTTTGATATCAAGATTAAAAGCTGGCTACAAACTAGCTGGGATCCAAGTAAACCTGTAAACTGTGAGTTGGATAATGCTTTCAAACCATTAAAGATGGGGTTTCTACAATCATCCAGAGAAGATTGGAGTTGGTTTTCGCAATTTGACGAGAGGGAATTTGTTGTCTCCCGCCCATTCAGTATGTACTGAACAGAGGCCTCAATCTGGCGCGTGTGATTCCAAGTATCTAATATACTACAGGTGCTCTGGGTGAATGGCTGGATTTGGAAGTTTGCCATCGCCATAGTGGCAAAGATAACCAGAAGGTGGATGGCCATTTGTTAAAGCAGGAGATTTTGAATCAAGGTGCAGCTGATTGTGAAGTAAGCCATCGCGGATAAGTGGTGGTTTTTATATTCTAGCGAGAGTATGAAAATCTCGTTTAGTATCAAAGAAAAAAAGAAGCCAACATGAAGACCCGCTTCTAAAGCCGTGCGGAAGATGAGGAACGCCACCCATGTCACCATTGTATTCGAATTGCGCCGCACCACCACCATTTTTAAACTCGATCATTTTTAAGTGGTGTATTCCCAATAACGAAGAAATACTATGGAATTATGTAAGTTTTCAAAATGCGGGCGACACCTTGTGATTCCGCGACTTGGCTTATTTGATAGCTAACACGGACGAATTATAAATCAGGCGTTTCCTACCCCGACCAGAACATTTTCACTGCCAGTACATCAGTGTGAAGTTTGCAAACTAAGAATCAAAATGGCCCTCCTACCAGGCACTTTGATTGTTTTTGTCATGTTCCTTCAGGCTGTGAGTCAACCAAACCCAAGAAATTTATCCCTGCTGATGTTTAACAGCTTGGCGGACCGACTTCAAACGTGCGCAACTTCTATGGCACTCTTAACGCAAGATCTGTGAGCTTGGATCATCGATATTTCTAAAGTACCTCATTAATAATTTAAAGATCATAGACTCCCCAAGCTTTCCAGCTCCCAATCACTCAAATATTGCATCCAAGGCAAAGCGCGATGTATTTCCCTTGTTTCCCATCTTCCATCAACAAAACTAAATATTAATACTATTACATAGACACAATCGGTTATAAGCTGCGATTGGACTCTTGGAATTGCTTACAGAAATTCCACAATGGCTAACATTCAGCACCTAAAAATTGTTAAAGACATACCATGTATTGCAACTCCTAACAGCTGCACACGGGTTGCCTACCAGGATCAATCCGGTATTTTCTTTTGCAATGATGTATGCCAAGTACTCTCTTTAAATCCCCGGAATTTACCAGACCTTTGTTAATTATGAAAAGAATGGCGAAGAGATTGTTACGGACTGTGGAAATCTGGTTGAACCAGCCACCACACTCTCGCAAACCTGTCGCTTGACCGATTATACCTATGGTGTGATTGATGGAACTATTCAAAACGGCACGGACACCGCAAGCTACCACCTACGGATTGCTGCAGAAGGATGGTAGGCCTATGGATATGGAATCTTGAAGGTAGTCTCTTTCCCCCGTATTCCCTTAAAGTCACATTCAGTACGCTATAGGAGTCAGTAATACTGTACTAAGCAATAGTAAGTTTTCAGACGCTTCGAAATATCCGTGATTCTAGCTATGGTACGGTAAAGCAGTTAAAGTAATCCATGATACATTGAAAAACAAGCAATGAAGAGTTAAAGCATGTAAATGGAGGCCGTACAATACCTAAAAGTAATCTATATTCTCATCATAATATGGGAAATGTGTTAATCAACGCAATGGGAGAGTAACTGACCCTTCCGTGGCTTGAATTGCCTTAAAAGGAAATAGTGTTCTTAACAACTGCAGCGCCAATGGTAAGACTCTGTCTGGATATAGCTAACAAATATTTTCTTTCTTCGTTGGATAATCAACATCGTCCGCTTTGATGACATATAATTCTTTCAAAGCCAACTCAGCATTCTTTTCCTGCTCTTCAAATTTGTCGAGCGATATTCTCAACTGTGCACCAATCTGGTTCACCGACCAGAAATCACTGGAGGAACTTTGCACCTCGTGTCGGTAGAGATAAAGTAGGTCGTCAGATGTTTGAGCCACCAGATCTTGCAGCTGCTTTAAAAGGCCATAACAAACGCGATAAAAGGAATTTTCCCCCTGCTGCTGCCCAAGTACTCGAACAATTTTAGCTATGTCTTCCATTATGCAGGGAATAGTTATTCTAAGTCAAGGGGATGAGAGCGAACGGCGGTGTAATAATCTATGAATATATAGTCTCTCGGCTAATTCGACACAGGCCGGGTATTGTGGTTGCTTCCGATGGAAAATATAGGAGATATGTTTAGCCCGCCGAAACGAAGGCTCCGGATTTCCACTAGAGGCTTTCAGCAAATGGAATGTGACGCGTCTGACCGGGCAATAGTCTAAAGTTCTTGCAAGCGTGCCTGTCCCAGCCGTCAAGAAGGCCGTCGGGACCAATCTTGTTCTAGATGACGACAGTCCATTGACTAGAATTTGGGCCTTGAAACTTTGCTACGTATTGATAGTCATTGGAAGTTGCAGCTGAGAATTCAATAATATTAATTCCATAAGCGCTACTAGTATTACTGGTGGTGGAATATCGCTTTCAAAAGAGCTGGTAGTAATTTGCCGTTGTATCTAGTACAATAATTGATCGGATACTGCATCCGAATATAAAGCCACATCAAAATATGAAAATCATCAGGAGTTCCCTCATTGTTTTGACCTGTCGAGTCATCTACAGTCACGTAATCGATCCACATCGTGGAGACAACATCGGTTTGAGAGATATCACTTCTTGAGAGTGGGAGCTTTGTAGTACAGTAACTATTGCTCTTGGGTCGATAGTGCAAATTACAATTCCATCTAAGTAAACCAAAGCTCTTTGAAACAAAACCTACATTGCCAAGTGACCAAGAGTAAATTTTGTAATTATCCAGACTTAACTTTTGATGTAGCTCTCAATCTGTGCGTCATTTTCTAGCAACCTCGGGTTTAAGAGTACCAGCAGAATTACTCTCCTAGCTGCCAGCAATAAACGTGCTTCCTAGGCCTCCTCAACTTACACCCACTAGATGGCACCTTATCATAGTCAGGACTTTCCAGTATATAAGAAGCATGCCCGTACTTCATAGACTCACCAATCATAACCCCAACTCTTCGCAATGTCCAGCCTTCAAAAAGAACGACTTCGTGACTGTGCCTTAGTTGCTATCATTAATCTCTTTGGAGCCTCTTACTTCCTCCTATTCTTAGTTCACTTTCTAATTTTTCATTTTCCCTCCTCTCCAGAGGTTATATTGAAATCCTTGTCTGTGATTTTCTTGTGTGGCGGTGTCATCTTCTGGTGTCTCGCAAGCCTGATATATCGCACCATTGAAGCATTTGGACACGGCAATGCACCAAATTGGCAAAGACTTGAGTTTAGCGGAGCACTGATTCTCATCAGCGCCACAACTGTACCTTATGTGATCCTTCAATTTTCAAACCAGCCTTCAGTACAGATTGGATCGATGTGTGCATTGGCTTTGGCCGCTGTTGGATATCTGGTGGACTTCCTAGCGGTAGACTGCAGAGAATTAGTGGCACAGGAAAGGTTTCCGTACCATTGCGCTTCGCTGGGTTTATTGTCGCTGGTACCAGCGATCTACGCTCTAGCCGAACCCGCGTCACTTCCATCGCCTTTAGCATTTCAATTCTGCCGCATGGTTATTTGCAATTCTCTTGGCGCCGGGATTTATCTTTTGAGGCCGTTAGAGCGAATGGGCCTAGTTCGTGGATGGAGACCTAGTTTGTATACTATGCACCTGGCTCTAGTTCACAGCATGATTGTTTATTCCAAGGATATCCTGCACGGTGTTTTGGGCGGCTGATAGTCACTTCAATCACTTGTGGCTAAATCAGCTTGTGTCTTGAGCTTCACACCAACCGGGAACATCTGCTATCTTCTTTTCAATCTTATTGGCTCTAAATCGTACTTTCTTTTAGCCTCAATCGAGAGTTTATCCATTGCCTTCGATAGTAGGCTCTACCAACGATGGGTTGAAAATAGCCTCTAAAATGGAGTAGAGTGGGGATCATATCGAAGTTTGTCTATCTAATCGTTATCCTACACCATATCATTTATTTAAACTTAGATGTTGAGCTATGCTATCAAAAGTTTTCTAGTTCGTAAATTCATAGATTGACCTTAGTTCAAAATCACCCAATACCCATCCGGTACTGTAACAATAGGTAATATGCAACGATTGGGTACATTACATTGAAAACTACTTATTCTTTAACAAAATTTCCCACGGAGATTTGCCTGTCACTGCACAGATTAACTGTAAACATCATCTATATGCTCATCTAATCCCCCACTTCTTATTATTTCAATTATTTGCGAATTTGAACAACTAGAGCCTCTCAATATGATAGTTAAGCACATATCGGTCAATATTTTGAAAACCGGTAGAACTTTATTGGAGGTACGCCGTGTTCTAGTGGTGATTTTGTTGAGAACCCAAAAGTTTAGAACAGCCTTGCAATCTTTTATCTCTGTTCGGAGCACCTACGAAATGAATTTGGGGACCAAAAAACACCGCGAGATACAGGCAGCCTAAATTCTTTATTGTGTATTACCGCTCGTTGACTCATATTCTGGAGATGCTACCTTGCCGTAGTCTTTGCGCACCTAAACAGCGTAGTGTAACTTATATTTAATAAAATCAATTTCCATGACTTGGTACCAAAAAAGTTAGTTGCATTATCAGATAGAAAGACTTTGCTCAAAACTTGTCAACGTCACATACCGCACACTGGTGGTGAAGCCACCATTATCTAACATAAATTCGTCACTTTCACTCACTTTAGTGATATTTTGTAGGGCAAACGGCAAACGAGTCTTGGAAATATCCCCTTGAGGAAATTCTAGCGATATGCTCGAGGCACTTCCATATGAACTTCTGTTCAGCATTGCAGAGTGGGTACGTACTTCTAGGTTCGTTACGCCAGTATGGAACTGATCTTTCCAGCTTCCACCACAAGCGATTCGTTCCTTAAGTCGAGTTTCTTCTAAGCTCTACTCAACTCTGATTCCCCTGGCTTACCGTTCAGTCACGTTCCGTGCTGCTAGTGAGTGGGCGCTAAATGTACTCGACGTTGATTCATTCTTCAATTTGCATCAAGATTTACAAGAATGTTGCCATCTTCTCCATACAAAAAACTTGAGTTTTGTTGCTCCCATTCACGTGGCCAGATTCAACCGTTGTACTTATTTCAATGTTTTCCGCACAATGGGGCTGAGACAATCTCTCAGCACTCTTGGCACTTCCAATGAGACAAAAGCACATGAGCAATTTTTAGACGACATCTCACGCCAGATCAAAGTTGCCCTAGCACACCTAAAACCGCACAATCTCCGTTCCTTTCAGTTAGTATTGTCAAAGAGCTTAGATTTGGAAAGGCTTCGGACTTACTAACTATCCGCGATAGGTGGCGTCTAGGCACATGCATACCTGCTGGCTTCTTGGATACTGGAGGATTAATTAACCGGCAACAGAATTGTCTGACACATCTGGTATTGGTAACGGATGGATCTTGTCCTCATGCTGGTGGCTGTTTAGAGGGCCTCCATGAGTTGACATTCCTCGAATCGTTAGAATGGGAGGGTGTTCAACATCCAGCAGAGATCGATTCCCTACGAAGATGCGTTCGTCAGAACAGCCCACACTTGACCAACTTGTCCATCGGTTTCGCCGTACATGTGGCCAACATTGACTTTTATCGCGATATCCTTGGGTTGCCAGCACCTAATCTGGTGCCGCTTGGCGAGACATTATCTGATCCGTCGGCAAATTATCCATTCCTACAGTCACTGAGCCTGTCGAAAGCCCCTTTGCCCCTAAAGCTACGACAGAACTACGAATTGCTATTTTGCTCTCTGAAGTCACTTACACTTCATGGATGTGCAAACGAGCTGGAATTCTTAAAGTGTTTATCCCATTCACACAATCGGGTGCGCCTTGTTCGGTTTGAATTCTGTAGTGACAGTTTGCTTCATGAAGTCAATGAAAGCCGCGACGTGAATCTGAAACCGTTGACAGACTTCCTGCTTTCCTTTCAAGGTCTCAGATACTTGCATCTCAAGCTATCAAACTTTTCTAACGAGTCTCATATTCAAACCGCAATTGCCCATCATCACTCTACACTGGAAAGCCTCGCTTATCATCAACGCCAACTTGTGTCCGTCGGCGAAGAAGGCTTATTTGAAGAAACTCGAGATTACTCCGCAGGTTGGATTCTTCAGCTTCCAAAGACCGTTGACACAAAACAAATAATTGCATTAGCGCTGAATGCTCCCATTTCGTTTGTGGTAAGTACTCATGCTTATCGGTAGTAACCCGCTAACAGGAACAGCAATCAAAACTTGAGCCCGTAGCCAGTGTTTCAACGCTGCGTATTCTGCATTTCCGTTTCAGTGGTTCCGAGCTATACCACAGGAATATCCAAAACGAAGTTATTGTTCGACTGAGTCAAAAACAACCCCGGTGCCCGGATTGCCGTTTCCAAACCGATATTCGCGAAGCCCACTCCTGCTCTATAATAGAGAGTAATTATGCCACCCGCATAATGTGCGAGTCCCATGAGCCGGATGTAACATCTACATCATCTCCTCTGTGTACGGTGGCAGATGAGTTCATCCACTTCGCCGAATGGGCATTTGGCCCGACAGGTTTGCCCAACTTGCGCGTCTTGGCCTTCGGAGACTTTTCATTTGGAAGCCGGTACGAAAACCAGCAATGCTTATTTCGTCGAAGACCTGTCAGCAAAGGTGAAGGACCCCGAGCCGATGGGGATGGAGGATGCCGTTGCTGGGCGGGCAGGTATTTCTGCATTGCGAGCGGCACAGACCCCCTCCTTTGGAATGACATTAAGATGGATGAAATTAATTTTCTATCCGTTTGCCCGGAGAATAGTCTAATGGAATCACCCTATGAATGATTGACTATACTGTTTCACTCCTTGACGCGTGCATCTGCACCTACTACAGCATACGGCTCTTCTAGAGATCAACTTATTTCTTTTGCGCAAGGGTGAAGAAAGATTTTCTTGCCCAAATGGTATTAACCAGTCACTCTGCCTCGTCTTGGAGAATAATTGAAAGCATCTAGATATATCAAATACGAGATTGAAACAGTAGTCATGCTCCCATCTACTCACCATGGTAGTGAGGCCACTCAGCACAGCAAAATGGGATAGGGGCAAGGGGTGGTGGCCCAACGGTGTCGCTAAGTATGCTCGATGCTCAGCCCACCTTAGCCCGCCACGGGAACGCATTGGATAGGGTGGATCCCCAGAGGTCCGAGAGATCACCTCCCGCCAACATTAGTCACGGATTAAATCCTATCCTTAGGCCGGCAGCCGTTAAGCCGCCTTATACGAATCCCCCTCATCATCTTATTGACCTCGCTGTACTGCAATAAGGTTTAGTAGTGGCATAGGGCCAGAGCCACTCTCGTGGTTGCTAGCGACCGGAGAATTGGCTCCCGTCACCCTTTGTTTCCGGAAATGCCTCCTCTCTAAGCATTCCTCTGCTGCGGTGAGTCTAAGTATTCAGGCTTCCAGCTCGTTCTAGCTCTTCATACCAGTACTGCGTACCGTTACCTCCGATACTCGAAGGGGTGATGGACTATTAGCCCCTCTATATTACATTTGAAAATTCCACAACGTAGGACTTTTTCTAGTCAGAAGACAGCCCGCAGCGAACTCCAGAAACCACTCCGAAGGTTACACAGTTCAGTGGCGACACTCAAGGCAGCTTGGTACGTACAGGCAGGTCAAGGCACGAGAAGAAGAACCAGAAAGAGGGATGGACATTGTGAAACCAACTACCAACAGGAAAGCTGCCGAGATGGTGTGCAGTTTGACTCGTTAGGCTGGCCTTCTCTTGGCGGTAGCAAGTAAAGTGACAAACCAATCGAAGCAATCAGAGAGAACAACAAAGTTGATAGCAGGAATTGAAAGGCGGCAGATGAAATTAAAAGATATTGTAGAAAATGTTGATGGCTTTTACTGTGACTTGGAGTATTTCTCCATTTCTGTTGTTGTATATCTTTATGTGATATCCACTCTCACCTGATTCTGCAAAAATATCTCAAGATAGCCAAGCAGACAAAATTGCCGAAATGAGAATGCCCAAGCCCGATACATATCATCAGATCCCTCAATGCAGTGGTTGCAAACGGAGCCCGATGCTCCCCTGTCGGGCTCCCAAAGACTCCTCGAGTCCAGCCGAAGAATGTGAAATTTTCCATAGACAACACCTCTCCTCAGGTATTCTCTTGTCACATAAGACACACGAACTCATTGTCGAAAATTTTCCTCAATGTTATACACAAAGGCCGTAGGGTCAAGTATGGATCCGCCGACAACATGATTGATGTTTGACATGCTGTCGCTGGTCACTCCCGATGGGACCTCACGTCTCGGATATATCGCTAACCGAAAACGATCAACCGTGCCGGCAAGAGCATAACTGCATCGCGAAATAATAGCCCGAATTTGTCGGCGTATGTGCCGCAGATTGTCTAGCAATGATTCCTTTCCTTGTAGAATGAAAAGCCATTCATCTTCCTCGCTCTCAGTTGTACGACTACTTTGGCGCAGTCGAAATTCCACCCAATGCACCGGATATGACACAAGAAAGGCAGATATGTAGAAAATTATGTCATCGGCAGATGTTTGGGGAGATAGTGGGTCTGGGCCCGGCCAGGTAAAACAGTGGTCGCTCTCATGGGCGGGGTAAAAAATGTAGTCGATCAGATTGTAGACATCTGCGGATGTGGTATATCCTGGTGAGGAATGACCAGATGCGAGGCTAGGAGGTGGCGTTGGAGTATCAGAGAATTCTTTCCACAGCTGCTCAAGGTCAAGGTCTAGATGATAATCTCAAGCCAGTTAGTAGTGAGTTTGTCATATATTTCTCCAGAAAGCCGGACCTACCTAATCCCACTGAATCTTTCATCTTCCATTAACGCCTATCGATAATACAATGGAACCTTGCGATCAGACACATCTAATTTGCAAGGTTAAGGGCACTGTCATGAATCGAATAGGGACTAGTGTGCATTTTATAGGTGGTAGACCTGATGTGCTCAGTCTTTAAGTCTATTGAATAAAGAATTGTACACAACTATTTGGAAATCGTACTCCATGAGAATTTAGTGAGCAGAAGTGGTCGCGGAGTAGATTGGACAGTTCGTCATACCAATAATTGCATCGTGCTATCTAATACCCACACTCAATCTCATCCAATATGACGTATTTTAAGCTGGCGTGAAGGTATCAATTTTATCCAATTAATATTCCGAGGTTACACGTTTTCGAAATATCTGGAATCTATCGCACCACTCTTTTCAGCCAGTTATTTCCACTGTCACGCAATATGTAGTGTTCGCAGCTTATTCCCACTGTGGAACGAAAGTGTTCGTCAGTCAAACAATCTCCAACGAAACGCGGTTTATTGAAGCGTTGTACGAGTAGCTAACACAATTCCCACGCAGCCGGTTTGCCCAAAATATACCAATTATCGTGTCAAATATGTATCACCTCGTAAGTCGACTCTGATTATATGTAATCCGATTAATTCTCAAGTATTCTCATCAATCCACTAAGGGAATCACCTTGCAATGAAACTGGGATCTATAACTCCATTATATCATCCAGGTTCCATTCTCACAGACTTCCAAGACTGGAGTGAAAACATTTCAAAATTCAGTCACCATGCGGTTAGAAATGAGTTACCGGAGTTTGCAATTGAGTTCCAGCCAAACCATGTGGTAATTTTAGGTCTCCCAGCTACCACTCTCAATCCAAGCCGTTCATTCGAATGAGCTCTGTCGAGTACGGCTCGAATTGAAATATTGGAATTCATATTCCCTCTCGTCCATTGACAAGACAGCCCTCTATCGCTGTCCTATAATATACTGGTGTACATGTGGATTGTCTGCAGATCTAGGTTTCAAACAGTATAGTTAGTAAATATTCAGTAGTATTTAAAACATCGCAACCTACTTTAGTCCACGGATCTGAAGAAATGTAAGGTAGGTGCTATATTCTAAAGATTACGATGGCTGCACGATTCAATAGCTTCAATGAGAGTATAGGCTCCTGGGAGCCAAAGGAGTAGGATAACCCGGGCTAAAATTACCTTGCCAGTTTAATCTCGACTTGCCAAACTGGAAACATCTAATGCTCCTAGGAACCCGTGGCAGCATCTTTGGAATTATGAAGGCCTCATCGCGAGCGTAGTAATTTCGCCTATTATAATAAATTTGTGCATCCCTCGGCTCCCTCCGTTGGAGAATTGATCTTTTCTACTCGTTATGGCTATCCCTGCACTTATACATTCTATTTTAGATGCGATGATTATTCCAATTGTCTCTACAAGGCTTGTGTGCTGCGGCCGCACATTTCGAGAGAAGCGACGATACCAGGTTTTAGACGCCGTCCTTTCGTTATTCAGCCTCTCTGTGTTGATTGTGCTTGTTACATTGGATTGTGTGGGGAATTACGAAACATGTCAGGCGAAATGTTCGCACTTAATGGCTTGGAAGGCTACTGACGGACTTTAAATAGACCAACAAGTTTTGGTGGCCATTATTGGAATCTTTCCTGCTTTAACTGAGGTACACAACTGCTACGAGCAATTATCAACGAGGTGACTGACACCACAATGACTAGTATCTTCGATTAAAGACGATCCTTCCTCTGTCAACTTCCAGGCCTAAGATTCTGTGTACCATCCTCGCAACGGCCTCATGCTTTGCAAAACTGATCTTTGGCGTTCTTGGAATTTTTTCTGGTCTGGCTTTGGAATACGGCGTATGCACAGTTGTCGTGGTCGATTATTTGTGCCTTCTCATCTGGTATTTTTGGCTTGCTCGGCGAACTATCCCGGGTCATTTGGGTAGAAAAAAGTTGGAATTAGGCATACGAAGGATGTATGCAATAGTTCTCCTTCTCGTAGCAGTCGCAATTCTGGGTGCCGTTTTGCACAGTTGGCGTTTGTCTGTTGAGGTAAGTAGACCCCTCTTAGCTCATTTGCTGCACTACGGTTGACCAGTCTTCTAAGTCTCAGGTTATTATATCTTCAGCATGGTCTCTTCGGCATGTATTCGATACAAGATCAAGAAGCAGCACAGATGACTACCTCTGGCCAGGAAGCTGCGACAATAATCGTTTCCCTGCTAATCCACGACGTACAACCTACCACTGCATGCTTTATGACATTAATCAGGCATCATGATATAGTCAAGGATAAATATTTGGCATAATTTAGTCAAGATGAAACATTCATATACGCCTACTATCCTTACAGAGAGGATTTTGAATCAAGATTGCTTGTCTCCTGCACACGCACAGCTGTACCGTAACCGAAACAAAACCAGTCCTTATCCAAGTCAAGTGATACAGTAATTGACTGTCCACTTACAACCAACTACAAGTTGCCAATCTAAAGATTTATTAAATAAGCTGAAATTTGTTTGGGTAGCGGGTATAGAGACTAACTACCTGTATTCCACGTAATGTACACTGTTCTCGGAGCCCCTTTTGTATACTGGTGGAGCTTATCGACGAAAGCGCGGAAAAGGTGGTGAGAGTTTGATCTTCGTCAGCGTCTTTCGTTTGTAGGGTTCTCAATCGTCGCCAAAGTTGGATCAAGGGAAATGCTCTCCCCTTCATTGAGAACGCGCAAAATTTCCTCGCGCACTCTATGAAAGATCTTTGCATAGCAGACCAGCAATGCTTCCTGATTTGCTTGCCGGCGTTCCATAATATGTAATTGTTGACACAACTGAGTGTTGGATGTCCGAATAATCTCATTTTCCTTCTCAAGGTGTTGAATGTGGACAACTTTTGCAGCGTAACTCTCACAGAAGGTTGAATAGGGCCGCGAGATATCAGTGACCTGTTGTGACTGCTGAGAGTAACCTTGGTCCGATCCCTCAAACTCCTCAACGAGGGGTTGCAATGGCTCGTGTAGGGCTTGCGTGTGATCGTGCAATTGTGACAAATCAGGTGCCTATTATCAACATGTCAGCATAGCAACGGATTTTCGCCATTAAAAATTACCATCCACTGATCGGCGCTTTTGTCCGAATGAAGCGAAAAAAGGTCATCATTGTCTGGTGGTGCATGTGGTAGCCCATGCTGGGCTTCACTCATCTCGGGCTCGGGTTTCTGGGTAGTGCTTTCCATTTCGATTTGGATAACTCGGAGCTGCTGATTCTTTGATTTGGAAACGGTGATGAAGAGATACGTTTGTAATATTGAGTCGATAAGGGTCATATTTAAGGGTGGCATTGGCCACATTCAGGGGACGGTTCGGACCTGTCACTGATAGAGAGCGGACCTTGCTTATCTCTCCCTTTGCGCGGGTTTGTTTACGAATACCTATGCATTTCTGTTTTTGATGGTCGGAATAACACCCAAAGGTCCCCAGTAATCAATTTAATTTTAGCCATGTTAGGATATTTACCCCATAATTAAGCTACAAAATTCATAGGCGATGTGAGGGGAAAGACCGAAAATGGAACATCGTAAATAAGCACGAAAAAAAATTCACGGTTTGCCTCAAAGTATTGTGGTCGGAGGAAAAAGAATCCTGAAACGTGTAAGTATCGTTTTCGATTTTCATTTTCTGAGGGTCATCCCCTCCCCATTGAAAAGAAAATTGGCAGCGCCAACTATTTTTCTACAGCGTAAGTGTTCATGGGAGATGAAATATTCAAGTTCAGGGCAGAACAAGGCTGATCGACGCAAGATGGAATTGGCGTTCCATAGCACCACGACATCCCTGCTGAGTATGAGCAGTTTCACTGCCATGGGATACAGTACAGTAACGCTCCTTCAATCAGCTCTTTAATTAGTGTGGATTATTTGCGGTCATGTGATGAAAGACCCACTAACCCCTCATTGCTTCTAGATCATCTCTATGAGATCTATCAAATTGATGCTCAACGATCTCGCATTGAATTTCCTACCTAGGCAGGAGAATATTTAACACTCCAATCTATTTATATCATGTGATCTTTTATCATGTTCCCTGTGATATAAATACTGCTATGTTTCCTGACTAAATTGAATCAAGTTTATCATCCCTTTTGATCTCTGTTCTCGATCGATGGTTCTCTTCCACAATCGTGGTACTGTACTTCTTCTTCGTCTAAGAAGTGTGCACAACCTCTATACTCATAACCGTGGATTCAACTGAGATCCACTTACTGTGCAAATCTGGTTTAGTACTACATAAATTGAAATTTGATGAATCTTCGCTTCTATATAGACTTGCTACATTTGAAGTATAACATTCGGTCACCAGATCAGATGCTTAACGTTAAGCCATCCTATTGCTAGTTCACTCTTTCCCCGGGGCTCCTCCAAAGTCTTCTCTAGGACGCAAGCAACGCAGCCAATCTTCGCGAGTCTTCTCTTTTGATAAATCTCTTTTCTTTGAGTTAACATGCAACTGTACCAGGTGTTCTGGGATTGGATAGAATGCCATTTTCCCACACTTCCGATTTTGGCGCGGATTCCGCGCCAGCCGACCAGTCATCCGCCTGGGTATATGAGAAGATCGGAGTTTGATGTTTCTTTTGACTCTCTTTGGCTGCGGTTGAGGACTGACAATGCTATCTGGCGATACAGACCTCATGCGGGTAGTATGCTCTGTAAGAAACCCCGCCTGGCGTCTTCTCTTGCGGGAGAGTCCCGCCATTTGTATATGTAGGAAGGGTATCAAGTAAAGGAGGACGGTATATAAGATCATGAGAGATATTTATGGTAAGTGAAGCCAAGTCTCCTGTCTCGCTTTCTAATGTACTGGTAAATTTTAGTCTGTCATCCAAACATTAGTGGCTCTTTATAGACGATATCGACACCCAAAATAGCTGGAATGGTTCAAGTCAGGGTACCGTCAATTCTTCGCTAGCTTTAATCACAGTTGCTTTGAAGTTTGGTCGATGAACCTTTTTGCATAGACATAAAACCCGCAAAATTTGATTGACACTCTGTTGTTGTGATCAGGCCGGTGCTGAAAGTAGGCAGTCCAGCCTTTGTATCATTAATTTCCTTATCCTCGTAGTTGAATTGCACAGTCAGTCATCAAGAACGGGTTAATGTGCTCTACAAAGTATGGTAATCATCTATAATCCTCGAAATGGATTACGCATCTTCGTGCTTAAAAAAGAAAATTTGCGCAGCAAGGCACACGATCCGCAATTGTGGCGGATGCGAACTCACCCATGAATCCAAACTCCGTCAACTTCCTCTTATACATGGAATATTATACCGATAAAATGAGAATAACATGTCTTCAAATACGAACAGGATGACCTTCACAAGCAACGAACGGCGTGCCCAGCGCAGGCAGCAATGCCGTGAAGCTCTGGCAAATCACATCTGTAAGAGATCTACGAGAAACGAACGATCTAATTTTGTGATTAACCAATATTTATTATGCAGACCAGCGCCTGGGCCTCGTCGTACCCCCAGGCCGGGTGCGCCTACAGCCATCGGCGGAGGATGGCTACGCGTGGTCATCCTCCAAAGCCAAGGAATATCTTCTGAAGACAAATCTCGGCCGCGGAACCGTCGGCTTATATCAAGACATAATGGATGAGCTGGGACAATCACTTGAAGCCGTGACACCGAAAACATTACACGCGAACAAAGTGGGTGAAGATGCGCCATCAACGAGAGAGGTGAGGCCCACATTTAATTATTCCTCGGAGCATACAAGAATGATATAACGTATTATTGTCCCAGAGCCCGGAAATCGATTCGGAGTCTTTCACAGCTACAATTCAGCGATTGGAGCAGCAGAACAAGGAGCTTATTGGTAAGATTGGGGAGCTCCAACGAAGCGAACAAGAGAGGCGAGCCAAGCTTCGTCATCTTGAGGAAGAGCTTGAACGCCACAAAAGCTACCTTGAAAAGTCAGAGGCGGAGTTGCTCCGGGCCAGAGGCGGGATTACTGAAGCTTTGGTAGTGTTGCAGAAATGGCAGTCAGGAGGTGAAACAGTTTGAGCAGAATTATAGGAAAGTTCAGCAAATTGAAATTGCGGCCTACCACATAGTAACATAAATAAATTATTAGTACGCATTGATGCTATATGTACACACACACAATTGATTAACGGTCGGCGGCTCAGCCGAAAGCGCAACTATCACTTATCTACCAGTTTTATGCATCTTTGGGTATAAGCCGTGTCTCCTTGGAGCCCAAGCAGTATTTCCTTCCGTATTTGCCATTTCAGTTTCCAATCTAATAGCAGATCCCTGTGGGTTAGTATTGGTTAGTAGACTGGCTTGAAGACGCTTCTTCAAGTGTTCAGCATCCTATCTTCGGCAGTTGAAGCGCGTCTACCGTCTGTCACAAGGAGTTGGGCTTATTAAGACGGGGGTATTTTGTTCGTTCGTCGGCAAAGTTAAGTGGCCTCAAGTCGGCCCGTAGCGATGGCAAACCGTACTGAGGCTCGCAGCTAGTTTACATGGTCCTTCGGTTTTAACATCCTTTGCAAAGCCTCTTTGGGCTAACAAATTGCGTTTGCCGTCCTGGGAAAACGTCTTCGAGTTTGTTGAGGCCTGCGGCTATCCTGAGACTCCTGAACACGATCATAATATTTAAAGCTTAGCCATGATTACTGAACCAGATGGGCATTAGTATTGTCAATATTTCAATATTTTACAGTGTCACAAAGATACCCAGGATGGTCTATAAGCTACCGGAATCCGGAACAGGCAGTTTCACCATTGTCTTGGCGCTAGGATCTGAAACCGTTTCTCTGTATAAACATGGCTTCAATTTAGAATTTAGCTATCTATGCAGGGACATAGCCGGTCTTATGACTTGAAAGACAGTATTTAACAAAGCATGTTCTTGATTCCTTTGGTAGTGAGTTTCTATCATCCCTCAGTCACAATTATTATTGTTAAAGCAAAGTGACTGGTAAATTCCGTTCAAGATTGTTTTAGTTATATCAAAAATTTTACACACTCTCCATTTCCAACGTCTCGTCCCTTCCTTCGATAATCCTTAGTGAAATGAACAAACATAAGTCCTGAGAAAATGACTCACCTGGCCACGTGGGATATGCTGACCGCCTGACAATTCGGAGTTATCCTCCGGAGATGGGGCACGAGATCTTCTCAATCGCTCTATCTCAACGATATCATCTTGAATAACAGACGGAAGAAGCGTCATGCGTGTGTTCAATTTCTTTTCCCGGATAGAGTGGACTCTAGATGGGTCTTGCAATGCCAAGTTGAGCTTGTGAGAGAGTATTTGGACGCGCTGGATATGAACCGGGTTTGACATTATAAATTGATATTGACGGAGGCACATGAAACGAACTTGCTAATACCAAGAGTGGATGTATAAGAAATATTATATGAAGGAGGTATCTGATGGCTCACCACTTTTTTAGAGTATTTCTACATTCCAAAAATTGGCTTTACCAATTCAGCTTTTGTTCTCCTTCCATGTGTATCTGCATTGTCTTTTAAATTTCGGTTAATAATGTCGAATGTTACCGTAATTGTAACTGCGTTTTTCTCATCATTGGACTTGCCCAGATCTCTAACTGGCAAGTGATCAATGCCACGAAAGTGATCTTATAATATGAAACCCTCTGTTGCTCAATTTTGCGTATGGAAAGCCATTACTGCCGGAGTTCCTGCCATCGCTCTCTGATTTGGACAGTCGCTCAACTTGCTTTATAGCCATTCTGAAACTGCCTCCAATTATCCAGGCTCCTCATCTCCCCTTTTCATGCGTTGCTGTTCCAGGAGATACCCGATTTCCAACCCATCCAACTCATGATTTGCCTGTGCTAGCGACTGGCCCTTGATCTGCTCTGGTCAAGTCGTAATAGCCCGGAGAATCCCTGGAAGATTATTAGAGAAGCTGTGCTAGAAGGGAGTTACCGACCATTGCAGACACTGTACGCTTACGGATCGATCGTTGAGGAAAGTGCGAGACGTGTCGTGTCGACTTGGTATCTAGGGCACTTAGAATCCCTAGAAATACCAACTAGAAGATATTGATCTAACTGGCGAAATGGATCTTATGCCGATTCTGTTGGCGTCAATTCAGACTACGCTTGATCAAGTTCAATTACCTGTACTTTCTGTGCGTAAAAATCAATTTTCCATCCCACCATTAATTTTACTCAGTTGAGTATTGAGATCAAAACTCTTTTCATTATATAGACGAACAAGAACATGCGGGAGGATAAATAATCATTCATTTTCTATGACTCATCCAATTCTAAACTGGTTTTCGTCCAACCAAGTACCGTCTTGTTTGTCTCAGCCAAGACTCAATGCGATGGCCCGGTATATATCAATGCGATCATGGCCATTTCCGCAGGTCTACATGTCTCTAACAACATGCCGAGAAAGCTTTCAAGATGGGCGCAAAAATGGTTCGGCCTTGTGGCAATACATGTCGTCGTTATTCGACGATCGCGCAGTGGGAACCTACGCTTTTTCCAATCTACCTTTCCTCCGCACCGAGCAACGGTACGTGACTCCTTTGACTGGCCTTCGTTAAACTAATTTCGAGCAGGATGTTATATTGAATTTGGAAGAAGAAGAAGAAGAATGTGGCTTATCAAAGGAAAGCACGTTATGCCACACTCAACTTTGACACGAAGGCAAATAGAGTCATTAAGGCGTGACTTTCTTATGTACTGTAGAATGCTGTACATACGGTAGCATCCACTATAAGACCATGGCCATCAAGTGAAATACAGTGCGATAGCATCTTGACAGGTAATCAGAGTCCAGAGCGTACAGTATGTGTGTGTTTGTGTGTGTAATTCATTTACGCCGACCCCTCGCAAAAGTTGGTTTACCCAACTAGGCCAAAATACGAATCCGTACCTTAGCCTAGCGGGCTATGGTTTATAATTCAACTGCAAAAGCCATATGCAGCATACAACAACTATATACCTCTGTACGTACATCTGTCTTGCGTCACTTCTTAAACGAACTTAGAGCCTCGTTGGGGCCTGCCTTGGCCTCGTAGCCGTTATTTTGGATTGTTGCCCTCATGGCGCGCGACTTTGGAACCCAGAGCGTACAGTATGGATGGATGGATGGATGGATGATTTCATTTACGCTGACCCCTCGCGAACGATATGCAGCATACAACAACTATATATCACTGTACGTACATCTGTCTTGCGTCACTTCTTAAACGAACTTAGAGCCTCGTTGGGGCCTTGTAGCCGTTATTTGGATTGCTGCCCTCATGGCGCGCGGGTTTGGAACCGCTGTGATGCTTCTGCGAAGTCCAAGATAGCTTCCACTGTCTTGGCTCGCGGAGCAGTGTCGCCTCCTCTATGTCCTCCTACTCCCAGCAGTGTTGATATGTTGTTGAGTGCGTCCCCAACCTTCTCTCGAAGTTCCTTGCGTAGGTGGCTCAGCGCGGGGCAGTCCAGGAGGACGTGTATCACACTTTCCCGCGCGCCGCAGACACACCGGTCATCTTCGCGATGGCGGAACAACTTGGCGTATGTTGACAACCAGCAATGTCCTGTTCGCAACTGCGTCAGAAGGTACGCTCGGTTTCGAGGTAAGTTTCCATAGAGCTGTCTCGTGTATTTGGCTGGTAGTGAATTGTCGATCTTGCGAAGGTGGCTGCCGTTGCGGGATTCTTTCCATTCGCTTTCTCACTGAGCGTGGATGCCCTTCCTGATGTGGGCCCTCTCTCGCGATAGCAAGGGAGAAAACGGGTGGGTTTGGCCTGGCATGGCCGCCTCTTTAGCTAACCGGTCTGCTGTCTCGTTCCCGGGTTCGTCGCTGTGTCCGGGCACCCATTGTAAACTGACTGCGATGCCGTGCATCTTGGTGTTTGTGGCTGTTCTCAAGATGGTATGGATGATCTGTTGTCCTGACTTATTCCGTGGGTTCTGGATTGCTTGTATTGCCGACATACTATCGCTGAGGATAGTCGCGGATCGGGCCCGAGTTTCCGTTGATCTTCGACGTTGGAGAGCGATCTTGTTGATGAGGATGGTTGCATATAAGATCCCGAGCAGTTCGGCGGCGTGTACTGACCATCGATCCATCTGGCCCACTTGGATTTGTAGACTTTCAGTTGTCTCCGGTGAGCTATTATTGAATCCTGTGGCTGCAGCGCCGAGGTGACCGTGGTGTCCCGAGGCGTCTGAGTAGACGACGACGTCCGACTTGGACCGTGCCGTTTCCGCCCTTCTTATCGCGGCCTGCTTGTCGGGTTCGATCTCAATCGTCGAGAAGGCCTCGGTTCGCCATGGGGGAAGTGGAGTTATTCGTTCAACTTGCGTTCTGGCTCGGCTCTACAAGAAGGCCAAGATATCCTTCACTATATAGGGCCATCTTTTCCCTTGGAGACAGGTCTCTGCCCGAAGACTGTGATGGGTCCCACAACGCCCATTCCTCAGTATTGGACCATGAGAAACTGAGCTGTCTGTTATCAATTGGCGTGATACTATATGACTCAAACAGTTTGTTTGCTTCCGCGTCCACAAGTATGCCTATTGAGCCTACCATGGCCGCCTTTGATGCAACTCTTGAGAAATCTCGAGGTGATTGGGGGAATCTCATACAAGTTCTTCGCTCAGTTTTGGATGATCATTTTATTAAGCATTACCCAAAAGGTGCGCAAAAGGGAGATCATGCTAGTCAATTGACTAGAACTGTCCGGGATTTGGGTGCTGAAGCTACCACAGTGGTTCAGAATCCCCTCCTTTGCATGCTCCTTCGTGCTGAGGAAGATTGATAGTGGCTAGCTTGTTTCATCGAGCTTGTTCAGCTGTTTGAGATATGGTGAAAAAGCCGCTCTATAGGATCGAATATGAAAACAAGCTTTGCATAAGACAGCCTTGGAGCCATGTTGCCTAAACAATTAGTAGTTAGTAGCCCATTTGCGGCATCTGGGCAATTCAATGATCAGTCCACTTATCGCAAGAAATGTTCATGTGATCTGTGTCACTTGTCAGCAGGGATAAAGCTTTCTTTTGCGTAGATGCGGGGGCCGC